ATAAAGGTACTGGTCCCAATAGCCGATGAAGTTGTTGATAACGAACCCTGAGCATTAGTCGTCACTCGAACGCTCTCCGTCGTAATCACAATGTTTCCGTTGGTATCAGTAGTGGAAACAGCAGTGGTGTAGACAGTACACAGTGGACAGACAATAAAGGTACTAGTCCCAATAGCTGATGAAGTGGTTGATAACGAACCCTGAGCATTAGTCGTCACTCGAACGCTCTCCGTCGTAATCACAATGTTGCCGTTGGTATCAGTGGTGGAAACAGCAGTGGTATAGACAGTACACAGGGGGCACATTATGAACGTGCTGGTTCCAATGGGTGTGGTTCCTGTACCTATTACCCCAGCTGAATTTGTGGTCACTGCAATAATCTCTGTTATGATTACTATGTTCCCATTCGAGTCGGTAGAGGACACCGCCGAGGTGTACGACGAGCACCGTGTGCAGATAGTAGTAGTTCCAATGGCAGAAGACGTTGTAGACAAGGCACCATTACTATTGGTGGTCACTCTGACGCTTTGAGACACAACCACAACATTCCCATTTGAGTTTGTGGAAGATAAAAGCGACGTATATACCGAACACTGTGGACAGACGGTATATGTGCTAGTGGCAAACACATTGATTGAGGTGGTGGTAGTACCACCAGAACCCGTGGTAATGATAACCGACTCACTCTTGTAAATTATATTACCGTTAGTATCAGTACTGGAAACTCCGGTCAAATACGCGGTACATCCTACACAGCAGCTCGTGTAGCCCGAGACCAAGCTTGTTGCCACGGGGTTGAGGACTGTACTGATGGTGGTAAGAGGGATGGTACTGGTGGATGTTTGTGTCACAACGTAGGTCGTCCATTTGGGAAAAAGAATGTTTCCGGTATTTGACGAAGTAGTGTACAGAAGTGTGGTTGTCAGAATGGTTACCTGAGTAGTAACCAAAGTCAGAGTGGAATATGAGTATCGCAACACGCTGTAGACAATACACCCCACGGAGTTGGTACCTTGGATGGTCAAGGTTTGCACGGATGGTGCATTTCCAGAGCATTGTGATGGTGTGTAGCAGCCAATGGCAGGGTAAGAAATGCCAATACAGCTGGGACCAGTGGATCCTGCACTGCACAGCAAGCTTAATTGAAGTGAGGAGGACCACAATAAATCTGATCCCACATCCACCGTGGCAATCGGGGTACTGTTGATCAGAAAAGTAGCCTCATATCCAATAAGCTCATTTAAATTGTTTAAACAAACTGTGATTATACCGAGCACACTGAGGACGGTATCGGAATACAGAAGCACAAATGCACCCTGAGCTGGATTGACGGTGACAGAAGTGTCATCCACCAAATTAACAACATTTGTAATAACGGAAGCGGTAAACAAGTTTGCGTTGATTGGTGAATCGAAGGAGAAGTACCAGATAAACTCGAACTGGGCCGACAAGAGACTAGAGGATATCTCGTGGAAGTATACACTGGCGTGCCACGCTGTTGCACCCTGTCCGCCCAGGGTAGCGAAGGTCAGACAAATGCTGGTGGGACCCGGCGGCGCAAGGTAGGTCGAAACAGTGGTAATAACTAAAGCTTGAGTCACTTGGGCGAACAACGCCCAGACAACGAGGATTCCAGTGAGGCAAAGTTTCATACGGTGAGAAAAGACTTGAAATTCAAGGAAGTGAACACAAGTGAGATAGCTGGACTAGGTGTATAAGGTACACACGGTTAATCCAGGAAACGAGGTATAGGATTAGACAATAAGTTCAGAGAACCAGAAGACTTCTCGGTTGTGGTAGCGAGAAAAAGTCCTGGAGCTAGCTTAACTTGTTTGCCGATGTGGTTTATCGAAAACTGGCGGTCGCTTGGTTGCTTTTATGGTAAGGTCTGGTAGTCACTTATTGGCATGTGGTCAAACAATAGATAGGTCCGAGTACCCCTGCCGGAAGAGCCATCTCCTCTAAGTGGAACTGGTTTGCTTTTCTTGTGCTAGTCAAAATGCGGCACGATGCCACGAGACTATGGTATAAATTCAGATATGTTTAGGATATGCACCACTGCAGCTGAGTCGAGATACATGGCGAAATCTTATGCAGGCCCCTAATCATTACCAGGGCTTAATCCTTGTAGATGCAAATAAGGTGCCGGACAAAACAGGCATGAAGCAGCCTCTCATGCGGCTAACATAGCACGCCAAAAGCGAAAGGAAGCCTCTTATTCAATCTCAACCTTCAGGTCTTAGGACCATAGCTCGCTAAATTAATGATAGAGTGATTATCGGCGTGTAATTAGTAGCATCAAAAAAGAGAGCGTTAGCTGAATGATCAATTTTTCCAGTTCAAAGTTTGCGCTGAAGGCAATAGTAAGCACATAGAAAAAGCGCTTGGGCAGAATTTTTTACATCGCAGCACTACACGAAGGTGTAAATATTAACATGCGCCTATATTTTGGAGTCATAATCACTGCAGTATAAGTGTTTCCCTTGAGGCCCAAGCGGTACTTCCGGAATTTTTTCACAACCCTCATGCAGAAGAGGGTTCAAAGGTTAGTTGATTATTGGCCTAGAGCGGCTTACCAGGGCACACAGCGGTAGCTAGGGTTCACAATATATTTACAACATCTTCATGAATTCATGCAGCTTTCAAACTGTCTTCGATCATAGCAGCCTCTACGCAAGCATGCCGTATTGGTGAATAAGCTTGGTATCAATGCTCCGATTCGTGAGACGACGAGCGGCCTTTTCTCTTTCTATCGCCCGTAAAGCAGTGCATGAAGTTGAAGTCCCGCTCGCTTGGAGAAAAAAACAACTGTGGCCCCACCCAACCTATGCGATTGGAGTTCTCAGGATACTAGAGCGCTTAAAGCTGTAAGTATGTTTAGGCTAACCAGGGAATGATGCACTGTCTACCGGTGATAGAATCTATACTTCAGTGATGCAGCAAATTCCGACAGTGGGGAACCGATGGTAGCGCCAGATTGCCGGAATCATGGGTCATGCAGCAAAGATCTGTGCCTAATGCACTCCAGTAGAACAAAACCTTCCTGCATACTTCTCAACGTAGGCAATGGTGATGTCGACATGGACATTTCAAAGTTTATGGCTGTAAAACATGCGTTGTCATGACCAACCCCTCCATATCTTCAGCCTGTTTAATATCTTTATCGTGTAGCTATGGCTAATATGTGGAGATTATGGGCCTAGTTTCCAACAAAAATGTGAACCTCTAGACGCAAACTTCGCAAGATAATTGCAAATGGTACCGCAGCAATCTACTTTTAAGGTTCGTTGCTTTCTTCCATGATCTAAGACTCTCGGATAATATGTCCAGGATCGATTCACAAGTCTACGGTACTATAGTTTTACAAGATGAATCGGATCCTTCTGGATTACAGTCAAAGAAAATTCTTCAAACGTTTCAAAATCTACATTTTTCATACTCCCTGAGTGGAATATCTCAGTTGGCATTTAATTCCCCGATGAACCTTCGTTCTGTAGGGTACTATAAAACAGGAAGAAGTTTATAAAGACTAATTAAAACACTTATTTGACAAAGAGTGATAGCACCGATAAGGACTCCTGGTTCTTCTCAATTCCAGTCATGTCGGCCATATTTGCAACGGTACCGCGCGCAATCAAGCTTGAGTGGGATGCATGCCATCAGTGGCAGTGTGGCGCCTAGATTTGTTTAACTTTACATCGTTCTTGGCACACTATGCACTACAATATTTCGGTTCAAACCAGCTCGAATTTTCCTGGCAGTGTTTTCACGGTTCGTACCGATAATGATCGTAACTTATACTTTTTACTTGAAGTATATTCTATTGAAGTTGGACAGTTGATTTAATAATAATTTCTCTGTTAAGCTTTGGCCTATGAGTAATATTAATAGCAACTGCATAGTGGTGTAACGCACTTAAAATCTTGGAGATATCAATGAGGCATTGGAAAAGAATACTTCACAACCATTTTAGTGCACGCAATTAGTTACATACAGGAGTAATTAGTTGGTTTTGGTTTGCCGTGAGCGATGAAAAAGTCACCGTGCATTAATATGCATCTGCGTACGTTTATACTTTACTAGCTATAGGTATATACGTCTTATATATACATCCCTGCTTCACTAAATTTAAAGGCTATAGCTAGGTATGAAGTTTGTTGGGTATAACTATGGGCATTTAATTACAATATATCGGTACTAGTCTAGATTGGTTATAAATACAGCTCAAATTTGAACAATTTACAATGTTTTGAAAAGGTATGTATATAATGGCATGCTTCTAAGATTAATAATATTTAAAACTATATATAATTGCATATCAAAACTAAACTAAAAGCTAAAGATCTCACAATGTGTATTGACCAAAGGATTTTTTATCCAATTTGAGCGGTCGACACAGTACTCGAGTAGGATTTACAACTTAGTTACTTTTTGCTGAAAAGCTGGATAGTTCTCTCGAGTCAATTACACACTAGCTAAATATTCAATAAAACCGTCAGAAAATAGTATTTAGATATAAAGGTCTATTTTTGTTTATTTGGTCTAAAAAGTCGCATCGCTCCTGTCAAAAGTGAAGCTTAACTATTACATCAGACGCTCTTATCTATATTTCCCAGTTTACATCCTGACTTGTCCTTTTTCATTAGAGTCGTACAACGGCCCATATGAAGTTTGGTGGTTTAAATATGCCATAACACTACGAGAGCTCTCACTGAATACCTCGAGGCGACACCAAGTACACCTAAACGCTTCAGCGACAAGAATAATACCTGAAAATATTATGGAACATATACACAAGTACGGATTAATATTCAGGTAAAGAGAAATATATACAAACCTGACTATAATATCTTGAATTCACCAAAAACAAAAGTGAAGCGGTTATATTCTCAATGAGAATACAACAAAATGCTGAGATTCCATACCTTAGAAAGACAACTTGAGATTATTCACAAGCATGTAACAATCGTACAAGAATAATTCGTTAATGCACTTTCTGTACTTAATCCATGCACTGAGCCCGCCCCATATCCATCCAAAGCTCCACTTTCTGTACAAGGCATTGGTTTTCTCCACATCCTCATTATAAACAGTCTTGGCGCAGTAGGTGGCTAAAATTAGAAACGTTCTTTCGGGCCCTAGTGGATTCTTCAAAGTTTCGTCCAAGGCCCTGGTCAATTCGTTGGTCTTGAGAATCAACAACACTACCTTTGGAACGGTCGCCAACAACTTCATCAAATCAAAAAGGAGGTTACCTTGTGTCAAGCTATCAGACATGTTGTTGCACTCTGCAGCAGTTCTAACGGATGTGACATCACTCACAGCATGGTTGAAATCTCTACCAGTGATGGCAGCAGCAAAGATGGGGAACTGTTCGTCGGTAAGACCGGCAAACTTCTTGGCGTAAAACTTCAGCTTTTCATTATCCTTTTTAAGAATAGCCAACCAAAACTTAGAGTAGTTTCTTCTCATTTCCTGAGGAACGTCTCTGTAAAGGCCATGGTCATACAACACAATTTCAAAGTTGTGAGAATTGCCCTTCTTAGAAGTCTTGTCGACGGGTCTAATCGCCAAGTTGCCAAGGTGGGGGTCACAGTGGATCCCGACACCTGGGGTGAAGATCATGTTGTTGAAAATGTGCGAAAGACAAGAGGAGACCTCTGATCGTGAAATACCATGTTTCTCCAAGTAGTCCAAGTCGTCTAAACGGGCACCTGCAACGTACTCCATAAGCATGATACGTGGCTTAGCCCAGTAGACATCCGGAACCCTCAAGGCGGTTTGCTTTTGGTAATTTTCAAAGTATCTGGCCGTCTTGGCAGCATTGATGGCCTCCTTGGTGAAATCCAATTCAGTGTAAATAGACTCTTGCAATTCCTCGCTAAGCCACATCAAAGGATACTCGGGGAAGGCTTTCTTCAAGAGGGAGAATACAAACTTGGTCATCTTAATGTCAAGTGGAACGAACTGCTGCAAACTCGGATGTTGAACCTTGACGGCCACCGTTTCGCCAGACTCTCTCAAGACGGCAGTATGTACCTGGGCCAACGAAGCAGCTCCAATAGGGTTAGGATTGAACTCCGAGAATAACTCCTCGATTGATTGGCCAAGGTCCAGCTGGAACATTAAGTCAATCTCCTCAATGGAAGACTGGGGACAACGGTCCTGTAGAACCTTCATTGTTTCAGTCCATTCAGGTGGCAAAAGATAATGCATTACCGAAAGGTGCTGACCAAGTTTGATATAGATACCCCCATTGACCTCAATGGCCCTCAACGTGAGTAGGGCACATTTCTTGTGGCAGGCATTCAAAACTCCTGTTTCTTCCGCTTCAGTGGCATAGGTGCCCCCTAAAGCCTTTTTATAATTACCAATACACTTTATAAGAGCATCTGAAACGGCAAACATACGCCTGGAGGCTGCAGTAAGCCGAGGGAAACACTTTTCCATGACCGGACGCATCCCGTGGAAGACCGCATACCCGATAAGAATCCCTAAAAACATACGGGAGGCAAATTTGAACCGCTTGCTTTTGTAGAATGGAGACTGAATTGGTTTAGCAGAAGAGTAGAAGCGAGCTTGGAAGACTGGGGAAACCTTGACTTGGCTACTCTTGAGGGCGAAACGTGGACCCAAGAGTTGGCTCTTCATCCGCCTGAGCACAGACTCCGAGGATATGTTTCGGATACCAAGACCAAGCTTAAGCATATTATACAACAAAGGTGTGAGGAGGGATGAAGATGGATGTGTAAAAGTGCAGGGTTTGTGAATATAGCCGGATCTTTGTGACCGTGAAAAATGGAAAACAAAAAACGTGCAAGCTTTGGGCGGATTTCAGTAGCGAAGCGCGGCCGTTATAAGGCGCTACCAGGGAGAATGGTCAAGTGCAGACATATTTACTCCCTTTAAATCCCAAATGCCCGACTTCTTTCCATGTAAAAAACAATGATTGGGCCATATAGAGTATAGATATAATTTATTCAATCACTAAAGGTTTTGAAGCATAATTGTAAGTGTCAGATCTAGGCCATGGCCCTATTATTTAGGCTTATCGACATTAAATATATCAATCTAATTATCTAGAATTAAGCCGTAAATGAGTTTCTGAGTAAATAATGTTACTGAGCCAACTTTCATAATTCCATGAATTGCAAAGAAGCGAGTATATACAGCCATTCGTAACACCAGCAACCAGTCGTAGTACCAACAGTGCTACAAAAACTTGGACACAGTCTTAGTGGATGCCGAGTTGGTGAAGGCGCCAGGTACATGTTCCGCGTCCTCAAAGCCCTCAGCCAAGAAATTTGCTTCTTCTACGGAAGTCACCACCGACTTAGCAACGCTTGGGACAATATCCTTGTTCCATGTCTTGAAATAGGCGACAGTTTCATCCTTCAATATTTCGTCTAGCACGCTGTCACCCTCCGTGTTTCTATGGTGTTTGAAGATGGACCGTACGACTCTCAACTCCTTTGGAATATCGACATTCTGCTTGTTCTTCAACTTTTCAATTACATTCTCTAACAAAATGGTCTTGTTGTTGTACCGGCCCGCAGTCTCTTCAACCTCCTTCTGCTGAATAATCGTATGTGTGATAGCAGTACTAAGGAAGATAACGATCACTGCCGATTTAAAGAACGGCGAACGACGAATATAGTTCCACGAGATCTTATGCTCTCGGGGCTGGCCTTCGCTGCACGCCTTTGGGCTCTGAGAGAAAGTTCTGGAAAAGGACTGCCTCAAGCAGAAGTCTGTCGTGAATCTGTTGGTTCTGGAAAACATAGTGACGAGACGGATGATGTGTCTAGATAGTTTGGGCTCGAGTGTGCGATAGCAGGCTTTTCTTTGAACTTCACGATGCGTTTGAAAAATGTCGATCAGAAGCATGTGACCTCCGAGGTATTGTTTGTTCGTTTACCTCACATTTCTCAAACAGTCTGCCAAAAGCAGTTATTCCAGGGTGTATAAAAGTAGCCATTAATAATAGCAGTGTTTATATCCAGGCCAATAAAGACGGAGAGTAGAAAATTAGTGTAATTTGCCATTAAAAATCTATCACTAGTGGTCTCAGAGAACCATGCTTATCACGTGATAACTAACTGAACTATAAATAATGAAAAAAAAACATGCGTGGTTTGCCCTTACGTGCCGGACTGAACAATTACCAGTTTAATGTTGTCCGAAAAGCTTACCCTTATGCTTAGATTCCTCAAGCATTGCTTTAAACTAGGATATCATTCCAAGTCCTTGATATCTGATTCCAGGGGTGTACTCTGAGTCTCCAAAACGCACTACCCCGTCCTATGTCTCGCCAAGGTATCCCACAGGTGACAAAGGTCCTACTCTCCCTTTTGGTGGCGCTATCGTTCCTAAACACCGCTGCAAAGTATGCTACATACTTCTATTTGGTAGCAGTAAATGACCATGTTTCTCCCGAGGATGCCCAAGCTATACTTCATCCGCACGATATGCGGAATCCGTACCTCACGTTTGATCCATCGTTGTCCATTTTGGTGCAGCCGTGGGTATTGGTTACGTCGTCCCTTATCGAAGAGAACTTGGTGGCTTTTTTGATCACCTTCGCATCGATCTTTCAAATGGGAAGGTATCTCGAAGTTTTGTGGACATCGCGGGAGTACATGACCTACATCTTCTTGATCAATATCGTCGCCACCAACTTCACAACCTTCCTTTACTACAAGATCCACTATATATATATCCCTGATCTGGATAATTCCGTGACAGGCCATATTGGGTCGTCAGCCGCTATCATCATGGGGCTCCTTGTTGCAATCAAGCAGCGTATTCCAAATCATTACTTGTTGGTGCTAGGAGGATACGTGCGGATTCGCGTTTCCATCGTTCCCTTTCTCATATTTCTTTACTTGTGTTTCATGGCTATTGTCGTCGATGAATCCTATTCTGTCTGTATATCCCTTGCTCTTGTGTCATTTGCGTTCAGCTGGAGTTATTTGCGATTAGTTAAGGAGAACAGGAATGAAATGGGTAACTACCTACTTCCTCTCAGCAATAACAGTGCCGATGACTTTACGTTGACCATCAGCAAGCTCAACAGCCTCAATGGTGACCGAACAGAAAGTTTTTCATTGCACACGTTTTTCCCGTATCCGTTGTCACTCATCGTTAAAGCCATGACCACTACCATCTTTGATCAGGTGCTCGTAAGGTTTGGTATTATGCTTATCGACGATTTCAAAGACGGAGACACTGATTCTGGCTATCAACATACTCACCAAGAGTTTAAAGAGTTTAAAGGAAAGTTTTTCCAGTCATCGCCGTTGAACGGAGTTGCCGGGGGTGATGTGTCGTTATTGTCGTTCCAAGAGAATCTCTTATCTAAGCTCAAGTTCTGGAATGTTCTGCCAGACGAGCGGAAACGGTCCGAGGACAAGATACAGCGGAGGAAAACTCTACAAACATTTGGAAATTTAGAATAGAACCTTTTGCATAACAGAATCATTACATTGTATGTGGCGTTGACGTGCATTATGCATAATTCAGAGCCGCAACAGAACGACTAACTTCTAACTGGAATACCCTTTTTTCAAAGGGCAATAATTTCGCTCTACAAACTAGCGTTTTATTCTTGGTATGGTTGAGTCTAGATACTGAATGTTTGAATACTTCTCTTGGCAGCTCTCCTAGCCATTTGTGCCATAGCTTGTACGCAGTGCAAGCGGGTTACCCGGCTTAGGGGGCGAAAAATATATAAAAGAGCGCGATCCCCCCACTCAAAGTTTTTTTTAATTTTTCGTATTGTTTATTAAGGGAGCCGCATTAGAAGGGACATACATATAGAACATACCACCATCAGCTTTTGTTATATACCCGATCTATACACTATCAAGGGGTCGCATTAATTTGTTCATCTCAATAAACTATCATTAATCATTAATTTTTTACCGATTCGTACTCATCATAGCCTCAGACACAATCTGATCCAACCTACCCCTTTTCTCCAAAATCACAGCCACACATCATGGATTCATTGAAAGCTCCAAACACGGCTGCACAGGCGAAAGCGTTCACCGGTCCCGACTCGCTCCTCTACCCAATGTCGTCGCAAGACATGAGTGAAACCAAGCCATCCATCGAAGATGAAATCAAGCCCTCCACTGAAGTTGCCGAACCTACTGAGATCGAAGGCGAGGATAGCGCCACTTCTGGTATCGTGCCCACTTTACAGAATATCGTTGCTACCGTCAACTTGGACTGTCGTTTGGACTTGAAGACCATTGCACTCCACGCCCGTAACGCCGAATACAATCCAAAGCGTTTCGCCGCTGTCGTGATGAGAATCAGGGAACCGAAGACAACCGCGTTGATTTTTGCATCGGGTAAGATGGTTGTTACCGGTGCTAAGTCGGAAGATGATTCCAAGCTAGCGTCGCGTAAGTACGCTAGAATCATTCAGAAATTAGGCTTCAATGCTAAGTTCACCGACTTTAAGATCCAGAATATTGTTGGTTCGTGTGATGTCAAGTTCCCGATCAGATTGGAAGGGTTAGCATTCTCGCATGGCACTTTCAGTTCCTACGAGCCTGAATTGTTTCCTGGTTTGATCTATAGAATGGTTAAGCCTAAGATTGTGTTGTTGATTTTTGTCTCCGGAAAAATTGTCTTGACTGGTGCTAAACAAAGAGAGGAAATCTACGCTGCTTTCGAGGCTATCTATCCCGTGTTGAGCGAATTCCGTAAGTCCTAAGCGGAAGACATGCAACTTTTGTTAATGTTTTAGCCGATCCTGGTTTTTGCAAGTGTACTATAGTGATTTTTTTTTTAATTTTTTTTCCCTGGCGTCTGAAACTTAATAAAATGTACAAAACGATACTGTGGATAAATATGATTTAGGTGCCAACTGGGTTAACTTAGGTCTGCGGCGTGCTCGAAAAATTTAAACGCGTTATAAAGTAAATAAGCACAACACACCAAATACCATGTATTTGGTACCCACTCCACACCCCATTCTATGAGTAATATAACCGAATTGGCACAACCCCCTGTGGATTTAATCTCCAGCTGCCGCCTTTCACCTACATATCCTCACTTGCTTGTTTCAGCATGGGACGGGACTGTCTCGTTATATGATGCAGATATCCTGACCGCTCACACGCGGAGTGGCCCGATGGTGCGTCTCCAGAACCAATCCTCAGTACTTGATACCACATTTGACCTATCGCTTACAGGACACGGAAGGAAAGCGTATTATGGCTCGTTAGACGGATCCATTGGAGAGATCGATTTTGAGAATAATGCCTTGGGCGGCACAGTGGGCAAAAAGCACACGCATGCCGTCTCCGCCGTAAAGAGTATCCCGGGCCTAGAATTATTGGTGGCAGGTTCCTGGGATAAGTCGTTACAGTATGTTGACGTCAGATCTCCCTCAACCGATACGGTGACGTTACCAGGCAAGGTGTTCAGCATGGATGCCAACGAGAAAAACGTGATTGTGGCGATGAGCGACAGAATCATCCACATCTACGACTTGCGATCCCCCCGTCAGCCCTTTCAGATCAGGGAGAGTGGCCTCAAATACCAAACAAAGGACATTGAAATAATGCCCACTGGAGAGGGCTATGTGCAGTCTTCCATCGAGGGGAGAATTTCAGTGGAATGGATCGATCCAAGTGACAGATACCAGTCGCAAAAGTATGCGTTCAAGTGCCATCGACTGAGCAGTAAGGATGCAGGTGGGGCGGACGTTGACAACGTCACGTCCGTGAATGCTCTCTCTTTTCACCCTAGACACTACACATTGTTTACCGCAGGCTCCGATGGCCATGTCTGTATCTGGGACTTTAATACTCGTAAGAGGTTGAAACAGTATTCAAAGTTAGACCTCCCAGTTCTTCACCTATCTACCGCGGAACGAAAAGGTCAGACTATGATGGCGCTCTGCACTGGTGATGAGAGTTTCAAGCGGTTACCGAAGGAAGAGGTACACGGAAACGTACACGCATCTCAGCCAGCTGTAAAATCTAGAATCTACCTCAAAGGGCTTGCAGATAATGAAGGAATGCCCAAGAAGGTAAACGGGCGGTAAAGCAAAGAGAAAAGACCAAAATATCTGATAGCGTTCGAGCTAAAATGGAAATAACTCTACGGTCTTGTTTATGATTCATGTATTTTGGCTTAAAGGGTATTTCAAAAATGGTGGAATCTTACGAATTTGGATTTAGACTTGGTATCGTATGTTGGCGATGCCTGCTACGGCATGCTGCTTTTTTAAACTAGTTCAATTAGTGAGAACATGACACAAAAACTAATTTCAAGGACTTGTCTCAGCATTATAATTTGGAATAGACAAAATTTACTTTGGTTTAAGAATATTTATTACGCGAGATTTCCTATAAAATATTTCGAATCAGAGCCTGCTTAATGTTTTGCATTAGGTGAGTATAGCTGGAGATCTGATAGAAAGTATACAGGATGCATCATTATGAAAAAAAAAGTTTTGTAGCATGTAGAACATAAGCGTTGGCTCCATTACCTAGAATATTTTTGAAACTCAGCACATACTAGATGAGCTATCCTTTGCTTAGCCGAACACCCACACCGGTCTCAGGGATACCCTTGAAACAGTCCACCCAGACAATCAATGCTGTGCATATGTACGATTTGGTCCATTCCAATCCTTCCAACCATTCTCTCACCGCTGCCTTTTTCAACAGATTCCTTGACCACACAAACAACAGGTCAATCAATGTACCAGAAGTAATAGAAAGTGGCTCCAAATTCTGCGAGCTGTGTGGAAACTTGTTCGTCGCAGGTTGGAACTTGCGAGTCCGTATCGCCTTTGGCAAGGGGACAAGAAAATCAAAGCACAAGAAGATTAAAACTCAAGCAATAAAAGCTCCTTGGAAGCCCAGATCTAGGTGCCTAAAGTATGAGTGTCTAGCTTGTGGGTATACAAAGGTGTTTCCTGACATGTTGACCCCCGCGACCCTGTCCACAGAAAAGAGCCGTGAAACGAAAGATGTCACCAAACTCGACTACATACCCTCAGGTTTTGTCGCTGAATGGCCGGCAAAGGCAGTTGAAGTGCCGAGCCCCACGACCAAGACGAATGACGCCAAGAAGCGAGCCAAAAAGCGAAAGATGAACAGTTTGAGCAACATGATCTCAAAGAAGAAGGAGGCCGATGATCTCGCCAAGAAGAAGAGCAATTCCTTGAGTTTGATGGAGTTTATGATATAATAAGATAGAAAAGCAAGGTCAAAGGATAAAGGGCTGGGATTTGCAAGGCGACGAACGAGACCCTACGAATACGTAGACAATTATAAGGGGTGTCTTACTGATGAGCACACTATTATATGCGTATCCAGGGACACCTAGAAATCTCTATGATCTTAAATAATGATAATAAATCAGAATAGAAAGCCCAGTTTGAATTTTCACCGAAACTTAACAAACATAGCTTACTATAGGGGAAGATCTGAACCTGCATACAAAACATTTCACTTTGCCGCCCATCACTAGACATGCTACAGAACAAAACCGTGTGTATCAAACATCAGGTTTGAAACCTAAGGTCATAACTCTGAGCTTGCTATGGACAACTCAAACAAGCAGGAGGCAGATCTGAACCAGGATCCATACTATAACCAATGGGCCGCACAGGCACCGTTCCAGGACATGCCAATGAACCAACCGTTGTATCAGCCCAATCCGTACGCTCCGTTTCCGATTACTCAGCCGCTGATGCCAAATTTTGCACCGACATACACCCAAAATAGCCAACCGCAGTTTAATCCCATATATACCCCGCTTGGATCGTACGGAAATGTCAGACAGAGCGAATACAGCCAGAACTTCATGGCGTACAAACCCCAAGGGATGAGTGAAACCTCCCAAAATACACAGGTGTTAAACCAGAGCCAAGGGTGGCCAGGACAGCACAACATACAAATGATGCCAGACCATAATGACCAGGTAACGACAGAACTAAACATAAGGGTGCCAGGAATAGATAATCAGGAAATTCTCCACGATTATCCGCAGGTTATGCCGGATCAGCACGGTTTTCTTCGAGAAATGCATCCTAAAAATGCTCCAGGGATGCAAAATTACCCTACTATGCCCCATAATACCACCAATACTCACCAAAACAGACCTGAAATTCCCCAAGCTAGAACAAGGATACCCCAGAGTAACCAAGAGATATCTAAACCACTGGTTTCCCCAAAAACCCTAAGAATAGTCCGGGACAGCCCAGAGATGCTCCAAAACAGGCAAGAAATACCTAACCTGGGGATACTCCAAACCAATCCGAAGAAATATCAGAGAAACCTGGGGATTCTCCAAACCGACCCGGGAATTAATAGCCAAAACAATGAAGGACTTTCTCAGAACGCTACGCCGATTTCCCAGAACTATCTCGGGAGAGACCAGATGAACTCAAAGGCCCCAGAAAACGCGATTCAGAAACCAATACCATGCGGCCCGGTCTTCACCCAAACTGCCCCCACCACCAAAGAAACCAGCCCTATTCCCCGGTACACCAAGTCCCTCTTTGAAAAGGTCTTCAATGATGCAACGATGAATAAAGAATTCCGTATCGGAAACTTGATCCTCGCCTCAGACTACTTCTTGCAGACGGCACACCGTAACGTGTTGAAAGTCAACACGGATGCGGGGTTGCTAGAGTACTGCAAGTGCATCAAAGCGGCGATCCAGGCGTTGCTCATCTTGGCGAAGCGTTACTTCCAAGGACTCACGCCGCAACTCCAGGCGCTTGTGTGCTTCAAGCTTGCGAAGCTCTATTTCTACGAGACAGAGAACTTGGCACGCGCGGAGGATTACATCAACAAGGCTATCACCATCGCATCGCGTAACAACTTGGTGCAACTCAAGTTCGCGAGCGAGTTCCTCGCAGTGCACATTTTGAACAAATCGAACTCACGCGCCGCTTTGAGCTACTTGAACACTACCATAGCCAATTTCTCCTCGCTTGGTCTCCGTAACCATGTGAACATCTTGCGCTTCTTGAAGATCAACAACTTGCTTGTCATCGACTTCCAACAGGGTATGAGCGTATTGAAGTCACTCTCCGCCGACGCGACCATCGACCCGCTCACGCGCCAGTTGTGCGTGTTGTACGAGATGAATCTCCATCTTTACCGCGGCTCGCCGCGCGCGGCTCTCCAGCTCCACGCACAGCTTCAGGATATCCGGCGGCCAGTACAAATGACCGCAATGCTGCTCTTAAATGAACTCATGGTGCACTCGCGTATGGGTCAGTTCGAGAAGTTCCAGCAGACCATGGTCACCGTAAACAGACTTATTCTCGGCCAGAGGGAGACTAAGTGGTGCGACTGGTCGGAGGATGGGGCGTTTAGCATTCTGATCCCCGTTAACTTGAATGACGTTCAGAGCTCCCACATCTCGTACAAGGTCAACTGGATCAACTCCGACGAGCTTGTCATCTTGTACTACTTCATCTGCGGGCTCGCATACATGACGGAGAGCTTCAACGGGAAGAAGAAGGCGAACAAGTTCTTCAGCCTATGTCTCAAGATCACCGGCCAACAGTTGGGCGACTTACAGAGTTCCACAAAGACTCGTAATTTTGGCATCACTCTCTTCAACTCCAAGGTATTGCGTTTGCAGTACTTCCAGTACACCATCCATTACTACCAGTGTTTGGATAGCTACCAGGTTGGCGAGTATACGCTCGGACCGCTTGAGGATTTAATCCAACGGTATGAAAATGGCCTCTTGACCCCAGAACAGGTGCTTGTCTTCAACTTGCTCATCCCCAGGGTGTACTATTTGTTTGCAATGTACTACCAGGAGCGCCGCCAGCCTGCGATCGCGACGCAGTATTTCCAGCGCGTGCGCGCGGCTACGTGCGCAAAGGGTACCCCTAGCACCGAGGGCATGAAACTTTCATTGCAGACATTAGCGGTAGGTATAGGCTGCGAGATGTTTGAGCCCGTTGGCGAGTATAATGAAGTATATGTGTTTGCAACGATTCATTTGGCAATTCTCGCCGAAAAGGAGTTGGTGGGGGCTAGTCGGGAGGCGTCCATCGCGATTAATGAGACCCGCAGCGAGCTCTACTCTGACCTTGCCGTTTTTTTCAGCCCCCAGCATGAGAGCACTTTTGTGCTGTCCAGCGTTCTTCTCGCTTTGACCCACCAAGTCACCACCGCTATCTACCAGGAGTCCTCTCAAACGACAAACCTCCTTCTCCTGATCGAGCAGGAGTTGGAAAGAAAAGGACCGTCCGGCTCTAAGATCACCACCCAGCCGTTTTTGGCTGCTTTAACGTATTTGTTGCTCTTCCAGCACAAGCACGAACAGAAGTATCTCGAAATGGCGGAAAGCCAGTGCAGTTTGATCAGCAACACGCCTTTGCAGATCCTCGTGGGCCTCACCAAGGAGCGGCACTTCCGGCGCAATGGTAACGCTGAGTTGGCGGATCTTGAGAAAGTAAAAGTTACGAGGCTTTATGAAACGAAGGCCAAGTGCTAGGTAAGGGGTAAGTGGCCAGGAATCAGTTACTTTCATGGAGCAGGATCATACACGCAGTTCTACAAGAGACCACCATTTGCCCTTTTTCCGTAGGGATACCTTAGCCGCAGAGTACACTTTACAAGAGGAAACCGAATTATATACCTTTTCAGTGAGGTGTGCCATACAGACGATACCATTTTCCTACGACTTAGCTACCCTTCCTTCCACTATTATCATTTATCTGTTGGTCATAAGTCCTTTAGTTTCATTAATTATCTCCTCCTAGCCAATAATAGCTTTTATCTCTTTCTCTTAACACTTCATCATTTCTAGTTCGTCCAGGGGGACCTGTTGCATAGGAAATGCTCTCTTCGCAAGGAAGCCACTGATACATCTCTACACCCTTCGTGCATTAGTACCATATATTGTTTTGCACTAGGACAGGTGCTTCACTTATTAGTCGGAGATACCAGCACGGACCACTCCATTTTTTCGATATTTCCGTGAAAGCCAAATCTCACTTCCTTTTCCTAAGCGGAAGGCTACGGAAACGCTGCGATTTGGACCACTCTCGAGACTTGATTAATGCGGCGAGATTATTTCGGCAAAGCTTTTCCTTGGGTCTGCGAAAGGTTAGTTGGTCCAATAATATATGGCAAAGTAATAATCACAACAAGTAGTCGCTGTAGGATGAAGAGACAGTCCGTTTGGGCTTGACCCGCTCTTCCTCCAAGTCTCCCGCGGGAGCCTCCTTCACCAAGACTCTGGTACAAACACGGCTCCATCGTCTCCGTCGATACAGCCCCCTAGCGCCAGCCTCACCCAGGTCATACACCCACTTTTCGTCCTGATCGATGATGACGTTCGGCCACAACACGTTGCGCTGCACCCAGCCCTCAGGACTCAAGTCTAATTTCCAGGAAGCACCGCTGAACTCCCACCTCTGTGGAGCCTGGACCTTGGATAAGCTAGACAAGGTGGTGGGGATTTGTTTCCCAGACCGCAGCACCGCTCTGTTGGTGTAGGCGTCGGTGGTGTAACCAAAGCTCTGCCATTGCTTGGACTTATCGTTGCAGTGCTGCAACTCGTAAACTTCGACCTCGCGCTCTTCTGCGGGTTCTGCTTCCAGCCAAAACTCTGCTATAATGTGGGACTCGAGCTGGTTCGCGAGGGTCAAGATGCGGAGCCGTGTGTCTTCCGTATAGTAGTACTCAATAACGCGCTCCCAGTATTTGGGATGACACAATGCCGCGAAGCTCCAACCGCCAACAATGAGACCCCATTGCACTACAAAGACGATGAAACTGCTGCACCGACGAACGATCCAGGGGAGGAGACACACATTGAAGGCAACGGCACACAAGAGACATACAAACACACAACTAGTCAAGGCCTCATCGCGAAAGTAGAGTAAGTGGTTCGAGAGGCCGTTCACAAAGTCATAGCCCGTAACGTACAAGAGCATGTGATTTTGGAGGTCAGTCACGTTAAGGAAGAATTCACGCGACGTCTCGGGTGCCGGCGTAGGCAATTCGGGCTTGCGCAAGGAGGGCCCATCAGTGGGCACGGGGTTCACCATACCGATTAAGGCTTCAGGCTGATGCATTACCAAGTAGTTCGGCACCAACACGCAGAACAAGACATATAGAAGGGGCACTGATAGGAGCAAGACTGGATTTAACACAAGCCATGTGTAGATGGAGAGCAAACCAAGAGTATAAGTCGGATAACGCCACGAAAGCACTTTGATGAGTTCATCTATGAGTACGAACACGCCGCTGAGCCGCGCATTCATGAGAATGAAGTTCTTACTCATGAGCGGCACCGAGAGTGACGGACGTGACCTCTGAGCCTCTATGCGCTCCTCGATGGATTCCTGCGAAACACTGGACGGAGTGGGGAGAGCCATTGCGATGATCCGCTCAAAGAGCTTGTCTGTTAAGTGAGATGAGGTGGATGAAGACAGTGAGAAATACGAATCTTTGGAGGTTTGTGAACGAGACTCGGGCTTTGATCTCACATCCTCGGGGCCGACATCAGCCTTGCCTATCGCGTCTTGTGTGCTTTTCTTCACGGAACCCCAGATGTTTGTGAGGTCGATTCCGGCGGAAGGGCGCTTTTTATTAGGCGATTGGGCGTCTGAGGAGCCGAGGCTGTGGTCACTCAGGATGCTTACGGCGTCGTGGCTATCGGTCTTGCGCGTCGAGTCAAAGCTCAACAAGAAGTTTGAGACCTGTTCCATCAGAATAACAGGGGTGTGATATATGGGGTGGTGCAGCAGCTATAGCCGGTGAGGAAGGATTGACGGAGAAGGGAGATCCCTTTACGGTTATATCTCTCCCGCTCTCACGCATTGTGCGGCGCAACTGAGAGGGCGATTTCCGGTGCGATTATGATAAGACTATATCACAAATGACAAATGCATAAATATTACTAAATCAAAGATATAAACACAATTATAAATTAAACTAAGAAATGTGAAATTTGATGATATATCGATATATGGGTAATTATAGCCAGTGTCTGGCTTGAGAAGGTTGCTCATTGCCACGCGAATGCTTAGATTAGCACGTGTTCCTGCGTTAAGGCTAATATCCCTGGGGTCGCAGTTCCAGAATGGGAGAGTAGGTGTAGCACTCAGAGGTTGAAAGGGTGTTGAAATTATAGTGGCTTCGCAATTGCAGCATTAATTACCAATACAACCGGATTACCTGAGATGTGATTATTAAGATGTATTTCCATCGTATCATACAACAGCAAGTTTAAGATATTGCACTCCATTTCTTTTGTATAAGGCAATTACAAATACTTCCTAAAACACGACTGTTCTTGACTTCGCTCAACATTGTGTAACGCACTCATTTATTCACCCCTATCACCATAATAAAATTTACCTTAAACAAGCTGAGTTCAAGAAAACAGCCTTCTCCATCACCTGGTTTGAGCTTGTGCTTTATCTTCGCACTCGTTCTTGTCAGCAATTCTTGTTTCCAGTCTTGGTTCAAGCTCGTATTTTGCACTCGCGCACTAGAGGTACAATGACGCGCAAAACACAATATCCCTCTTAATCTTCTCCTGTGCCTCGGTCATCTTCGCATGCAATGCAGAATCTCCAATAATCAACGCTGCGGATTTCACCTCGCGACACACCTCGTCCAACCGCGTAATCACTCTCACAATTGTCCCTTCGGCTTCAGAGCTCAACTCCATGATCTCCTTGAACGACATGCCGCGCGCCCATTCATAAACCACATTAACAAGTGCGAACCGTTTGCTCTCCAAAAAACCCTCCTCGTCACTTGATAATGCCACCTGGTTGTCGGAAAATACGTTCAACATCTTCTCGGTGATCTCAAGAATCCGACGCTTGCCCTTCTCAAGACGGGGAGTAATTGGCGGATTCTCCTCATCCCGGGTGCGCCCTTCGTATACAAACGCAGACAAGAGCGCCACAATCTCTTCTGGCTCAAAATCGCCCAAAAAGTTATCCAATACAAGCTCGGTGACGATCAATTCCCAGCCGGAGTTGATCTCACACGCAACACGGCCCTTGAGCACCACATTCAAGCTCTGGTCCACAAACGCCAACTCCTTGAGTACTGAGAGACGCTGTTCGTAGTCGGGTAACAAGTCCAAGTTCTCGTCACTGATCAACGTCTGTAACGATGCGATCTTGGTACGCAAGAGGTGCTGCTGATGGAGCTGATTGTAGTGTTGTTTGAAGCGTGCACAGTAAATGGCGTCGCTGTCGACGATCTGCTGGAGTACCGCCTCCTTGCGTGCGACCAAGTCGTGCAACGCGACGTTGGCGATTTTGTGCCAGTCATACTCAGGCCACTTGCGCTGGAAGCGGAGGATGACCTGAATCTGTTGCTGGGCCTCCGAAAGAGCGGCTGCCTGGTTCTGGATAAGTGCGTTCATCGTCACCTTCAAAAACACGTTGCACACGAACTCGATCTGATCCGCGCGTGCCTCCACGAAGTGTAAATTCCCGTTGAACTCGATCTTCTTGAAGAAGTTACGGATATAGTCTGGCAACACCGGAAGATATGGCAAGGAGGTCTGTTCATTTTCGGCTTTTTCTCCAAGATGAAACGTCAAGAGGACAAAGATCCCCTTGTGGTTATCAATACGTGCAATGAACCCAGGACGGCTCACACCGTTGTCATCCTTGTAGACAAGCAAACGTCCGACCTTGAACTGCGCACGCAACATTGGGAGCCTCAAAGACTCGCCAACCATCTTGCCCATGATTTCTTTGTACTCCACAAACAACCCGTGCACGGTTTCAAGCCCATCTAAATGACACTCCTCGCACGGAGTAACCTGCAATAGCGCCAAATCTGCTTCACAGAGCTCGATGTTCTTCTGGTGTTCTGGTAACAACACCTGTGCGCTGTTTTCCGAGAACGACCGCTTGATCATCTCCTCTACGCGCAACGCCTCAATTCGCAACAAATTCAAGATCATGTTGTAGGTGAGCCTGAACTGGGAGGAAAGCTTAGTCGGAACTCCGAGCGTTACTTCCTTGAATGCTGGTTCTTCCAACGGCTCGTTGTAGCTCATTACGATGACAGTACCCGTCGCATCTAACCCTCTACGCCCGGCACGCCCCGACATCTGAGTGAATTCGCCCGGTAACAAGTTGCGGAACCCACGGCCGTCATGCTTGCGTAACTCGCAGAAAACAACGGTTCTGGTCGGTAAGTTCAATCCCATCGCAAACGTTTCGGTTGCGAACAAAATCTTCACTAACCCACGCGCAAACAAGATCTCGATACATTCCTTGACGATTGGAAGCAAGCCTCCATGGTGTACAGCGATCCCACGGCCCAAGAACTCACGCACTTTCAAGATTTGCGGTAATTCGCGGTCCTCCTTCTTCAAGCGTGAGGCTGCTTTGTCGATGAACATGTGGATCTCGGACTTTTCGCGTGCATTGAGGAAGTCAACAGAGGAAAGAGTGTCGACGTAGTCTTCACAACGCTTTTTCGAAAAGACAAAGATGACCGCGGGAAGGAGATTGTTACCGCGGAGGTACTGGACAAGGTTGAGCCAGGTACCCTTGTTCGGACCGTCACGCTGGCCAGGACGTGGGGCAGAAGAAGCGGAAGAACCTCCACGGCCACCGCGCGCGCCAGCGCCTCCACGCCCCCCACGCGCGGCGGGGCCTCCACGACTGCCCCCGCGAGCACCACCACGGGCCACGCCGCCACGAGTACCGCTTCCACCGCCCACCTCCTTCGGTGGTTTTAACAATTCCTTGTGCTTCTTAAAGTCCATATCCAAAAACCGTCTTTGTGCGTCAACCACCTTAATCAACGTTCCCTTGGCCCACACAAAGATCTCTAACGGAACCGGACGTTTCGGCGTGGAAATTACGTAGATATCCTTCTGCTTGGTGCGGCCCACCCAGTTGGCGAATTCATATGTGTTTGGCACTGTAGCAGATAACAAAATAAACTTGACATGGTCGGGCAACATAATAATCACCTCCTCCCACACGACCCCGCGGTCAATGTCATTTACGTAATGAACCTCGTCAAAGATGACAAACTCGACGTCACGGATGAGATCCGCGCCGCGGTACAACATTGAGCGCAAAATTTCAGTCGTCATGATCAAGCAGTTTGCCTCGGCGTTAATTTGGACATCTCCCGTGATTAACCCCACATCCACTTCCTTGAAATCGTGCTTGAAATCGCGGAATTTCTGGTTTGACAAAGCCTTGATCGGTGAAGTGTATATAGCTTTAGTCATATTGCGGTTTGCCATGGCGATCGCATACTCCGCGACAACCGTCTTCCCGGCAGAGGTGTGCGCGGCCACAAACACCGAGTCGCCTTGCTCCAAGTGGTAGACCGCCTCCTGCTGAAACGTGTCCAACTCGAACGGCCACTCGCGCGCCATGCGCGGCACCAAGTCACGGAAGTTCTCTAACTTGTGGTCCAAATCCACCACATGCGCCCACGATTTCTGCGCGTTTACCGATGCGGTGAGCTGCGACGCCGCAACATTGATACTGATCGGAAGGATCTCATCGATTTCAGAGATTCCCGTAACCTCCAATTCAGGAATAACTTCCATCTTGGCCACCGGAGTAGCATCCGTCTCCTCATTTTCTTCGACAATATCTACAATTTCCGCAGTCGCTTCCAGCGACTGAATATCCAATCCGCGTGATAAGCCCTGTGGCATGTTGAACAACCCGTCATGGTCCTTATGCAACAGCGCAGCGTCGTCGCGCGTGCTGAGACTGAAGCCGCCGGGCGCGAACGGAAGAAAGCTCGATTTCCCACGCAATGCATCACTCTTGCTTGCCGTCTGCCTACCGAAACTCATCGAATCTTGTGCAGTTCCGGTTGCCCCCACCGTGAGCGTTTCCTCGTAGTGTGCGATCTGTCCGCGGAGACCCGCACGTTTGAAGCGCATCGCGGTGCGTGCGAGTGGCGCTGGTGCCTTCACCAACATGTCATAGAACGGCGTTTTGTCTGCGGAAGGGAGCTCCTGGAGTACATCGAGTAAGTCCCATGGCAACTGTGCAGATGGCGTTAAGTATTGCTGCTTCAAAGCGTGGTTCGAGTCCGCCGTAGTCACACACGGTGTGTGATACGTCGTCGTGGTAGTTGGATCTATTTCGCCGAGCGAGAGCCCTTGAAGTTCATTGAGTAATGTTTCGATACCGGTCATAAAAATTGTGATGATCCGTGTAAGAAGAGCGGTGCTTAATCGGCGTTGATGGGTGTGAAAAAATGTCAGCAATTGACGCCGCGCGCCTGTATGCAAGATCGGGAATTACAAATACGCTGGCGAATGTGGTACATGAAACAACACTAATTCTCGCAATGCGGTTGTCAGTTGTAGATGATACATAACTAGGTTATTAACCGTTAAATCAAATGGCAATTTTAAAATGATGAGACTTCTGATGCCTTGAGTAAGTTCGGAAATGTTGTCTAAGTGGTACTTTCAAGCACCTTTATAAGGGGTTGAGCGGCAATTTCAATCACTGGACCAAGCGATTGAAAGTGATTGAAGAGAAAATTTAACTGTTAGAAAATGACAGTCTTATCTAAATGGTACCTTCAGGAAGGCCCAGGGCGCGTATGCTACAAATATGGTCAATACTCTTATGGTGAAATCTCTTTCACGAGGAACGTCAAATTGGAACCACAGAATTGGATAATGGACCAAAAACTGTCTGTATAAATGTCGAAGGAGGGGTTAGACTGAGGGCCCATATGAATAAATGATAATCAACACTACGTCAAAAAAGCTGTATAACAGGAAGAAGACATGTCTCATATAGTTATACCAAGGGTTTACCACGGAACTGGGGTTGAAATATATGCTTGGGTTTGGAATATATGCTAGGATTTTGCCGGCAGATAGGTATGAAGTTATTGTCCAACTCGACAGATCCCTCGACCCGGTAGGATTAATTTCCCCTAAGCACCAAATATAAGGAGGATCGCTGGAGCTTTCCAATTATTTGTAAATCATATATAACCCAAATCAAACCCATATTGTGGAATGCCATTAAAAGCATTACCCTAGAATGCTCCAGCATGGGGATGTAACAGAATAACAGTCTATCTCCAAAATAAGTTGTGGGCCACAAAAAAACATCAATAGTCTGACTGTTATATCCATGGGTTCAGGCTACTATTCCCTGAACTAGCCCAAACAACATAATCATTTGATCGGGAATGCATGGGATTATGATCTTTCCAAACCTAGGGTTCGAGTACTATACAGAGGCACAACAAAAAGTTCGTGTGAACTGTACACATGAGTAGAATATGGTTCAAAAGTATGCCAATGGTTGGTTACCACCCGCCGTTCCTGTCAACGACAAATCTCAACAACCCGTCTCCTTCAACAACCTTGTTCTTGACAAACTCCATCGCCACACCCATCCCGTACTTCATGTTAACCTCACCGATAATATGGTGTAGCGACTTGATCGCCAAGTTCTTTTCAAACTGGCGGGAAATCGGCTCCAGACCGCTTTTGCTGGGTGTATTAACCCTGACATGCTTGGGAAAGCCTTTGTAATTGAGGAATGCCTTAAGTAATGACTTGTTCTTCAAGATGTTGGACTCGGTGGTGGTTCCCGGGAGAAGGTTCTGGAAGTTCATGTGATTGATCTCATGGGACAAGGCAGGGTTGAGGGATTTAATCGATACGATCTTACTCACAATGGCCAAATCGTAGATCGTTTGCCCGAGGATGGTCATGTTGCGATTCGGCATCTCCACGCTAAATGTATCGTTTGTAGATAGATTTATCCCGATCGGGGAAACAGGATAGATAGTTCGGATGATGGCATCATCCCCTAGCAAATACTCCCTGCCAACAAACGCCTTGAAAAACCTCATGCTTTCCTTCAACCGTGTGTCAATCATTGCAGCTTTTTTTCCCGAGTGGTAGTCTTTCACCACGTCAGTATCACCTATCTCCTGTGTAGGATTGTGAGATGCGGGATAGCGGTCTATAAGCGGAAATTTATCGAGGATCGAGCTGAGTCGTGCTCTGGATGTATCTGAGCTGGCCCGGGCTGTTTTTTCGCTTGTGAACGTGTCTCGCCCCTTGAGCTCTTCGTATGATATGTCTGCGAATGGCAGGTGGTAGCTTCTAGAGGTACCCAGTACTGGCCGTAATGCCTTTATGAGCTGTTTGGGTGTCAAACGCATGAAAGGGGGAAATGTACCAATATAAAACTATGGCATATAGGGGTAATACTCTCCACTTGATTGTGACTTTACAGGCGATTCACAGTCAGAGACTTGAGAAAAAAAAAAAATCCAGCGCGCGTAATCTGTCTTTAGTATGCATGTAAAAGCAGTTATCTTGCCTCAAGCCATTTAACAGAATTTATGGTATCAAAATAGACAACAGCGCCAGTTTTGCGCTTACTGATCGAAGATGAAATATTTTAGACGATTATTAGCGACCCACCGCTAGATTTAGGCTTATTTGGTCAATGGATGGTACGTATAAATCAATTAAATGAACTGGCATCAATGATCATTCGATATGTTTGGCACAAGACGGAGAAATACATTTGTGAATGATTCATCTTTTGCTAGAGACAGCTCCATCATAATTAACCATTCCAGGTTTACTTCTTTCAAGTTTTGGCTAATTATCTACGTACATATGCATGGGAAAGGCTTTACTGAGATCAACTTTAGCAGAGTCGTTAGTCATTAGGGTATATCTATGCAGGGACGGCTTCACCGAGATGTATGTCTGAATACTTTTGTCTTTTAGTTGGGGTAGTTGGAGGGGTCAACATCGCTGGTCTCTTGGTGACGGACGCATACGTTTTCAAGAGGTCGAGCTCTTGCTGGGTCAAGAAGAGGTCCGGCAAGCTGTTTCGCAAATACAGCATGTACGCGTCGCAGTCGTTATTAATCTGGTAGTCGATGATATTGGCCCACGTATTAGGGAGGGGCGTCTTGTTAATCAAAATGACCTTGCACGGTTTCGCTTGTGCTTCGTTACGCTTCTGGATCACCTTGGCAACAGACCGCACAAGTTTCTTGATTCCGTCAACCTTTAAGGAGGTCCCCATGATGATGAACAAGTCAGGAGAGCTCTTGAGATCGTTAGTCAAACCTTGGGAAATGACCTCGGAGTTCATGTGGTTCTCCCCATATAATACAATATTAGGTCTCAAGAAGCCGATAGCGCCGGTCATTCGCTTTCCCATTCTGATACGCTCTCGGTAAGATTCCACACAGGTAGGGCATTCAGGTGAACGTCCGTCAGACAAAAGCTCTCTGAAGGTGGCACCCTGAGTCTCGGCCGCTACAGACACCTCGTCCCAGCTGTGGATATTGAAGCAGTTCGTACATGACAATTTCATCAAATCACCGTGCAACTGTACAACGTCCATTTTCTTCCAATTAGCAGCTGTGGAATCCTCGGGGATTCCGGTATTGAGGTTCAAGTAGTTTTCCAACCCATCAATGTTCTGGGTATAGCACCTGAGCAACTTCTTCTTCTGCTTCAACACCTTGATGAAGCGGTGGGTATCGGTGGGTCTGGCTTTTAACGTAGAAGAATACAAGGATTCCATAAAGGTGTTAAAAATAGAGACCGTTTGCTGGTTGCGGAAGAGCGAAATGTCAAACAAATCTTTCCCTCGAACAACCGCCTTGGGGTGCTTCTCTTTGACCATGTTATACAACCCATCGGTAGAGCGGAAATCGGGAATACCGGCGTTGCACGAGATCCCAGCCCCGGTTAGCACCACACATTTTCTGGCCTTAGATATGAGAGAGGTTACCTCAGAGAGTCTGATTTTGTTCTCGGCATCCAACGAGTGGATGTCTAGGAGCTTCATATTCGAATCTGGTGTTATTTATGAAGTGTTTGTAGGTATGGTTAGTGAGAATGGCCTGGTTGATGAAGAAATAGCGCGAAGAAAATGAGCTGCTCCTTGGATCGTCCTTTCCTTTTTCCTTTTGTTACCCGCGAAGTCTCGTTCTAAATTGGTTTGTTTACTCTTAACGGTTCAATTTCGGTTGCAGTATGCACGGGCACGTGAGTTTTATTTATGTTACCCGATCGGGTTAACCGTGTGCAGGTCACTCTTGGGCGCAGGAGGGAAAAAGGAAATTTCCCAAAGTGGAATAATTACTCACCTGGTTTCGACGCGTTTTCGTGCTTCTAGGTTGATTTGTATGAGAGATACGGTGGGGAGATTGGAAAGTACTGACGCGTTGGCTAAACCTCCGACGCGACGCGTATATCAACAGTATAAATTATGCACCTGTAGCTTGTGGTGGTCATGACATCATAACCCCATAAGGTCCGTTGCCACATCTCTGGGCTTATGAGGGGTTTTCATTGCCATTTATTAAGACTGTGCGGGTAGCATCTCATTTACATCGCCACTACCACCCAAGACCACAGGTTAACTCTATAATGAACGCTATATTTACTTGAAACTCTTTTTTGCATACTGCTATTAATCGGATTTGATCAGTTGCCACTTCCACCGTTGCACATAATGCTCAATGCAACCCATTATCTCTACATACGCCGCTAAGTTGGCGGGGTTTCAGACTGGAATCTTTTTGATGCCACTTTTAATCTGGCTGACTTACGCTTTCACACATTGGGATCCCAAACCGGGCCCACTAACACATCTTCTATCGTTCAAATATTTTGCTGCTGAATCAGAGAATACGTGCTCTTTGGTACTGAACGATCGTTTCTGAGCCAGCATACCCAGGCTATATCCCTTGAAGAGCTCTCTATATACCTGGATTTCCAGCGGAAGGGGACTTCTGTTGAGTTTGTCATCATCATCGCATTCATCATCGATACATTCGTGTTTCAGCTCACACGGCGTCTGCTGCTGCTTGGCTAGTATATAGGGGTTCCAGGCTTGATTTTCTTGATTCATGAAGCTTGAAGCTAGCCTTTGATCAATCGTCCGTGAGAGAATTGTGGGCGATTCAAGTATTTCAGAAACATCAGGGTCATCAATCTCTGTCCGTCCCTTAAAGATTTGAGAAATGGACCTATGGAGGGACCGTCTCGTTTTGTTCTCTGTTACGGTAATATTAAAAGGCAAGGCGTTGATATCCGCAGATAGTTGACTATAGTCCGAAAGATACTTCTCGGTGAGCGTGATGGCGCTACCGGCATCGGCCAGGTGCACTCTCTTACGAAAGTACCCCCAAATGCTGCTCCGACGAGCAGTCGCACCATTTTTCTTGCTCGCCATGTCAGACACAGATGCCTTGTTGTACTCACTGAGAATTGAATGAGCAAAATCTGTTTCCGATCCCTCTACTTCAGGGACTCCTTCTACTTCAAGGTCTCCCTCCACTTCAGTGCCTCCTTCCATTGAGATACTGTCAAAGACATGTTCCTTTGGGAGTCTGGTGAAGAGTCGTCTGAAAGATTTCCTCTCAAACTTCTGATCCCCTTGATGTTTCGATGAAACACTTTTCTTGGCCGTCTTGTAGTCCACGCTGTCACTGTCACTAGTGTCACCAGAAGCAATACCTTTATAGATACCTCTATCTCTCGAGTCTAATACATTCGATGATGGAGGTACCGATCGGATTTTCCATGAAAAGAGCCTGCGCATCTTGAACCCAAACCGCTTCCTTTTTCCAGGGCTATCCATCTCACAGTGTAGCTCTGTAGGGATTAAAAGGCTAAGGTCGCTGGTTCCGTTTTTCAGTTCCTCGAAAGTGTTGTTTGGAAGGGTATATTCGTGCATCCTACCCTCAGGTGAAAGAGATGGATACCGAAGGCACCGATTGATATACTCTTGGCCGTAGTATCCCGCAGAGTAGTGATCCTGTCGATTCAACTCGGGGAGAGAGGTTACAAAATCCATCGTAACTGAAATGAAAATGAAAATGAATCCACTGCTGAAGTGTGTAAATAACCAGAATAGCTTGGTTGAGTAATAAATTATTGATAGCTAGCAATAAGCTTTCGGTAGCAAGAACGAGCTATATTGGGGGTTTAGATATCAAGCTAGAAGATTAATTTAATTACAGTACAACACCCATATTTAACATGAAGTACCAATAGAAATATCGCATGTTTGATAGTGTTTTCCCATTGAATTTTTGGAAATGCCACAAAACCTGAGATGCGACACCACACACACACGTGTCTGCCGGCGTTATTGGCGTTTATGGCTCTGATCTAATAAAGGAGATATCTTGAGTTTCCAGTTTGCTAATGAATTAAAATATATATCTTTGTATCTTCTGAATTGGCCCAAATCTGAATCTAAGTTTATCAATAAAATCAAGGTTAGCCCTTCAATGCTGACTTCTGGTTACCCCGCGCAGTTATTAGAATACAAAGTTATGACGCCTCGAGAGAAGCCTCCACGCTAATGTGATTTATATTCTTCTAAATTGGGATATTAGCAATCTACGGATCAAACCCTCGCCTAATAAACTTGAAGTCAATCTATTGAAACTATTCGAATGAGAAAACCAAAAACTATGCCGTATCAAAGTACAGCCAGCCCAAGGACGCAACTACATCACGGTACATAAATCAACATACTACCATATACATGAATGAAAGCACCACGGGCTGTAACAGAATATCTAAGAGATCTTAGGGGCACAAAAAATACGGGGCTCAGCTTTGCCGTGGCTTCTCCTTGGTGCCGCTTAATCGAACGGGGTCAAGTACGCCTCCGCAACAAATCTCGCTCTAGCATTCAAAAACAACTTGATCTCACTGATCTCCCTGTCAACGTCCTCCATGAACTCTATGATGAAGTCCACCAACTTGTGCTTCAACATCTGTTCCGTGTGGAAGTTTGTGATCAAGAAACTAATATCATAGCCTTTGATCGGCACCCTTCTCAAGATGAAAAAGTTCTCGGCTCTACCGGTCAAGAATCTGGTGAACTTGTGCACCAAAATCTCCTCAATGTCATCAGCCTGCTTAATCTTGATAGAAACCCTGATGGAGTTCACACTTGGCTCAATAAACACCTTTTCATTGTCGTTTCTGGAAATCGTCATGTTGTTGAGCAACAACTCAGGTGACTCACCCGCTTCGATTTCCGGTCTGTTGTGTCTCTCTGCCACTTGCGATGCAAAATCCTCTAAGCAAATGGCGGCTGTAAGCGAGCTTCTAACGGCGGTTAAATACGGTTTTAATGACTGGGACTAGGTCTAACTGTTGGTACAACCGCACCAAACAATTGGCATGTTAGTTTTCATTCAATTGATCATCATGGATAAGAAGCACGTACCATTGTGTAGTGGTCTAATCAGGGGACAAGGATTTCAGGAGAACAGCTACTTATCGGGCTTTATCAAGGAGCCGAACCCATAGCCGAGCCACCCAACACAACTCGGCGGTGCACGACCACATTGCAGAAAAAGTCCAGAAAAAATAGCCAGTATTTATTAGGAGAAGGCTTTTTTGAAATACCCCATATTTCTTTCTCTACCACACCAATATTCATATAATGGCCTGGGAATCAGTCTTAGATGAACAGGGAAGGACATATTACTTTGACTCCGTTACCCAGGAGTCCACCTGGGAAAAGCCCGCCGAGCTTTTGACTGACTTGGAACGTGCTCTTTTGACGCTTCACTGGAAGTTGTACACAGCCGATGGGGGCCAAGACTACTACTACAATGAGAAAACCCAGGAATCTACCTGGGAAATCCCAGCGGATGTGCAAAGCTATCTAAACGGAAAGCATCTGGATAGACAATCAGAAGTGGAGCCTCTTAAAGAAAAAGCCGTGCTGGAAATAACCGAGGGAACGGCTGAATTCAAACCTATTGAGGTGGAATCAATCGTTGAAAAAGAGGTGAAATTGGAAGCCCCAACAGTTCCTGTAACCCTCGCAGATGATTCAGCGTTGCTAAATCCCCCGGTATACGAATCGTTGGAAGCCGCTAGAGCGGCATTTGTGAATCTTCTTCGAGCCAACGAAGTGGATGCAACTTGGTCCTTCAGTAGAGTCATGAAGGAGTTTATCCAAAATCCCATCTACTGGGCACTCCCCGATGCGTTGGTCCGAAAAGAGATTTTCGAGTCATATCTCTCCACCAGAACCAAAGACGAATTATTGAAGGAGAACAAGTCCAAGGAAAAGTTCCAGGAAGCTTTTTTGGCAGTGCTTGCCAACTACGACGAGATTAAGTACTACACCCGTTGGCCCACCGCCAAGCGATTGATTTCTGACGAACCGATCTACTTGCATTCCGCTATTTCAGACAAGGAAAAACGGGGCATTTTTCAGGGCTACGTGGATGGGATGCGCAAAGCCCGTGAAGAGAGACTTGCAGAGGTCCGCAAACAGGCAACTTCTGAACTCTCAGAGTACTTCAGTTCCACCCTTGAGTTGGACGTGAACGATTCGTGGCCCACCACCTTGAGTCACATCCTCAAGGACCCACGATTCAGGGCTAACAAAAACTTTGTTGTGCTACACAACATGGACATCCTCGCGATGTATGAAAAATCGTTGGATCGCATTCATGAAAACTTGTACAAGCAAATTAAAACCTTACAAGAAAGAACCTATCGCCAGGATCGACTTGCGCGCGACGCTTTCAAGGAGCTTTTAGTCGAGTTAAAGGCCAAGGGAAAGATCAACGCCAGTACCCTTTTCAAAGACATCTTCTTGGTGATATGCGATGATGACCGTTTTTTGGACCTCGTTGGACGGAACGGGTCCACTCCTTTGGAATTGTTCTGGGATATGGTGGACGAGGAGGACCAGGTGTTGCGCATAAAAAAGGATATCATCAATACCATTCTCTTGGAGCAGAAGTTCAATCTTGCAGGGGCCACGTTCGAAGAGTTTGTAGCCTTTTTGGGCACCCTCAATGATGTGAGAGTCAAGGAATTTACGCTTGACGGGGGCCTGGAGTTGAGAATCATCAGAGATAAAATTCTTCAGGACTTGGAGTTACAGCGAGAGCAAGAAATTCTCCAGAAGAAGAGATATTTGAGCGGGCTTGCCGAGGATCTTGTATCGTACTTGTTAAAGCATCATCAAATATTGAACCTCTCAGTGGATGCAAAGTTTGAGGACGAATCAGTGCAAGCAAAGCTCAAAGAGTTGGAGATCTATAAGATCATGCTGGACGTAGAGACATCTGAACCTGAGGGTATAGATGCGTTGTTCAGGGGCAGTTTTGAAAAGTTTACGTTGTACTTGAAGGAGGAACAAAAGAAGATCGTGTCACACTCCAACCCACTTGACACCGACAGATTAAAGCGGTTTGAGTCGCGGAAGAGAGGATTTTCGGAAGTAACGGCGGCCCCTACCAAGAAGGAGGTGGAGCTTGATTATTAAAAGTATAACACTGAATCTATGTTGATGTCATGAACTGGTTGGCCAAAAGAATCAATATACCATACCCTGCTGAAATGTTTTGCCCCAGACCTATTTTTTCGGGCATTCTCTAAACCCAGAAACCATTTATACTAAGCGAAAATCACATTTGTAGATTTAGCAGGTAACAAATATTGGAATAAAAATCCCTAAATGTGCTGGCCCAGAGACTCTCGTTACTGATTTATACTTTTGCCTGATAACAAGTTAATCCACCTAGACAGACTAAGCTAGGTGTATTTAATGAGCTAGGGGCGGAGTTTATGTAAGGAAGGTGAGAAAAAAAGCGGAAATACAGAGCCCGACATAGAGCGGATTTTATCAACGGTCTCTACATAGAGCTTATAATATTCATATATTCTTTCCTCTGGAATTCTGACTGCATATCCTCTTCGGCAACTATCTCATTTTTGTTACTTCTCCAAAAAAAAAAATACGCGCTTGAAAGAAGACATCTTCATTTACTCCCTTTGGAAGAGTGAACTCAAGGCCAACAATCCCAAAAGCCCAAACTTGAAGTACTGGTTCTCGGTGATTAAAATGGTCACGTACCCGACCCTAGGCATGTAACCGTAAACAGTCCCCATAATATCCTTATCCTTGTCAAGATATTGCTGCTTTCTTTTGTACAAGCCCAAATCGTCAACCGGATTGTTGTCACCCTTTGTTAGTAAGAATTGCTTCTTGTCGCTATAATAGTTAGTATCCATTGCCTTTTATCGTCACAAACGGGTTACATACTTGTGGTGTTCTCTCAAGACTCTATGGACGATTGGGATAGGCTTTCCCTCAATATTGTAGACAACCACGTCACCAACGGCATTTCTCGCGTTCCGGTTCCACAAGAATAACAAGTCACCTCTCTGAAAGGCAGGCTCCATAGAGCCGGTCAAAACCACCACGATCGGCGACTCGGCATTGGTCACAATAGACAACCCTTTCCAGGTCATAAACGCCGTGGACAATACGAGAATGAGGTTCAACCCCTGAAGCAACTGAAGACGAAGATTCATAGTGAATAGGTGGGTTGTGGGCGTAATTGAGTGGTGACTACTCCTCCGCTTTGTACACGTTATCTTAAGCGATACAGACGACAGGATACGTAGAGTGTATGATCACGTGATATCCGCATTAGGCAATGTCTGCTTTTGGCTCATTCGGGGTTTTATCATTTAGTGAAACAGGCCCTGTGGTACACAATGTTTAAGGTATTTTACAATAATTAGAGTGTTTGATACTAGGAATTTAGAATACGGGGGTTATCCTCAAATATAATGCATAGGGTACCTTATAAGTTTAGAACATAGCTATGGTTTGACTGAAAAAGAAATACCTCAAGATATGTACGTTCAATTACAGTCTTTCCCGCTGGAGTCACGAAACTTACACCTGTCTGCGGAATAAAAGCAAGGTTCAAGAAAGAATACATTATATATAATTGGAAATAGGCATTGCATATATACAATGTTGCGTTTGGAAGTACGGTGTACCCCATTTATATGGAAGCGAAATAAAAGTGATTAATCTACTCGGTCTTTCGGAAATCTCAAAGTCCCCTTAATTTTTTCATTTAAGATGACCTAGAAACGTAAGATAATGTGTTCCATAGATTCATAATGACACACAATATCTCTGTGGACGGTGGTCATATTGGTACTGATGAAGCTTGGTAGTGACTGAAAAATGGAAAGCAACAAACCGATACTAGTAAACAGTCGAAATAAGATCCGATACTATTCTGGCCAATCTACCAGTAGCAACTATTCAAACTGTTACGTGGCACAGAATCATGCATGGCTCACACGGGACCAGTTTCCACAGGTATAATCAACACAGGGTCTACTCACAAAATTACCGTTTCGTGGAAATACACATAACACGTGTTGATATCCCACTAGGTATCATCGCAAATTAAGTTCCCTCCTTTTATCCATCCCAGCGAGCATTTCTTCCAAAGACCCCTTACCCGTCTCTACCAACCGCTGGAGCTCCCTTCTGTTGCATTGCCACTGGTGAAACGCTAATCCATGCAACAAAGAATCTACCAAATCATCGCCCTTTTCGGTTTCTCCCGTACCAACTTCTTTCTCAGAATCTTCCCCCTTCATTATGGTTTTGTACAACTTCTTCGACTGACTCCGAAGCTTCTTCACCTTAGGGTCCACATTCACCACCTTCTGCTGGTACTTTTTGTTAAGCTCAAACGGAATATCCTCCCCGTGTAGATATCCCTCGAGCCACCGGGCAACCATATTGACTCTAAGGGTCTTTGACTTGGTCGCAGTAAGCTTCTCCTCGGTGCACCAGTAGCGCACCATCTCTGCTGGCGATGATGAGTCCACACGCGTCTTTTCTCTCGCGGGGTCCAGCTTCTTCACTGCATAGATGCTGGCGTGGAGCATGTTTTCAAGCATTATTACACGGAGTACGTGCTCAAAAACGTTCTTTGAAGAACCTGAGCGGAGCCTTTGGCGCTCAATCAATACTAAATCGGGAACGGCGTAAGCCGAATTATACACAATCTGGTTGACTATGTCGTAGGCGATCTGGGAGTATGCCAGCGGGGAGTATACGGGCGTGGAGTTTCCGCAGTATCTGTCCACATCAATCTTTCGCCATTCCTCAATCGTAGGTTTAGCACCATTTTCCATCAAAAGGCGGCAGAAAGAGAAGTTTCGGATTCCCATATCAATAGATAATACGCTGTATGGCTTACGGTTGGGCGCTATGAAGCCAGTAGAGAGGGCCGCTACCAAGTCACTTTTGTTGCCAGTTGGGGCTATCACGTTAGTATAGCACACAAGGGGAAATTGAATACGTACACACACCACAATGGCGACAGAAAGCTTTCAATGTGTCATTTCTCGCCTTCAGTAAGACCGGGGAGAGCATGGGAGTAGTTGGATGCTGTGACGGACATGTGTCTCAGGGTATAGGTGTGTTTTTGTACGAGCCGTGGGGTTTCGTGGAAACATCCTAAAGGCTCTTCGCTTTCGCGAATTACGTATCGCGCAAGGCGACCGAGCCGTGATTTAGCGGAGTAGGTCTTTTAGGAAACTCAACTTCAGGTGCGTAAATCGTTCTATATAAAATATGTGATAAAAACCTTTTTGCAAATTTACACGTTGGGTCGGCGATTTCTAGCTCTTTTTTCAAAATGAGGGGTGAGGATGAATTACCTTCCTATTTCTTGTCTAAGGATTGCTGATAATTCGGTGGAGAATTATGTATTACAAGTTTATTGCGTATCCTTCATGGTTGGTGAGACCCATTATAGGCCCCCTTTTCATTCCACTCTTCACTTTGTGCAGCATCGCCTACATATTTCATTTTATGCATGTCAAAAACGACCCATTTTGCTGGTTCAAACTCTTTCCTTACATTTCAATATAAGACACGAATCTCCACGACCCATTCTGAGTAATCGCTGCTTCATTAGTTCTCTCCCGGGTATATACTGCTTCTACCTCTCGAACTTAATTATCGATTACAAGTGAATGTGGTTGATGATTAGTATAATACATGCCATTTATTAATACATTATCCACTATCACACCCTTACTAACTCCAAGCTCCACCTAGACCTATCACAAGTACCTCCGGATATCCGTTGTGCGCCTGGCCTTCCATTTATCCCGCAGGGCTGGACTGCGACGACACTTGCTTTCCTGCCGATACCTGGTTCATCACAGGCGAGCGGCGTGCTTGGGCATTCATTCCCGGGTTACCCTGCGGATGCGCACTGTGGGAGTTCATACTATGCGTATGATTCCCTCCTGGACCCTGCAGGTGATTTGGGTGCATTTGGCCCTGGATTTGGCCCTGGATTTGGCCTTGCGGATGGGCAGAGTTACCCTGGTTTCCATGCCCGCGCATGATCATGCCCGGATTGATATCGCCCATCGATCGTTGTTGCTGGATGATCTGCTTAGGCTGCAAGGCTTGTGGTGACTCAGCATACCGCGCGAATGGTTGCGGAGAAAACAGCCGTGGAGAGAAGGACAGTGGCGTGTAGTTCGGGTTAGGGCCCGGGCTGGGTGACTGTGCAACCGTCTCGGTGAGCAAGCCCGGTATATGGAGCAACATCATGTCGAGCTTCTCCAACGCGCTCGCAGCTTGGTCAAAACCCTTGGCACTGACTCGCAACGTCCAGCGGTAATTGAATATCTGGTCCTTGAAAAAGGCTGCCTCCTGAGGCCCCGGGGCGGTGTAGAACAAGATCGCGGCAAAGGTGCCGATCAATGCAAAGTTCGCCGTCGCAGAAGAATGCCAGAACGCATGGATATGCTCCGGACGCAAGTCACGCACAAACTCGACCGCTGCGAGCAAGCGCGTTTTGGCCGCTGCGCGACACACCTGCACCAACTCGCGTGGTGTTTCGTGCGTCAAACACGTGATAATTTTACGGTGCAACGTGATCTCTGTCGCAAAGTACGCAAGCTGGAGATAGCCGTTCGGGCACAACTTGCGCGGTTGCATGGATGCCATATGCAACGCGGTTGGTAACGAGTGATACCAATTGCGGAGCTTGAGTTGCAATGGCTTGGCTAATTTTAATACGTGGTCGATGCGCGTAACGGTCTGCATCGCGTGCATCGTGAAAAATGTATCCAAAATCTCGCTGACGATGATACTGAGAGAAATCATTTCACGGAAGAGAAACTTGCCGTTTTCAATGTCGGTGGAGCCCTCCTGCGCGTCACCATCACCAGGCTTTTCAGGGAAGTCTTCTTCGCTCACAGGCTGCACGAGCCAGTCACGACCGATTGCAATGTGGGATGGACGCGACTCCGTAAGTGATAACCACTTGTCTTGCATGAACACGGCCCATGCAAGGCGTCGGCGCAAGCCGCGCTCCCACTTGGGGAGGCGCCATGTGGCGCAGTTCAAGCCGAGCCCAAGCTCCTCTGCAAGCGCCACCACCTGCAGGCACATGACCCAGTTGCGTGCATGGTCTGGTCTGCACTGCAAGAGAAGTAAGCCGGCCTGCACCGCTGACAATTTCGGACGCTCAATCACATCACTAAACGTGCGGATTGCAATGCGATTGAGCTGCGCCACGTCAGGCTTCGGGTACTGGCTCAACTGCGGGTCATAGTCCCACCACAGCGTCGCAAGCACATACACCGCCGCTAGAAGTGGCGCGCTGAACTCGCGGTGCGTACGGGAGTACTTCTCGAGGAACACCTTCTTGTGGAGAATCGGGAACGACGGGTGGATGATGCGGAAGTAGAGGTCGATGAGTACTTGCCCGTGAGGCGCGACAAGGCGCTCCACCGCATCCACATCCTGCTCCGAACGACTGAAAAGGTCGTCTGTGTAATCGTCACGGAGCGTGAACTGCACATTATCACCGACCTTGCGTAGCGAGATCGTCGGTGAAAGCTGCACGGAGTCAACCTTGTCAAGACGCATCTGGTTTAGGAGAGAGGTATCAAACACACTTGTGGGGCCAACATAAAACGACGAGCGGGGGTACTGGAGTGAAAGAGTTTTCTTGAGAAGCAGGTGTGGCATGCTGGAGTAGTCGGTTACCGGCTGAACGTCACGGATCGGGTGCTGATTGATCTGCGTATTAGGGGGCACTTGGAAGGAAGGCTGGAAGTGTGGATTTACGTGCGGAGTCACGCTAGGGGTCGGTGCAATGTCTGCGGGTGACGCACTACGGCGGCGTTTTGTCCCCTCATCAACAAGTGCAATACTGCGCTTCATGGTGGTATCAGAGTAGGTACAACGGAGACCCTTGGTTTCACACTGAACACAATTGTTGGTGGCAGGGATGATGACACATTTGGTTTTGCGTCGACGGCAGTGATCACATGGGCGGACTTTTGAGCGAGGAAGGGTTTCCTTTTTGCCGTCTGGCAGGCTTTGGGTCTCCTGCGAGGGAGGAATTTGCACCCCAGGTGCAGCTTGTGCCGCTGGCACGTTTTGTACCGAGGGAGGTCTCACCGAGGGAGATCTTTGCACTGAAGGTGCGTTTTGGACAGGTGCTTTTTGCACAGCGGGTGGTTGCGTTCCTTGTGGCTGCGAAGCTTGCTGCATTTGAGTTTGTGAGTGCGGAATCTTTTCCTCAGATTGCTGCTTCTGCCGCTGTTGATGCTGTTGGGGTTGTTGTAACTGCAGTTGTTTTGAATTCAGTCGTTGCACCGGTTGGGGTTTAGGGGCCAGGGTGCCTCTTTCAGTGTCTTGTGCAAACTCCGGTCTCGCATACAGCTGTGTGCTCGTGTCGTGGGCCTCTTCGGGCTTTTCCCCTGCCAAATTCTCGAGAAACGTAAAGTCATTGTGGTCCAAGCCCCAGGCGTAGTCGATGGCGGAAGCCATCGGTGAGCTTATTCCCAAGCTAGACACCCCAGAGCTACCAGGTGCGCCGCGATACTCGTCATCCTTGTAGCCATGGTTGCTGCTATTGGTGGCTGCAGCGTAGGGTTTATGATGCGAAAAGAGCGATGGAGAGTCGTTTCCGGGGTGTTTGGGATCCTCTGAGTTCATTGCAGGGTCCTTGTCTCAAATCCACCAGTCTAGAGTGTGATGGCGTTGTTGACTAAAAAAATGGGGTGGCTCTCCAATTTCAGCTTGCAAATGTGGACATTTTTTCCGGTGCGCGGACGCTTGCTTTGGGAAAGCGCGACATATAGTCCGGGTGTAACGAAGAGACAATTGTGTGCTGCAACTAATTATGAGGAGACAGATAGACCATTTTTATATATTGAAAAATACATATTGAAGAGAAAAATATAACCTGTATACCTTGGGGTCCTTACTGGGTAGATGTATGTATTGGGGCTTGCAAGCGGCATCCTGGGTCAGCTCTCAGCCATGGCGTAATTTGATGTTCGTAACTTGACGTGCATATTCTAGCCTGTACTGTCATCCATGAGGGATGCCATCTCCGCTTCTTTATTTCTTACAGTTATCAATGCACATGGATTACGGACACGTGTTATGACAAAACCTGTCATTTCTATACTTGTCCGTATTCTGTTGCTCAGCAGAGTGAGCTAATCCCTTTTCGATATTCTCTCTCGCCTAATACAAATGTAAGTTTGTCTTAAATCTAACCCGGTGATTTACTTAGTTCACCCCTAGACGCAATGGCCAACGCTGGGATAGAAGGCTTGGCACTAAGAGCCGGTATTTATAGGCCATTGTGTGCGTGTATTATACCCGGAACTATCTGAGTTCATCATGGATGTCGAGGTAAAATTTCGGTATTGAAGCTTGCTTCTTTGAGTACAAATCGATTGAAAAGCCTACAGAGTTTGTGTGTACCATAGTAGAAGGCACATCTTGGTTAAGGGATGTGGCGAGTGACATGCTTGACATGAAGTTGGTTTTTAGACGAGGCATCGCTAAGCTATAATTCGCTCGAGAATGAGACAAAATGAAAAACTCTGTTTTCATTATGCTAGCCTGTTATTGTACTATCGTCTCCTATTTACCATATCCTGTTCTAGTTTAATAACCAATCGAATGAGACTTTGGAATTATAACGTAAAGTCTTGTCTCGGTCAACAGCACCCGAAATTATAAGGATCTCTCACCACGGGACTGCATTTGCGACTACGTAATAGCCACCCTGTGGTAGAGAAAAGACAGGTTTTAATAGAACTAATTTAACCAAATCCTTCAAAAAAAAAAAGAAAAAAAAGAACAGAACCACATCAATTAGATCATATATGGATGATAACCAGACTACATGGTTGGTGTGAAATTGAGGCATCAATACGTATACGTATGTATCGCCATCACCTTCGATTAAAAACAATTGGGGGGGGGGGTTAACTTCACGCTAACCATGCAGCACATAACTTATACTGTATAACCACTATACTAATATCCTCCTAGAAGCTTCTAAACCTCCTTTCGCAGTTTATCTAAAGTAGGTCCCAGGTCCTGTCGAAAGAACCCGCATATCCAACAGTCGTACCCAGATTTCAAGCGTATCACGTGCCATCCACAGAACATGCTCTGACCCGTACAAAAGCTGAAATCATGGGATCCCGGGCGGGATACATTATTTCTGTTATTACTAACATACATGCCAACAGCTCATTTATTAATATCATTAAATCATTGAATTAAATATGCTTATTACCACATTCCAATCTTCTGAGTAGTCCGCTGATACATTTCGTTTGCATTCTACGGTTTCCCTTTCCAGACACGCACATTGAACGCGCTAAGAAAAATCAAAAATCCTCGGAAAAGAAAATAACTCTCACACCACACCGAACTACTTCCACACAACCTTACAGTCCCGCTTTCTGACCAAAATCCTCTTCAGATACATTTCACGTACAGCTTTGAATAGTTATTTGATACGGGCCCTGCTTACTACCAGACTCGTATCAGCGGCTAATTTGACGCCAGCAGAAAGCATCCACTTTTCCTAACCGCCTTTGCTCCTTACTTCCCGATCGCCAAAGCTTGCCGCATGTCAAACCCGGTAGCACCATCGGGCTTGTTTTTTATCACAAACTCGCCGTTTCAAGTGGGCTGTCCAGATCCGGTGCCTGTGGAGGATGAAACACTGATGTGTGCCTCCTTGAAACAAGACTATACAGAGAACCTGGTAATTGAAGAGAATACGTCAATGTACTCCGAAGTATACGAACCTCTCAATCGGGAGCTTCTTGACGGACATTTGCTTGACATTACTGAGCGGAGCTTGCGCGAAGCCCCGGACCAACTACTATCCAATAAGCTCCGTGCTGAACTTTCTGTGGACGACTCCCACGCCAACGTCATGGAGCTCCGCTTGCTAATTGAACACTCATTGATACAGAAGACACCGACTGATGGTTACCGGGATCTCTCGCAAATCCTCTCTCTAGGCGAGCTTGATGAGCTCAAGAAACGCATTTCCAAGAGCAAACTCGCCTGTGCCAAGCTTGAAAAGCGGATCGCTATCGTCATTGAGCTTCTCACTTCACCCCATTCCGACGTAACCCAGCTAACACATCTCAGAGCCACCTACGACGCGATCCACAAACGTATAAGAGAGGTTACAACAAAGATAGAAAGCGACACTTTGAAGCTCAATAACCACCACTTCTCGTGCTTGTCTCTTGGCTACATTGATAAATTACACATACATAACGACAGTCATGGCATTATCGGCCCTGCTACCAAAAACTACGATGTTAGTGATAGCTTCGCCAACAAGAGTTACTCACTGCGCACCCCCGGCCAAGGCAGATCCAGTGTGATACTCGATGGGTTGTTTGCGCACATTGCCGGTTTAGCGGTACAGCGAGGGCTTCCTTTGCCAGCACCCGAAGATAACGACGCGAGTTCTCCAGGAAAGGTAGCCTGGGTGCAGAAATGCATCGACAGCATTATTGCGACAGGGGCCCCAGCAGTCCCCCCAACCCAGTTCTTCGACGGTGCATCAGCCTTACAGACATCCTCCAGAAATAACAGCTACGACACTCCGAGCACAGACTCGGCAGATGGCCCTCTTCCTCCGTCAGCCAGTACCGCTGCCAGCTACTACGACGACCCAACCGGATTCTTTCCGCATCATGAAAACACCTCCTTCACTTCTGATGTCCCGGTAGAAAACCCTGGAAAACTGATAGTAGAACTTAAAACAGCGTTGAAGGACCTCCAGTTTGCCCACCAGTACCTAGTATCGTCTTTTGAAACGGAGCGCAAAAAGTTTGACGTGACAGTGAAGGAATACAAGACGAAAAATGAAGTGATGCAGCAGAAATTGCAACAGACGAATAAGGCTTTGAAGGTTTCCACCAAGAAGTCAATCAAGACCGAAATTGAGCGTTCCGAGTTGGAGACAAAGTTTGGAGGCGCCTCGGAAGAGGTGCATGATTTGAGAAAGCAGTTGTACAACCTCCGGTTAGACAGCATGGGCTATAATTTGTCGAACGGTGTTAAGAGCAGCCCTAGCTTGCCCAAGTCTCCTGTTTCCAATGGCTTTAAGTCCGGCAGCATTGATAACCTCTTGTCTCCGTCCTATGGCCGCGAGCCTGGCACACCCCTCACCACTGGAGTTCCGTTTTCGCCTACTGTCTCTGCCATGAGCGATCTGACGAGTGTGGGGATTTTGCGTCTGGAGTTTAAGAAGATGCTTGCGGAGATGGAGGAGAAGTATGAGACGCAATTGGAAATGGAACGAACTGAGAGAAAGAAGGTGGAGAGACAGTTGTACGAGCAACAACAAAGAAATTAGGCATCTCCTCCAGAAGTCTACCCGAATAGAACGATCTCACTCCTTCCCAATTAGAATCTCGAAACTGTCCAGTTGTTACTGCAAACATTACCCTCGTTTAGTTTGGCGCCATCTTTCCTTAATGAACTCAGCTCGTTTTCCAACAACCCACCTAGCTGTTACTTTATTCCACCGAGTACTGGCGTTATATGGAAAATACGACCCAACGTTTAATCTACCCCTGCGATTTTCTATTTTAAGCAGCGTTTTACGTATGTTGCATCTTCTGTATTTTATATTATAGACTTTTGGCGTTAATTATAAAATAAATACGCGTATTTTATAGAGTAATGTACAAAAATAGTTAGCAATATATATATATATATATAGAGTTCCCAATTTATTAAGTTAGAATTACCAAGTTTTAGTGCGATGACAATTATACAGTTGGTTAATTAAATATCGTATATGTACATCAAGTATCGCGCGATCATTACCTTTCCAATGACCTGCACGTAGCATAAATTCATATTGGTGACTGCCTAGACACTTATCCAGTTCCCCTGGCTTATCCTCTTTCCCAGGTCTTCCAGAAATATAACAGCCGATTTTCCCTTTGGTTAAAGGTCAACAACGCACTGTTTTGATTCCCTTCCGCCTTGGTTCATTTTCTTGCAACCTGTGCTGTTCCTATTGCTGTGCTAGCTAGCTTGAGTTTGACCCTTGACGCCTCCTCCACTTGGGCCAGAACCCCTTTTTTTCTTCATTCCTCCTCCATTTCTTCCCCCTTTATACAATATTTGCCAGGCTGGTACAGTTATAGCACTTGTTGAACTACCTTGCTACTAAAACCTCACTTAAGGCTCCAACGGAATCACTTGGTTTTGGTTGTAAAACCTATACAGCATTTAAAGTACTCACCATATGTCTCGCTCACCCTATGACTCGATGACGTTTGGGAACACGCTCTCCCTCCGCGTGGATTCCGCAGTGAGTGCGATAAGTCTCAGTCCCAACGGGCGTGACGCAGTCCTTGCGGGACGTAAAGGCTTGTACGTGGTTGATATGGATGACCCGTTCTCGGCGCCGCGCTGGATTCAGCATGCGACATCGTGGGAGGTTGCGGACGTGCAGTGGTCACGACATGCGGCAAAGCCGTCGTGGGTAGTGTCGACGTCGAATCAGAAAGCAATGGTATGGAACCTTGCGCGGTCATCGTCGCGCGCCCTCGAACACGTGCTCCACCGCCATGTGCGTGCAATCACAGACATTAACTTCCACCCCACGGACCCCGAGATCCTTGCGACTTGTTCCGTCGACACGTTTACATTCGTGTGGGATATGCGCGCACCGCGTAAACCGTGCCACCTGTTTCCAGACTGGCGCACGGCTGCGACGCAGGTCAAATGGAGCTATGCGGACCCACATGTGCTCGCGTCATCGCACGAGAACTACTTCTACATCTGGGACACGCGCAAGGGCGCGAAGCCGTTGCACACGGTGCAGGCGCACACGGCCAAGATCAACGGGCTCGATTTCAGTAAGACCAGCGCATCGCAGCTTATCTCGTGCTCTAATGACATGACTGTCAAAATCTGGGACTACGAGACGAGTATTGAGAAGCCTGCACACGTAATTCGCACGGAGTTCCCGGTGGCGCGCGCGCGCTACCTCCCGTTTGGTGACGATGGGTGCGGAATTCTGCCACTCAGCGGAGGTAGCAACGCCGTCTATATCGCGAACTACCGCGACAGCGCGGACGCGGCAATGAAGCCGACATACGTGTTCAAGGGTCATAGCATGCCCGTACGTGACTTTCTCTGGCGTGAGCGCTACGCGGCGTATCCCGCAACGGACGACCGCGAGTTCCAGCTCGTGACCTGGGCGAAAGACCGCGACTTGCGGTTGTGGAAGACCAACGACGAGTTGTATGCGCGCACCGGCTTGGTCCGCAACAACACGTTTGTTGACTTGTTCGACGAGAACCCGCACCCGCACGACCCCAAGGAGGCTCCCTACAGCTACGACACGTTCAGCGTGGAGCCCTCGACTGAGGGGGTTTTTAGAAACCGCAAGTATCTGTTTGTGTCCAAGGGTAGTGCGAATAAGTTCAGCCATCTTGACTGGATCTCTGGGGTGCGCATTGGGTCGGGTAATGCCGGGACGAACTTTTTTGATCACCAGCCGGCGAACCTCGGCGAGGAGGTCAGTTTAGTGGGCCACAAGTTCCCGAAAATCCGCTTTGAGAAGATCTCTGTCTCAACGGGGCGCCTTGTGGTGTCGCTCAATGGTGCATGGAGTGGCCTGGATGAAGAGAGCGACTTGCTCTTCATCCGAGTGGAGATTGACTTTCCGCCAGAGTACCCGGCGCTCTCTCCGCGATTCGCGGTCGAGCAGAGTCATGAACTTTCGGCGGCTGTGCAGCACGAAATGGCGCTGGAGTTGGCACGTGTTGCAGACACATATGCGGAGCGCAGCCGGTTCTCGCTCGAAGCTTGTCTCCGCTGCCTCATGGGTGAGAAGCTTAACTTGGAGGAGTTTACGGACGATGAGTTAGCCATGGGCGTATTGGAGGACGCATATGACTATGCGGCGTCAAGCGCGGTCTCAGACGAGGAGGAGGAAGATGATGAGGAGGAGTTAGTGCCGTTAGTATCGATCACCGCGCGCGGTACAAGATCTGCGCCTACCGGCCGCTTTGACAGTACTCCTGTACCCAAGGGCTGTGGTGCCGTGTGGACGCGTGACGGTGGCTTGCTCTGTTTCTTTGTGTCGAAGGTGAGCAAAGAGAAGAATGTGTTGAAATTTGACTCGCAAGGGTTTGGCATCAAGGCCAAGGGCGCTCTGGCCAACCTTCTGACCGATTCACTTTCGTCTGCGTCGTCTGCATCGTCTGACAGCTTCGATGAAGATTGGAACGATATCCTTGTAAAGGACGGGCCCAAGCGTGCACTTATGCCCGGTTTGTGGAACCGTGGACTCAAGGATTATGGTGATTTCCGTAGCAAGCGCCCGGGCTCTCTTCCGACTGAACGCTCTCTTGGGACTACCACATCCAGCAAGAACACTGTGCGCATCTTCGACTATAGCCACCTCATCCCAGACAAGATCGCATTAGCGCGTGAGTACCGTATCCTAGGCGATAGCCCGGAGGTGTTGGCGCGCTACAATGCGGAGGTGGCGCGTGCTCACGGTTTTTTGGATATTGCCGACTGTTGGCGTGTTGTAGCTGTGTTACTCACCAAGGATGTGGACAACACCCCTGATGGGCTACTCAACTTGCATCCTAACAAGGCATTCCCCGAGATTCTCAAGCACGCGCACCCTGACAGCCTCCGCTTCTTCTGGGGCGGCCATCCGTTTGGGCGCAACTGGCTTGTGCGCGAAATTTTTCGCTACTACGAGCGCCTAGGAAACGTCCAGATGTTAGCGATGTTGTCGTGCGTGTTGTACGAAAATGCCGAGACCATCTTCGACCCTAGTATCCCCATTAGCGTACCGTTTAAGAAGCCGGTTTCGCTTCTGGTAGAGCGCACTACGGTTGTGGCTGTGAAAGCGACTCCCGCACCGCGCTTCAATTCACTCTCGGGCTCCGTCTCTTCCTATGCTAGCAGTGTCAAGTCTGGGTCGCCCGAGCGCTTTAGCCGCTCGCGCAAGCATATCTCCAGTGCGCAGTCGTTCGTAGACCCCTTTGCGCTGTTCTCGCCAATCAAGAAAGAAGGCATCACCAGCGTGTTAATGGGCCGCACCATGTCCGATTCGCACGCCAGGGATGGCCACTCTTCCCACAGAAACGATTCCAGACACGATCTCCACATCCCCAAAACAGCGTCTGAGACTTCTCGTTGGCCCGAAAAAAAGCGCAGCGTGGTGCACACGGTACTGATCCAGATGCTCAATGAGACAGTGTTGGATGTATACGATACCATGTACATCTCGAACTTATTGGACGCAAAGTATGAGGATCGCTACACTTACTACCGTGAGGAGTACTCAGACCTCTTGTATGCGTGGGGTTTGCCATCTAGTCGTGTCCAGGTGCTTAAATTCAACTACACGTCTGCAATGGCGTCCTCTGATGATACCCACAAGTGCGGTATTGGCCTGGTCGCTCCGCTAGCCAAACTTCAGGACTGCCACTACTGCGGCTTGCGGATCCGTAAGAGTGTGTTCGTCTGCAATGTCTGCGAACATGTATTGCACGCGAGCTGTGCCACCGAGTGGTGGGACGGGGAAAGGGAGTGTCCCAGCGGTTGTGGCTGTCTCTGTCTCGAGAAAATGCTGTGAGTAGGATGATCTGCATCTAAGGTGAATGTGATTGAAGATAGTGAAAGTGGATAAGTGACATAGTAATAATTAGTTGAAGAAATGCAGAACATCAGACAGATAAAATGTAGCCTGAGCAGAATATGAACGAATGAACTAGTAGAAGGGAAAATCTGTCCATCCGGATAGTATGAATTTTGAAAGAATAAAGAACAACAATGCCTCGTCAGGGGTATATGTGTAATTATGTAGAGTACTTTCTCCATTGTATAAGGGCATGAAATAATAAGGATAACACGGTTCTTTTTCTAATCCTATATCCGGGTAGATAGAAACTGACTTAGAATTTAGAGAGAGTATAGAAGGACCACTTGTACAACACCGGCCCCAGGTGGCCACTACCGGTAAGATTTGCCCTATGTGTCACATTTCAAACTAGTAGTTCTGCTCAGTTTTAGAATCCCTGGCACTTCCTATCCTTATTAGCTAGTAGACCACTCCTAAATAGATACGATTCCTTTCGTATCAGTCCGTTTATTCTTTCCCATATAACCTATTCATCTTTCTTTCTTATCTTTTTACTATGTTCAGTCCTATCCTCAATCTCATTTACTCTCCACTCGGCTCAATCAAAATTTCAAACTTATTCAAGCACATGGCATTACGACATCTGTCCTATAACTTGAAGCACGAGAATTCAATATCCGACTCCCGAATGGCCCGAGGGACAACTTCATCCACAGATTCCAGAAGGCGAGACAACGCAGCAGAGTCCTCCACTCGATCCTTCATACTCACCAAAGTCTTATCCACAATTTCCGCGCAGGTAGGGTTAAGACGGGAGCTCCCTTTATAAAACACGGCCGTGAAGAACGCCAAGTCAATCTGAATTTGGCGGAACGAGTATGCTGTGGCTCTGTTTTTCGCGTCTCTGGTCTGCTCCATCACAAGCCGAAGAAAATACTCCTGCAAGGCTACCAAGATCTTGTGAAACTCTCTGGAGGAAACGTTCTCGATGCTGGTTGTGATTTTTGTGAAATGGCTAAGCGTGGCGTAGATATAGTTGCTGACCGCCGTTGACTCACTACTCGTAGCAAACGCGAGGTGGATTTTGGTGCACACGATCTCCTTGACCGTTGCCTTCTCCTTCTCGATGTAATTGTCAAACAATGCGACCTGAAACTTCTCTAACAAGGTGTACACCTTCAAGTACGACGCAGAAAGGCTCTCCTTGAACAACTCGTCGTACTGCTGGACTACCGTAGGATATATGACCACTCGTAAGCGCTCCAAGTTGTTAATCATAATCACCTTATAGATGTGCTTCATATTGGCGGCAGCACCAATGTGACCGTCGCTACTCTCAAGCTGCACCATCTTAGTCATGATGGACTCGAGAGACTTGCGCAAACTGATTTCGAGCTGGTTCGAAATAGCGACAATGATCTTCTTGGAGGGTGGAGTAACGATCTTGATATCGTACGTGCCCACGCCCTTCCAGTAGATCATATTACGCAAACTGGTGAGCACAAAATCGTGGTAGTGCAAGACAATCAGCGGAAGGCTGGTGGTGGCATCATCCTGGGCAGATTGGGGATACAGGAGGTCGAAAGTTTCCAAACTTCCCAATACAGATGCATCCTGTATCCATGCAATGCAGATCGCTTCCAAAATCCGGAGGTTGACAGCTACATTGGTGTCTCTGAGAGTCTCCACGGCGCGCGGGGTCATGCCAAACGACGCGATTTTGGACAAGAACTCAGCAATGACCGCGGAAACCTGCGTCAAGTAAACGAGACACGAGACGGAATTGGTGTGCTTTGGCATAAACCCGTACGCCAAAACGGTCCCCTTTTCGGCCTTGGGGTCGTGCGAAAGGTAGAACACAGCCTTGACCTTATCGCAGATCAACGCGACTAGTTTTTCAATAGATCCGTTGATGGTGCTCATGTCACTCTCTGAAAGACTCAAACGGGTCTCTTCTTGGCTCCAGCCATTATCGTTCTGGCCCCGCTTGTAGTTCTCCTTCAAAAACTTAATGTTAAACAGAAGGCGGGTCATTTCCGGAACGAGCTGGTTGGTGAGGTAGCTGGTAATTGCCAAAAGCGAGTTCCACGAATCGATGACCGCAGGTGCGTCGAGCTCGTCTGAGTCCGACATGACGTCGCGGCTGGGGATGCCCATCGCAAAGTTCTTGGCCACGTACGCGATAGTCACCGCTTTCAAATTCTGCAGGTCAAGTTTCTCGATGCTTGCATGGAACTTTGCCACGAGCTTCTCAAAGTTCTGGGCAATGCTGTCGGTAATGCTGACCATCTGGGTGTCCACAAGATATCTGACAGGGTTTTCGTCGAGGCCTAAGTCCAAGAACCGGTTGATCAAAGTAGAGAAGCGCGACTGTGCAGATCCAAGTCGGGTCTCCTCCATGTTTTTCAGAAAGTCGAGAAGCTCTTCGTGTAACTTAGCCTTGTAGCGGCCGATGATGGCATCCACCTCCAACCAGACCTTTGTAAGCGCCTGAAGGCCCTCTGCCTGCGAAAGCTGGTCATTCTGTCTCACTTCTCCGTCTACTTTCTGCATGTATTCCTCCTTTTTCTTCTGGCACTTGCGGTAGTCATAGATTAGAGCATCGTGGCTTTTCGCCGCGATGTGCTTTGCAAGTTGCGACGGCAAGTTAAAAAAAAATTTGTGGATCTCGATGAAGCGCATGAGCATTGCCATCTTGGAAACTTTGGCACGATTGTCGATGACCGGCTTAAGTGACAAGGCGGCGTTGTAATTCAACAACTTGACGTTTTCCTCGAGGCTCGCCATGTTAAAGCGCGGGCGCGTACGGCGCGCATCAGCTGTCTCGTAGTTAAATTTCGTAACTATAGGGACCTCCGCGAAGTGGAAATCGTCCAAGATCTGGTTGATCGCGTTTTTCGAGCTGACAAAGTGAAGGTACTTTGCGTCGATCAATCCCTGTAACTGCTTCGCCTGGCCCTCGATGTTTTGCTCCAAGAACTTCAAAGACTGGTTCAACTGCGTTAACGAGTCCGCCTGGTGGATTGTCGTGAGGAACAGAATAGGGTTAAAGCCTTTTGCCGCGGGAGACAATGCGGGGCTGTTGGGTAAGCGAAGCTGCGAAAGCTTCTTGGCGAGCAGAATCCCGTCCAATGGGTCTCTGTCTAGATTTTCCCGCTGGTCAGGGGTGATATTTCTATCGCTCATAAGCGAAATCAACAAGTTGTAAGACGCATCGGCGTCTTCCGGTGTAAAGGGGCTGGCGGTTTTGGTGTCTGGAAACGTGTCTGACGTAATGTCATTCGAGATCACATCGGCAAGCGATTGCGGTTCTAGTAATTTTAGGCCGTAGAAGTCCAACAACTGTTGGTCGGAGTCGTCTGCGCCGGTAAGCATTTGTGAGAATGGGAGAATAGAGCAATCGTTGCGTTAAACGAGTCCGTCAATACGGACTGAGTTATCTACACACCGAGCAGACAGACACGCAAGACCGGTCAACGCACGACTGAGATCATCGTATAAGGTCCATAAGGGGACGGCAGAAACATTATCGTTTTATTACTGCAAGGATGATGTTGCTCATTGTCAGTAACTGTACAGTTGTGAATTTATAATCTCCGCTATCTCTTGGTCAAAGATCACAAATTCACAGTCCGGATAACGAACACCGTTACTGGTGTCTTGCCCTGAGAAGATGCGTCTTTGTATCGGCTTGCCGACTACAGATAAACCCTGATTAGATGAACATATTATTGGTGTATGGTACAAAATGGGTAGCGATGCCCCGATAGATTCAGTCTCTAAGACGGGGAGGCTATCGGGTAACGGGATTGGGCATAGTATGGTACATGGTATGTTTAAATACCTTTTTGAAGATGAAAAAAACTAAGGGACCAGTGACAACAATCTGTCTAGAGGTATGAATTTTGGCGTCTTGTGCTTGGCTTATCTTCTTCTAGGACCTCTGATTGGTGGTTTAGGTTTCACAAAGTCTTTGTTGAAGATAGGAGCATTACGCAAGATATCTGGCACAACAATGAACTTAATCTTTGAGCCTCTGATAAACACTTGTTGCAAGTGGGAGACGGTACCACTTCGGGCGGTAATGGTAATGTCGTATAACTGGAGGTTCATGTTGTCTTCGGATTCGATTAACTTTCCTCTGTAAACCTCTCCCGTGGTTAACTCGAGGGTGATGATGTGCCCTTGTGCTTCATTCAAAAGTTTCACTGGAATACCGGCAGACATTTCGAGGATGGTAGACTGAAGAACTTTATGAGCTCTATTGGTAGAGCTTCATATTTGCGATTTTTCATAGCCCTTTAAAGGTTGAATTTGTGTGGTGCACTACTAACTGTGCTTATGGTAAAACACCCCCAGTATTTGTTGGCTACGACAAAGACTTTACTTTCCTTTTTATTTTATTTTTAAAAAAGGAGCTCCCAATGGATTGTTTTACTATATACCTTGAGTTTGATAACTTTGATTAAACATTTCACCGTACGGCGATGCACCCGCCAAGCACGTCGAATAGCCGTGGCCTAGCCTTCACAGCTATCGGCGCATGCAAACAAAAAGTTGAGACACAAAAGCTGTGAAATTAATTAACTACTTGAGCCTTCCCCTCCCCCTTTTATATTCGTTTTGCTTTCTTCAGATTCGCTTTCCTGGAATAGCAGAAAAACAAAGCCTGCAATATCTCGGCATGACGATCTGTTTCACCATCCACTTTCTTACTAATGTGCTAACGGTGTTTGCGGTACTCCTGCCCAAACAAAATCCCTCAGGGAACCAATGGCCTAAGAATGGAAGAATTATCCCAGATGACAATTTGGTGGTGTCAGAAGCCATTTTAGAATTGCACAGTATTCACAAATCTGATCTCTCCGGCTGTCAGAAATGCAAATCAAAGTTGGAGGTTGGGAAAATGCTATCCCTCACACGGCCAGATTTGGTTTCTCAGGTGTTTACTCAATGGTGCCTAGAGACTAGTGGCTCACCGGTTCACTGCCAAGCCAAATACGGTAGTGAGGAACTCGAAGGGTCGAACTTGGGGACTGATTTTACAAGACTCTTGCAATTAATGCATCCGGGGGGTTATGATGGCGATTACTACTGTTACTACCACGACAAAAAATGTAACATTTTCCCATCAACTCCCGATATTGATCTCAGCTCGTGGTTTCCACCAAAACGCAGAAGTCTCATGTCTACCATAAAGCCACAGGGGAAGACATTCAATGTTCTCCATATCAGCAACATGAATCTCCAAGTAGATTATATGTTGGGATCCGAATCCAACTGCACCGGAAGGATATGCTGTGACTCAAGTAGCCAAAATCTAGATCAACCCCCTGAAAATTACAACTACTTTGACTGTAACGACCCTTCCAAGGGATTGTCATTCTATGCCAGCTCGTATCGTTCCGGGAAATTTTCCAAGGGTCCTTATCTCGACCTTCACAAAATTTACGAACGTAATCGCAAGGTGTGGCTTCCCGCTCATGAATTTGGGGCCTACAGGTGCGACTCTTCCGAAATTCTAATAAACAACACCCTTCAAGCGATTCAAAACTTTCACCAAAACCACCTTAACTTTGAGTTTGCAATTCTCACAGGAGGCTTGGTAGACGACTTGGAGCCGGCCTCTTGTAATGCTGAAAAGGTAGCTAAGGCCGAGACCCGAGCGCTCCAGTACTATAAGCACTATCTAAAAGATGTTCCCTTGGTCCTTGCCTTGGGTCATCATGATATATACCCCTATGGTCAGCTTGCACAATGGGATTCTGGTCGCAGTGACATCAATGAAAACACCTTTGACTACCTTGCAGACCTTGTTTACGATCACGGGTGGCTCGGCATGACAGAAAAGCGTAAACTCAAAGCAAACTACTTTGGTTATTCTACCACCACCACTCGAGGGTTAAAGGTCATCTCACTCAATTCCAACATATGGTACACCCAGAATGTGTATGCCTTCTGGAATACCACCTCCATTGATATGTACGGCCAGTTCAAGTTCTTGGTGGATGAGCTTGTTGCGTGTGAAAAGACAAACCAGAGGGCTTGGATTATCGCCAGTATTCCTACCAATCAAGATGCCCTCCCGATTCCTTCCAAAGTGTTCCGAATGATTGTTGAACGATTCTCACCTGCCACCATTACAGGAATCTTTCTTGGCCATAGCCATCGGGACGAATTCCAAGTCCTATACGCGGGAGATGGTTCCGACGCTAAATCTGTAGAAAAGGCGGTCAATTTTGCCTGGATTGGTCCCTCAATTTCTCCGGCTGGGGGTGTTAACCCGTCGTGGCGGTACTACTCGGTAGACACTGAGACCTTCCAGGTCATGAATTCGTATAACTTTTTAACCAAACTCGATGAAACGTTTAGAAACGAAGGAGAGGAGCCAATCTGGGAATTTGAGTATTCAGCGAGGGAAATATACGACGCATTGAATGAGTGGGGAGAAGACCAACCCTTGAATGCAGAATTCTGGCACCATGTCGCGGAAAAGATAAAAAACAATTCTGATGGTGAAGAAGGGATCTTTCAGCGATTTGTCGATTTCCAATACAGATCTTCGCCGTATACCCCAATCTGCAACGAAATAAAGGGTGGAAGACAGGAAACGTACTGTGAAGTTTCGTCGTTCACCGTTGATCAGCGACGGGAGTGCTTGGGCTTGGTCGAGGAATATTGACAGATGGAAGACACTTTGGGGTTCTAGATGTTTCTGACTGAAATGAGCTTGTAAAAGAATGGAAGGAATCTCAAGGACACACCTTGGCTAGTTGAATACGATGTCACACTCGAATTTCTTCTATTGTTTGTGTTGGGCTCATTGTTATAGTAAAGAATCAAGAGAACCGTTTAAAGATCTACGAGGGTACTATTGCATGCTACACGACCAGGCATATAAATTGTACGTTGAGGTAGGGTATTGTTGTATTCAATAACTAAGTGATATAGTTTACTGGCTCAGTGGTTGATGCGGAGTCCTGACTCTAGATCTGAAAGAGTTTTTTAAACTTCTGAAACGACCCGGATCTTGGAAGTTCCGAACTCTCTTCAATAGGAAAGTGATGTGAGTGTGTAACAACGGGTCTTGTTTTTGGTGTCTTAGGGCCGAACCGGGTGGATATGGATCTTTTCACACTGTGTGATGGAACTCGAAGTTGAGCCGGGGTAATGTTGGAAGAATTCGCCAATATTGCCGCGTCCAAAGCACTTTGACGGGCTTTGGCAGCAGCGGTGGCAGTATTTCTCACCAACCTATGGTTTCCCGCATAGATATCCAACTCCTCGTTGCGATATAAAATTTTTACCCGTTGGTTGTGGTTATTGTCAAGGGGACCGACCGATAGACGCTTGCGACGGACACTGTAGATGGAAGAGACCGAAATATCCATCGATACATGGCGGCCTGGCCTGGCTCTAGAGCTGGCTTTTCCCCTCACTCTCTGTCCATGATTTTTACCCCCAGGTGCCCTTCGGGTACTGCTTTTAAACAGAGACTCGTTAGAAGGGTCCTCCGTGGTCGAAGACTTCTTGATGTCAAGCTCATCCAACGTGGACGTCAACGAGACCACGTCAAGTGAATGTGTTTTCACTGGAGACAGGCGACGCGATGCTTTTTTCACGTACTCATTCAACGTATCATGTGAACTAAAACTCGAAACGGAGCTGAGGTCTTCACCATCGGAGAAATTTGACGAAAAAGAAAAGTGAGAATGCGCGGGTGAAGTATCAGTGGGATCCTCAGTGGCATACTTAGATTTGGTTGCTTTAAGTTTCCGGGAACGGCACCTCTGTGTGGTCAATGCAGCCTGGAGCTTTGGCACTGTGTAAGCTGAAAGGACCGTAGGCTCATCATCAGGCTTTCGTGTAGTGCTCCTCTTGGTTTCAGGCATAGCGTGACCACTTTGAGTAATATGTTCAGGGATAGTCTGGTGCAAAGGTGGTGTCGCGATGAGATCCGATAGATGGTTTATAGCAGGTGAGCTGGGAAGGGCTTTGTTTCTCCAGTATCTGGCACCCTTACTCATAGTCTTTGGCAGCGGTATGGAGCCATTCTCCTTTTTAGCTTCCTTAGGACACACTTGGGCTTCACTGGCAGCCTTCTTCAAGTGATTTTGGAATACTGCCCAATACAATTTCAAACTATCGTTGTACACCTTTCTGCGACTCGTAAACGGGTCGTCCTTTCGGTTCAAGATGGCCGTAAGGGTTGGTTGAGCCGACAAGGCTTTACGACATTGTTCGGGGAAGTTCTGATTCAAGTAGTTGTAGGCACAAAGCCAGTCCATACGGACGTCCTCACCTTGGTCATTACTGTATATGTCATCGATGTGTGCTGTAAGCTTGAAGAGTATCGACGCTTTGGTTTCACCAAGCTGTGTTAGAGAATCTTGGAACCGGTCGAAAGAGTGCCAGAGCTCTGCTGGGTCTTGAAGGTTAACTTTCAAAGAAGTAGAGGTCATATTAGCTGGTCTAAGTGCTATGTGGGTGTTGAGGGGAGTAAAATTGTTTTCTTTTATTTGGTGGTACGACATGACAGGGAAAATGCTTTTTGCGTACTGGGGTTCGAGTGGATATATATGTACTATGGCTAGGGTCAAAAGCCATTGCAAACAAGCCCGGAGCGCATGAAGCGGCAGAGAATCTGGGATCGCCGTCGATCCAGCATCTAGATCAGGAGATTATACAACCGCATATGCCACTCTTGCATTCTGACGAAGGATCCCTGTAGGATATGTCGCTATGCCTGCGTTTGATGATGCGAGATTGGGGTCTCGACACTCCAAACAGAAGCCCCATGTTTCAAGGATGGTCCTCGTCTGGCTGGGTGCATGGGCCTTATTTTTGCTCCACGTTACAGACGATACTGCACAAGAATCAAATTTTCAAACCGTTGCAAACCCTACCTTGTTACCTTATTGGCTGCTCCTCTGTGCGTTACTATTTCTATCTAAATTCATAGCATGGAGCCTTAGCGGTTGCTATGAGGATGCGCACAAGCGGGTGCATATATCGGAAAACCGTCGACGTGCAGAAATTTTGTATCAGGCTGTGACCGACAATTGGCGCGTCGATGCACATGTGCACAGAATGTAAGCGTCTGCTGGCAACCAATTTCAGCCCCTTTGTGACCTGGTGCCTGTATCACCCCTACGATCTGATCGGAGGCTAGACGAGGCACTGCGCGTGGCAAAACCATGAGGAAGGAATGGATATCACTAGGTTCACTACATTTTGTATGGACGACACGAAACTGCGACGCGTATGAATATTAATAAGGGCTCTTCCATCAAGTTTGTTGCGCCTAGAAACACCCGCAAGGTGTCTGTGTCATAGCTACTGAATCCATAGATTTTAGCCCGGTAGTTTCCCACAGCTACCTTCCTGATTCATCTTCAAGATAACATTGGTGCGCTGCAACCCTTTCGTATTTTTCATCAAACCTTTCCTGATTGACGCTAACCACAATCCGTAATCATGCTCGGAGGTCTCACGTCCTTCAAACAGGAAACAATACTGTCGTGTAGGTATTTACAACGCGTCTCAACCTGAGTATGTGCCAGTATTTTGTTTCGAATGGTCTAGCCTAGATATAACAAGAGGTGTATGGCTCGTATAAAGTACTACGCAACAAAACAAGAAGTGTATCCAAAGTGCGGGCGTATTGGGGATGTGCACCTGACGCCAAATTCAGCGAAATATAATGGCCTCTTTTCGCGTTGATGTAGACATGACAATTTTAAGTCACCACGATTGTGGCCTGCGTATCTCTCTCCGTTTATGAGAGGGAAGGAAATCCGAACCAGACCGACCTCTACTTCTTATAAGCCCACTCTCCCTAGCACGGTAACGTAAGTCATAGCTTTACATACAGAACATGGCCAAATCTTTCAATTATCTGCCAAGAATTTACTTACGGCCACTCTTATAGTGCGGGCTAAATCTGTCTGGAACGCCAGCCCCTGCCTTTACAGAGGCTGAAACATTAAATTTACACTGCCAGCTAGGGCCCGAGGCCTCGCCCTTGGTCACGCGCCAGGCTAGAATATCTGTGGACCTGTCACCTGCGTGTCTACAGGAATGTGTATGACTAGGCGTTTAATCATTATTTCCAGGGCAATTAAAGCTGTGGACTCGGACTGAACAATGGAGTATGTGCATTGGTCTCGAACTTTTATATTCTCCTGTATATAGGTCCTTGTTTTGGGTTTCACTTTCAGACGCGTCTCACGCGAATCTGCCTGAATCACGAAACTCAGCTTAAGAATGAATCTCAGTCGATATCGACGCCTGAAACACACCTATCCCGGTATGATCCTTTGTCTCCAGTATAAATTCCTTAAATACAAGGGGGGTACAGGATCCTTAATATTTGTGGGAAAGGCTATGCTCTAACACCAGGTGAAGGAGCCGGTATTTAGACGTCACGTGGAACAATATATAATCAACCCTGACAGACCGTATGCTACGAGTATCAGATTAGCTTTTAGACTAAGCCCCTTTTCTCTGAGGACGCATTTAGACGGAACGTGAGCCTGGCCAGGCTCGCCCATATCTCGGGTTGTCACCCAGATTCTGGAAAGGTTAGGTTGAGTAAAAAGCGATTGATTAATATTGTTGGGCATGATACATAGATGGGTAGAAGCTATATGTGAACTAGGCGCGCTTGCTCAGCTCGCAAAAATAATTTTAAATACTGCTAAAAGAAAAAAAGATATTACTGCAACGGGTATAGATTGCCATGGGGATTTTCAAGCCGGGAAAGGCAATAAGTCCATAGTTGGGATGAACTAGCAACCGATTAAACCGATTAAACCGATTAAGAAAATTGTCGTACCCTTAGATTATTTTTTTATATACATGAAAGACTCTGCGTCTCAGGTTACGCGTTTGCCATATCAGTATTAATCATTTTGCTAATTTGTTGGCCTGTCCTCGTTATGTACATGTGCCATTGTTCACCGGTACCTATTAATGTTACAAGCTCCAAAACTGGAGGTACCTTACTGTCTCGTAAGCGTCCTAAACCTACCATTGCTTTTGGAACGCATGCCCATCACGCAGAATATTACATTACTAATGGATTGGGATAAAAGGATAAACGCACGCACGCATTTAGTATAACTTGAAACTGCCAGGCAGAATTTGCGGGATGCACCATATTGCAAGTTTACAGGTGTGATATCTAACCTGGTGGGAGCTGGGAAACATCAACAGCCTCAGCAACCTTGATAGGAGTATCGGTATCAGCACTGACCAATGGAGTTCTCGGTAAGGCCATCAAACCGGATCTGGCGATTTCCAAAATACCAAAAGGCTGGACCAACTGGATGAAAGAGGAGACCCTTGATGGCTTGGCAGACAACTCAATGATACAGTTGCGGTCGGAAACATCGACAACCTTGGCACCGAATTCGCGGGACAAGGAAGACAAGGCCTGTAAGTGGGCGTGCTTCTGTCTCAAGGCCTCAGATGGGGCCAAGTTGCTTGGATGGTACTGCGAGTCGGTGGCAGTCAAGTCTGGCAAGTCAGTGTACTCGTTGTTGTGGTGGGCCAACAACTCCTGGAAGTGTTCTGGACCCAACAATGAAACTCTGGCCAACAATAACTCTCTCTGGATAATCTGAGAATCGGAGTAGTCCAAAACGGCATATACTGGGACCAAGCTCTCAATCTGGCGCCTCGCTTGCTCGATGACAGCATCGTGGCCAGCCAAGACAATGGTCATACGGGATAAGTCCTTGACTTCAGTGTTACACACTACCAAGGAGTCAATATTGAAGCCTCTGGCAGCCAAAGTCCCAGAAATCAAAGACAACACACCCGGCTCGTTCTGCACTAAGCAGTTCAAAATGTGCTGCTTGGTCGGGGCCTTGGAAGGTAATGGAGTTTCATACAAGATGGATGAGACGGCAGCGTTGGTAGACCAGGTTGGAGTGTCCATAGTTGGTACCGGCGGACGTTTGGAGTTGCGATGCATGGTCTTGTAAGCAAGGGCGGAAATGGAGGAGGAGTTTCTGACGGCAGCTGGCTTTATGGACTTTCCAAGAAGGCTCCGGCCAGTGGCGGAAGCGATAGACGACATGGTTACGGTATGTATTGATCTATAGAGAAAGGGAAGCCCTGTGTGCGTGGGTATTATATAGGGTTTGTATGCGAAGAAAAAGCAGGCAAGAATTCTCCACACAACACTGGAAGGATGAATCATACTGGGTTGGGGAGCGACAGAATAATGTGCCGGACACGTACCGTTCGCGAACCGGCAACGGCCACGCTGCCGGTACCGGAACGGCATGGCACTCACTTATATTGGCAGACAGCTTAAAGTATGGGTGATTGATATCCTGAATGGTCTTGGCTATCTTGTCAGATTTGGTTTTGGACGTTGACGTATAGGAATTCGCCTATATATCGTCGAGCCACGAAAGTTTTTTTAGCGTGCCATCAAGTTTCTTCATTGACTCACTCCGCTTCTTCACGTGGCTAACGTACAAATCCGAGGTCTTGGTGAGACTGATGAGCTCGTAGTGGAGCTTCGAAGACTCCCTTTGTTGACTCTCGATGTATTCGAGCTTCGTGTTGATCAAGGTGTCTGACGCCGGGAGATCTGACACCAGGGAAGGCAGAGGGGCGCTAGGCGAAATATTAAGTATAATAGGGGTACTTCGCGGAAGCGGTAATCCGCGTATATTGTCTAACCAGGTTTGAGAAGGCATAGTTGTAGATGTGAAACGGATGCAAAAAGCTGTTGGTACGATTAGAGGTTGAGGGAGGCGTGTATCAAAACAATATTAAATATGCGGCGCCTGCAGTTGTTCGGCCGTATTGCCAAGCGCGAGACGGTTAACTGGGCCACCAGCCATATGACCACATCCCAAACGGACCAATATCAGCTTAATTGGTCATTTCTAGTTATAAATGCTGGTATTATATGTATTTAACATAGATTTATATACATAAGTGTAAACTCTAATTCTCAGTATGCAAGTATTTTAATATAAATTGAAAAGATAATACAAACTTGAATATATATTATAAATATACGGTGCCCTTTCAAGATTATCAATGGATCAACCATGGCGAATCATAAAATTTCACTTTAATCAAGAAAAGTTTATGCCTTATACATCTATGTACATATATACCTATATCTCAAAACCAGATCCAAACTTTCAAAGTGGTCACCATTCTTATGAGAAAAATTTAAGCCATGTCTATGATATGTATTAGAATTGTCCATTTTACCCGTTAAACAGTCAGCTTATCACTGGGGCATGCTGGTATTAATCGCATAACTACCGCACCTTAAATTGGCATAAGGAGTCTTTTTAGTAATTACAAAGAGCAAAAACAACACTTATGACTATAAACCTGCAATGCAGAATTGATGTTACTGTAAACAAAGACCTTTATTTCACCCTATTACACAGCCTGTTACAATTGCACCGCAAACCGATCCGGGAACAACGCTGGGGCAAGCAAGCTCCACTCAAATAACAAGTAACACACCCAGGTACTCACGATTTTGACCCACGCCATGAAATACGTGCGTCCGACTGGCACAAAATCACCCAAGTCATCCTGCTCAACGTTCATCGTCAATAATGTTGCAGTGTACTGAGTTGCAAGGAAGAAAATCACATGGAAAAGTGCGTAATTGTACTTGGTGCCCCTGCGTTCCTCATCGACTTCGCGTGATTCATCGGTATCATACAAGTACGCCTGGGTCAATGCTGACTCCGGCAACGAGCCCTCGTTAACCGCCGCCTGGATAGCAGCAATGCGCATTTCATTTCTCACCGGTTGTTCGGTGATGGGACCGGGGCTAGCTTCTTCCCCAGTATAGTCCCCGAATGCGGAGTTAGCAGCAGCACGAGTGGTGGTATAGGCTATCGCCACAAACGTGAAGAATGCCCCCAACACGATGGAAGCGGTTCTGGTACCCTTGGACCGCACCAACGGGTTGCACATCTTGTCGTCGGGCTCAGCAGCCACGGCAGACATGGTCAAATAGGACCCGTAGATACATACCATCGCGGCCTGGGCTAAACCAGCCTGAGGATTGAACTCCTGGATGAGTGGATGAATGGAGGTGGACGACACGGCTAACGCCAAGATGAGGTTGACAGTAATGGCTGCCTGATTCATAGAGCACCCAGAACCAGCAAAGAACCAGTACATGATGCCAGTGAGGATAAGTGTGCCCGCGTACATCGACAAGGTTCCGCCCACAAGGAGGTTTTTCCAGAGGCCAGGTTCTTCACCCGCGGCCTCGCCTTCCTCAATTTTCACCAAACAGGTTTCAGCCCACTCGTGTGCAAAATCCACCAACAAAATCAAGCCGATACCTAGAAAGACGGTGGAAAACACCACCGCCAAGTGGTTGCCCCACCAGACGAAGAACGCATCTGGGAGGAGGAACATTCCCACGATAAAGCCCCACCAGGCTGCGATCTTCACCTTCCAGCAGCCGTTTTGGATCACCGCGCGCGGATTAGATGTCAGGCGTATGTTGGTGAGCAAAAGCGCCAACGCCAAGTGGAACACCCCGAGCGCGAGGTTAACGCGGTGCACGGAGCTGAAACTAGAGCACTGTTCGCCCTCGCACTGGAACTTTACGAGGCCGAAACTCAACTTTTCTAGTCGCCGCGTCACCCAGGGCGAGAGCATCACCCAGGATAAGACGGAATTAACCACAAAGATCAATGCGTAAGTAATGCGTGTAAGAATCGACGACGAGAAGGTCCCGCCGAGCGACAGGCAGAACATGGAGCAGGTCGCTGCGCCACAGCACAGCGCAAGTGATGTTGCAAGCGTAATGGGTAATGATAGAAGGATCCCCATGGAAGAAGATAGTGTAGTGCGGTAAACTGAGCTAGAGGCGAGTGAGAACTGGCAGGTGATGGTTGCAATAAATGGCCGAATTGCTGCGGAAGCACGAACTGTGCGGCGGGGAGCTAAGGAGAAGTGGCGGTGGCGTGTTAATCAAAATGTGGCGCAGGCAAACAATGCTTAATACCCTCCCTGAGATTGGCTTAACTAATTAGGTAATGGCTAGATTAGTGATACTAATGCTTCGTACAAGTATTTGTAATCTGTCTTTTTACGTATGTGAGATCGACCGTATAGCCAGCTGGGACATCATTCCCACGTAGGTAGGGGGGATTCAAACAAATATACAGGGGTATGATTGATTCCTTAATACCTACCTCTCTGATTACAAGCATTACCATAAAAGTAAACACAAATCGTACATTCGATTAGAAATCTAAATTCAGCACTATCGATGCCCATAATCGATCAATAGCAGGGGCTTCCGGAATCGCAACTTCTGAACAAACCGGGCGTATGATACGGAGTCATATTCGGCCAGGTGCATATGCAATATCTTTAGTGTTTTGGGAAAGTACAACCCAAAGCCCTCGAGGGCATTCATACAGAGTTTCAACCCTGTCAAACTTTTGGGGAGCTTTGTTATCCCCGGGATATTCTTCAACCCTCTGTCTTTCTGTGCCAGTAGATCAAGTTCGGCCAATGAGTCGAGAATGTCAATGCCCAATATTTTCTTAGGGAAATTCAGCTTGAGAAAAAGCCTTTGCGACTTTGGGGGAAAGGTGAGACCATCAATGGTAGAAATATTGTTGCTTTCTAAAGAAAGCGAGATTAAAGATCTCGGGAAACGCACCCCGTCTAGCAGTGCAATACAGTTTCTTGAAAGGTCGATAATCTCTAACAGATCGGGAAAAAAAAGACTCCATCCAAATTCCTTATCCCACTGTCAGTCACTTGCAAGACCTCAAGCCCCCCAGGAAACTGGAAGCTCTCTATAGAGGTGAGCTCAGAATGGTAGCTCATACTCAACACTTTAATGCACGAAGGAAGGTCTCCCAAATCGGTCAGACTAGAAATGGCCGTATCACTGAGCTGCAACGAGCGAAGATGAAGGTGTGAATTCAGCCAGTTCCGTATTGAGAGCATGCACAAGGGATTTTCGCCTAACCATAGTTCCTCGTAGTTCACAGGAAGATGGAGATTCATTATAGTTTCAAGATTATTTGCCGACAATTCAACCAGTTTCAATGAGTCAGGAAGTCGGAAATCAAGCACCTTGAGGGCATTTTCCAACACCAGAAGCTGTTCGGGGGTTTCGTTGAAGTCCAAACCAAGTAATGATGTGAGATCGTTAGAGCCCAAGAGTAGCACTTTGAGACGAGGGGGAAACTTGAATCCTGCGACACAATCAATCCCGGTGTCATGCACGTCGAGATACTTCAAGGATTGTAAGTTGGAGAGCTGAGCAAGAGTAAGATCCAGGAAAAGTGCAGGGTTTTTACGCAAACCAAGAGTTTTTAGGTATCTAGGAAAACGTTCCTGAGAGTCCAGTAAAGAGCCAATGCCATTATCTTTCAACTAGAGCACTTCGATCCCCTCTGGCAAAATCGATGTGAACTCTAATGAATTAAGCTTGTTTCCACCGACGTCCATGATTCGCAATTCCTGCGGATATAACACCTTTCGCATAAATTTTGATGACAACCGGTTCAGAGAAATATTCAAACGGCGCATAGCATCCGGCAACTCAACTTGGAAACCCGTCATTTTGCTGTTTCGCCGACATGCGAGCTCTGCCAAACTTGGAGAAAGACAAAGACCCGCAATGGTAGCTATTCCCAAGCATTGAAGGGTGAGGCCAGTCAATTCTGACGGAAGTATGAGCCCATTGGTTTCCGTAAATGCGCTGCATCGTTCGATCTTAAGGTGTCGAAAAGTTTCTGGAAGCCGCAAGTTGTTGAATTCTGCGACCCTAAAGTCGTCAAACATGACCAACAGAAGCCTCTTTAACGACTGTGGCATCGCCAGGAATTGACCCAAGGCGATGTTTGGACGTTAGAGTGTTAGGAATTCGAGAGTTGCGGGAAATTCCACTTTCTCGTAGGTTTTGGTCATCTCTTCGTAGAGATTGAGAAACAACAACTTGCGGAGCTTGGGCTGAAAGGTGACCTCTAGTATATCAAGCTCGTTGTAAGTGATGGACAACTCTATGATGTTCTCCAAGGCGGGAAGTTGTTTATACTTGAAGCGCATGCCGGAGACATGAGATTTATAAAAGAGCGAAACATTGGCTACGGATTCTAAGCGATTGAAACAAACATGGCTGAGAACCCGCATGCTTTCCTTTCCCAAAAAGAGAACTGCCATGTGGATTTTTATATCGTGGAACCTTTCTTCCCGGCACCACTTTTCAAACTCAGCTATGCTAAATCGTTTGTATAGAGCGTAAAAATCGCCCCCACCGGGCTTATACTCCACGGGGGACGTGCCAATCACCACGTGCGTGTAATATGAGCCGAGTGCTGCCTCCTTGAATACATCAATCTCCATGAATACATTGAGAGTTTCAGAGGCAAGGTAGAGGAATGCTTCCCTTACAAGCTCAGTGGGAAGGTGTTGCAAAATGGACAAACGGAGGGGATCCGTCAACGTGGCGACCATGACGTCTAATTGTGGAGAAGTGCTAGAGGTGAAGGAGTAAATAAGCTCTGCAAATTGTCGTTTTTATTGATCCAGAACCGATGTGGCATTGGATTAAGAACAAATTGGACCCTAAACAGGACTCAATCGACGGCTTTGCCCGGGGTTCTCAGGCTAATATGAGGATGGAACATTTATTAAATCTGTCATGTGCATACATAGCAAAGATTATGGCTATATTCTACGGCAGGCGGCAGGGGGGTGTAGAAGATAGTTACAACCTTTGAGGTTTGATAGTAGTGCAGAAATATATATTGTGACGATTGGATTAAATTTATTTCCACTTAAGTTTTTAGTTCAGACGGAAGTATGCCACACATGAGAAATGTGGTGCCCATGGTCGGTCATGAATCTATCCCGCTATGAACAAAAAAAAAGTTATGGTTCAGGCATTTTAAACGTTAAATAATTAAGACGGAATATATTATCAGGAAGCATAAATTATGGTCTATCTAATGAATGGGGCTACCATCATGCATAACGTTTTTTCAATGATTTCGATGAGCAGTGTCCCCCGGGTATTAAATCATTGATCTATATTCGTCGTTAATAACACTGGAAGTTGTTCCCAGTCCACCACATGCGATAACAACAACCAAATCATCCTTCGCCAAATCCGGGATAGCTTTGGTTAACAAGTCCATTTGACCATAACAGACGTCTACGGCAGCCCCACAGGCTGGCTCCACAACAACTCCAAGGTCATCAAACATCTGCACACAACCCTCAACGGCATCGGAATCCTCGATCAAGGAGACTGTAGTCTTTCCCTTGTGAGCATCGTAGTACTTCAAGGTGTCAGAGGCCACAAAGGAACAGGCTAAGGATGTAGCAATCGTGGTAACAGACTCGAGCATGAAAGGCTCGGCCAGAGTTTTGACAGCTCTTCGGTACTTGTGTGTTTGTTGGTTTCTGTTTTCCAATGTTTTGGTTAAAGTTGGGGCGCCGGCGGTTTCAACTGCCAAAACAGAAACCTGTTCACTCAAGTTGTTCCTCATCAAGCCCTGCATAATCCCTGAGTACAACCCCGCCCCACCGACGGAACAAACCACACCCTTGAGATTCTTCAATTTCTTTGCCGCAGTCAAGTCCTGGACAATCTCATCAATCACGGAGGAGTGACCTTGCCAGATCAATGGGTTATTGTATGGGTGGCAATAGACAGGTTCCACGTCTTTACTTAACTTGGAGAGAATTTGGGTCTTTAGATATGAGTCCGCCTCCTGGATGGTGTCGCCCTGGATAATTACCCGCGCTTCCAAGGCATGTAACTTATCAATGAAGATCTGCTTAGAGGTTCTTGGAATCACAACGGTGCATGGCAAATTGTAGAACTTAGCAGAATAAGCAGCAGCAATGCCCGCATTTCCACCTGACAGGGCAAACACCTGAATTTGTTTTGCCGAGTTGAAGTGGTTTTCACGACGGTGCTCGCGCACTGCAGTGCTGATGATGTTTCCAATCCCACGGAGCTTGAAGCTGCCCGATGGTTGCAAATAGTCATTCTTGAAGTAAACTTCGCAGGGTAAGTCTGCAGAAGTGGAGAGAAGAGAGGTGACATTAGTCAAGGTTGTTTTCACAAATGGGTGTGCGCGTGTGACTGCCGGTTTCGTCTGGGCAGCAGGGGTGACTACTGGAGTGACCACTGGAGCAGTATTGAGCCCATGGAATCGCTTCTTAGATACGGTGGAAGCAGTGACACCTGGAAATGCCAAAGGAGCCCATGGCGGGAGACTAACAAGAGGGGACTTAGCTGCCTTAATCATTGTATTTATGTGTAGTTGTTTTATGCGGTTTAAAGGGATGCTATTCTAGGCGAAATGATAACTGCCCTACCGGGGGAAACTCTATGTTTTTATACTTTTCTATTTATCTTGCAACGGTTTTCTTTTACCGTTCTTTCCATCTTACGGCTACCCACGGATGTGTCAAAATTAATTAAAGCTAGTAAGCAGGAGTTCTGGAGGATAACTGCCGTTGTTCAATATGCATGGCTGCGTGCATAACCGCAGACACTACAGCGGAGATTATTGTCCGCTGCCGTACGGAGTAGAAGGCAGGTGGAGCATATTGCCCGTTACGAATGACCTTCATACCCAGGGGAAAAGCTGAATTTGAGCAACTTTCACACTCAGAAGGTGGAAGGTTCAAAATATATTAAAACTCGTTAACCTCTTAATATTTCCAGAACTTTTTAGAATTATCTAGAGATCAATTACCGCGGTAAATCATTGAAGAACACCGGCTTTGGCGCCTCGTTTTGATGTCTCTAGGTACACGGCGTTGTAGCGCCATGTACACTTGCAGCACAATGCAAACTTTTTTTCTGACGTGGATGACTTTTTTTTACATCCAAGCATATAATCCCGGTAACAACGGAATCATTTTCACAAAAGGGTTAACTTCTATATTAATAATAGTCTGAAAACAGGAATTGAACAGTTTAGCTCTGAAGATTACCCAACCCACAGAATACCTAGTTGTTCCTCCACAGTGAGAGTAACCACCGTAAATCCCAAGTCACTTGCACTGCATAGCTTACATCGGACATACACATCCGCGCTTGGTCCTGCATAGCGATGGGGCGGGGACACAGAACTTTGAGAAATTGAGGGTTACAATAGGGCTTCTGTTCAGTGCTCACAGTTACTTCTATTATATGAATGCTAGATGTTTTCACATCCTGTCATAGTTGGGCAATAGAGGTCGGACACTACTTTGTTGCTGAGAACGTATAGGTTGGTAAACATTACCACAATGGGTGTTGATACCTGGCCAGCTGTATAGCAAAAAAGTATGCTGGCCCCTCTTTTTTTTCCAATTTAAAATCCTGGTATGGAAAAATTCGAACTTATACGTCCTTCCGATTTTATTTCCTGCTACTTCCAGCTCCCAGGCTCTATGGGGGGTTCTTAGGCTTTCGCATTGACAGGCGTGGAAACAGATGAACTTGTATGTCGCACGTGGAAACTACCTGTTTTAAAATAGAACCAAATTAAAGCAAGGTGATAGATCATAAATTCTGCTATAGGTTTAATTTTAAACCCTGAAAGCACTCTTTCCGGTATGGCCTTTTTCCAAAGCGTTTTAACGAGGCCAGGCGAGGAGAGATTGTGTTTTCGACGGCACATGTTATCTCACGTGACTTGAAAAGTATAGGTGTTTCAGGGCGAGATGTATCTGGATAGCGCCGCACCTACTAAATTGCCGAGGACCGCGGGCTAACTAAGAAATCACGTTGGGCTCAAACCTATATCAGGACAAGGCTATGCTTTTCTATGCCTGGACTTCATACTCTCTCTTAGTGATAGGTAGAGGCTGCTTTAAATGAACTTGTATAGACCTGATTGTGCATTCCAGGGCGTTTCTTTCGTAACATACGCGATGTCATGATACTCGCGGCAGGGGGTGCCTCAGATCGCAACTATAATCTAGTTAGACATCCAGGTCACGTGATGTAAGTCTGGCTGCGCTTAATCCGGACAAAAGTAAACATTATTCCACACAGCCGTGTGAACGAATCGTTTGTTTCTCCTGCGCACGACCATATTAGCGCATGCCACGCCTCGCTTTTCCTAAAATTCCTCGCTGGACCTCATCTCTGACATGCGCCTGAAACCTGATGCGCGCAGCATAATAGCAGCGGCTATTTATTCTTCGAGGAGAAAAACGAAATCTATTAATACAATTCTGTTGGTACACACAGACACACACCCGGACACTTCAGACACTGGTTTATAAGCACCACCACACATATCTTTTGCACTCTGCTAGTCTTTCTACTTATACCTCTCCATCGCCAGCGTTCACCGCTCCATATTTCCGGCCTTGAAATCGTCTCCAAACACGTATTTTGCAACGTCTCCCATAGATAACCACTTCGCTAAAATTCACTTCACAATGTACGCGCTACTACCACTAATCTTTCTGTTCATATGCCAGGTAACGGCCCAGTCGATCTTTCAGCTCCAGAATATCTCTCAACCCAGCATAAATTATAATAGCATTGGCTCCAAGCTCGGGTTTTTAGGGTCGTACGATGGGATCGGGATTTACGACTATGTCAACAAGACGCAGAACTCTCTCTTTACCGCCAACCAGCATCTATATGTTGTCATGGAAGAGGGCACGTCTCTCACCTCTGCGGTGCTCAAGGTAGGTGAATTTTCCGGCAGCCCATTAGCTGTGGTCTCCCAGATGATCGGCATCAACGACGCGGTGTTGATTTTGGGGAATTACACGCTCCAAACTGCATCGGGCTCCTATATCTCCCCGACCATCTTCAATACCACTGATGGAAGTGTGATAGAAGTCAATTCCGAAAAGCTTATAGACGGTGAAGTTACCGCCGCATTGGTCCTACAAGAGACCATATACTTGGGCGGTGACTTTGTGTTCAACAAGACCGACTTCTCTGGGTGCCAGTACGACCTTGAATCCGGACAGCTTCAGCCTTTACCGTTCAGAGGGTTTGGCGAGGCCAGTGTGGTGAGTTCCATCATCAAGCTACAGGATAGCGAAACTGACCTCTCAGTGTTGTTTGGGGGTAAGTTTGACACGCTTGGCTTGGACCAGTTGCTCAACCATACCGTTTTCTACAACGTAACCGGTACCAACCGCTCCAGAAGCTCCAACAACTCCAATATCACCGTCCAGATCGACCAATTAGTGAGTTTGAACCACGCAGTGATCGAAAACACCGTCGACACGATTCCCAGCTCGCTTTCTGGCCTGGCAGCGCTGGTCTTCCGGTGCGCTGAATCCAGTAACGAGTGGGTTTTGTCAGATGGGACACTCGGCTCCGTGGATATTAAACTCCCCTTCACCGTCTACCCATCCAAGGTCCGTATCTACAATTCACAGAGCGACGATGCCGGTGCTTCTCTCTTCCGCATATACTCCTTCCCAGCCCATGGGATCATGAACTTGACGTATATCGACCCTGCCACTAACGAGCTCCGTGTCTGCGATGCCTGGTGCCCGTTGCAAAATGCTAGCTACCTTCAAGAAATGGCCTCTGCCAACCCGGACGGCGTGTACTCCACCAGTTTTGGCTCGATCAACGGGTCTACCCTTTCTTTCTCGTCCGAGTACCAGGAATTTGGCTTTATCAATCAAATTCCCACCACCGAGTTAACTCTCACGGTGATGGGCTACTACGGCACTCACGTTATCTTAGATGGGTTAGAAGTTTACCAGCCCTATATCTTCAACTATGCCAACAACACATTGAACGAGTTTGGCTGTGGCTCTGACTCCTTCTCGCTGTCGGAGCTCCTCTCAGGCTCATCGTGGGTTACATCCAATGACGGTACTTACATTCAGTCCACCATTTCGGACACTCTGAACGTAGGGGTTGTCTTCCACCCAAACATCACCTATGACGGTGAATATTCGATTTTGATGTATACCCCTGGCTGTGCGGCCAGTGATGCGTGTGCAGAAAGAGGGATTGTCAATGTGACAGTGTTTGACGGCTTTGACAAGGTTCTCAGCGAAACTTTGCTCTACCAGAATAACGACAATGATAAATTTGATATGTTGTTTAACGGGAATATCTCTGTCTCTGCTAGCAACAGTGACGAGGTGCACAAGCCGTATATCAGAATGACGTGGTACGATACCATCACTGGGGGTTCGCCTATGCAGATGGTGGCTGATAAGGTGCGTGTGGATATTTTGAGTATCGATAGCAAGTATTTGAATGGAACCCGTCACATCGGAAACGACACGTTTGACGCCGAAAGTTTGTTAGTGCCGCTTAACGGGTTGTTTGAGTACTCTATTGCCAACTTCAGCGATTTCAATGCCACCATGTTTGATAAGCTGGTTGAAAGCGATGCTCTTAATGCGACCGATTTCAACGTTACAGCTTTATACTTCAATACCACCAGCAAGTTTGTTGGCAACACCACTTTGAATTTACTTGCCCAGAACTTGTCCAATAACGCCACAGTTGGCTCTTTTGCATTGCTCGGCAATGACTCCAAACAGTTGCTTGTGTCTGGGGATTTCGACAGTCCCTACGGTGCTAACATCTTTTCAGTGTCCCTTGACTCGTTTGACCAAACAAACTCCACGCTGGTGTCTTCTGTGGATGGTTTTGCTGGTGGCTTGGACGCTCCGGTTTCCCGAATGTTTGTTTATAACGCTAACGTGGTGGTCATAGTAGGCCAATTCAACCAGACTGGCAACTCTACTACCGTTACCAGTTTAAGTGGAAATAGTGACACTGGGTTGGATAACTTGGCATTGTATAACACTACGGACGGCTCCAAGCTCTACTCGTTTGGCTCTGGTTTGACTGGAAACGTCAGTGACGCCACTGTTTCCTACATCACCCTACATGACGTTGAATATTTTGTGTTTCAGACTGCCGGTACCGTGGTTTCCACACTGGTATGGGATATCACCAACCGCGAATGGCTTGACTCAAACTCTGTTCAAGTATTAAATGTTTCGCAGGCTCTTCCGATTGCTGCCAACGGTTTTAGCTTACTCTCCGGTAATTTCTCCACCATAGATTTGATTGCCCAGGCTGGTTCCTTCTTGTCCCCGAATAACTTCACATCCATCGATGCCACCCTCCAGCTGTCGAAGAATCTCAACGTCCAAAGTAAAGCAACTAATAGCAGTGCTCCATCGACGGAAGAGGGCTACTACAACGTTTTCAACTACGTCAATAGTTCATTGTTGGCCATTGGTGGTCGGTTCACTACCACGTCCTCAATCTCCAATGTTATTTTCGTGAATGGTTCAAATATCTACGGTGTTGGCGAGTCGCTTGAATGGTCGGAGGGATCTTATGTCACTGTTTTGGATAACTACAATAGTGAGTTGTTTATCGGGTTCTCCGGTCAGGCTACTATTGTGGGTAATCAGGACGTTGCGGGTATCATGATCTACCATATGAACAACAACTCCTTTGCGGACTCTCAGCCTGCGGTATTGTCTAATGCCGCCGGAGACATGTCAGTTAATGCAATCGCGTATTACACCGCTAAGAACCAGATCCTCGTGGGTGGTAACTTCACACAAGCTGGGAGTTTGTCTTGTGCGGCTGTGTGCCTCTACGACAACGTCGCGGATAGATGGAACTCTCCGTTCACGAATTCCATTAGTGGAGTCGTGAACTCCATGACTTGGTACTCTAGCTCCAAGGTTTTGATTGCCGGTAGCATGTCCATTGACGGGAGCAGCACTTACTTTGCGACTTACGACTTTTCCAAGGAAGTTATTGATGTGCAAACGTCGTTGGCTGGACTTGATGGATCGGTTTCTAATTTCATTATGGTGGATAGTGATGTGGACAAGCGTATCATTGCGCAGGGTGATAACTATATGAAGTACTTCAATGGGTCTGCCTGGAACGATTTCGGCCACGAATTGCAAATGGGTGGCGCTACGGTTGTGAGCGATATTATTCTCTTACAGTTGAATGTTTCCAACTCGAAGAACAATGAGGCAATCTTTGACAAAGACTTTATTTTGGTGGCCTCTGGGAGTATCCAACACATTATCTACGGCAATCTCTCGACTACCTATTACAATGGTACCAACTGGCTTCCGTACTTGTACACTAAGTCGGCCACTGGGAGTGCTAGTACCATTAAGTCCCTTCTCATTAATACCACCCCGTTGTCATATGAAAGCCAGAACTCCAATAATGGAAATGGTCATCTCAACAAAGGTAAGACCATTGCTGCTTCCTTGGGATTCGCGGCAGCCACCATTGCTGTGGCCAGCTTGCTAATCGGTGGGTACATTCTCTTTGACCAGAAGCGTAACGGCAACGGTGAGTATACTGAGAGGGTCAATGAACATGACATGATTGATAAGGTCAACCCTGGACAGTTAATTCTGGGGATGGACTATGCCAAGGGCTATTAGTGTTACTACTTGGTATTGGGGTGAAAAATGGTGTGAAATTATTCTCATCTCTAAGGATTTCCTTTATGTATCAACTGTTTTTGTATTTCCTTTTCGATATATATATTTTCTTCCGGCATTTGTTTTTATATTAGTTTATGTTTCTCTATCTGTTCTAATTTATCATTTGTTTTTCGTTCAAGATACTTGTAGTGTGTGACAGTCGAAAACACGTCTGCTTCATGCCGAAAGCCTTCGAATTCGGTAGTTCTCACGAATTCAGACGCGTTTTCTCTCGTACATGTGACGGAGTTTTATCCCCTGGTCACATAATACGGCTGTTAGGGAACGTGAACAAAATCCTATGGCTAGTTAGTGGATCCACGAAACGTGAGTGGGGCGAAGAAGAAAATTTGACACAGGTGAATCGTACAAGCATGGTTCTCTATTTCGACTGTTTGAAGATTTTACCGTACGGTGCCCCCTCTCCTGTTGATGATCTGGAAATTTCAATAGAAGATCTCATATTAAATACTGCTTTTATACGATGCCGGGAAGTCAACATAGTATGAAGGGCATGCCATAGGCGTGGGTTATACGAATAACATACTGTGAACGACAAAGACAACTTCACTTAAATTCTTTGGGCCTCAGCTTACTTCTTAATTTACCCACAAGCACAGCCTATGGTCTATTTTATTCTCCCGTAATATCCGGCACTACAAGCAAAGCTTATCTTCAAATATCTTTGTGCCTAAAACAGAAAGAGTCTAGAACCCGGAACTCGCTGGTAGAACCAACAGCGTTACAAGGAAACATCTAGACATCAAGGATATCTTCATTTAGTCAATCTTGATCTGGGCGTAGATCAACTTGATAAAGGTCAAGGAGGCAAGGAAACCGACTGAGCCACAGGCTAAGAATACGAGGACGCTGATCATAGAACTGTAGCCGATGTACAAGACAAAGGAAGTAAAGCCGCCCAAGGAGAACTTGGTGAGGAATAAGGAGTGGATGAAGATGTAGACGGCGCAGGCGCCACCAATGCTCATGGCACGCCACTGCCAGTGGTAGTTCTCGAAGCATAAGGAGTAGTAGATCATCAAGACGGCCATCAACGAGCAGGTGACGACCATCAACACGAAGCAGAAGAAAAGGAAGCCGAACATGTAGTAGATCTTGTTGAACCATAGGGACGAGAAGATGAAGTACATCTCGACAGCAATTGAGCCGAAGGGGAAGATACCCGAGATCAACGAAATCGGGATCGTGCGGAGGTACCACGGCTGAACAGGGATCTGGCGCGGGATCTGGTTTGTGCGCACTGGAGTGGCCAAAACAGGCCTCTTTAACGCATAGAGGGAGCCCACAACGGAGGCTGGGACGGAAACCACAAACCAGACAGCTACAATCACAAGCATCGTGGTGAAAGGCACGGCACCAGAAGATTGCGCGTTGATAAGGAAGAAGTTGAGCAAGACAAACGCACCGAAAAGCACGCCCGGAACCAACACAGGAGACAAGATGAGATTGAGTTTCCAGTTTTCACCTCCAAAGAATTTGTAGATGTAACCGGAAGTGAAGGCACCAACAGCACCGAACACCGCGTAGAAAAGGAACATGATGGTACCTAAGGAGCCTCTATTCGACGGCGACAACAACCCAAAGAGAGCAAAGAACAAGGTAATCACCGTCATGAGGAACAATTGCACACCACTTCCGATAAGAACGGAGAAGACCATGCGCTGAGGTGGTGGACGGAAGACATCACCGTGGACCAACTTCCAGCCGGTCTCATCTTGAACATCGTCGTCAATGTCCACCTCGTTGTACTTGGAGATATCGGACTTTAGGGTGCGTACCAAGATGTGCGAGATGATAATCAGAAGACAGAGTACAATGAGCGAGAAATTGATCAACGAGAACCATTGGATCTTCGGGTCGTACACGTGCAAGTACTTGTCCCAGCGTGTGGCCCAGGCGGTGGAAGATGGTACAAAAGTGACAGAGTAGGAGAAGTTTACGGTGGTGTCACCGGAGCTGAGGAACTTTACGGGTTCGGCATCTGCAGGGCAGGAACCCGCGTCACGCTTCATCGACTTCGCGTCGACGGTGACACCAACGACACGGAACTCATCCGGACCACGTTCGTGGTACTCCACCATAATATCATAGTGGTTGTAAAGGTGCGGTACTTCGTCATCGTCCACGTAGCCTAAATCGAAGCCGACGCCGTAGAATTGAGTGTCCGTGCGCTTGTCGTGGTATACATTGGCCGCCGGTAAGCCATCGATGAGCCAGTTATGCTTGTAGCCAGACTTGATAGCACGGTTAACAAACACCGCGTCGGTCTTGGAATAGGTCCCCAGGCACAACTGCTTGCATGTTTCATTCTTTAACATGGAGAGTTCGAAAGGTGAGTCGAAAATGCGGTCGCCGAAGATGATCAGGCCAAGTGATTCGGATTGTTTCTTTGGGCCACCAGCAGGCTCACAAAAGTGGAAACGTTTGTAGTAATAGTCGTAAGAGTAGACGTACGTCTTGGCGTTGTTGTCAGAGAGCGATGGAGTGAGGTGGTTGACCAAGAGCGTGACATTGGCGCCTTTGGCATAAGACGTGGGAGCCACACCAGGGAGGTAAAAGGCTTCAGCAAACGCGAGCGAAGCTAGCGCTCCAAGGATCGTGAATAGTTTCATCGTGTGCTAGTGCTATGGGATGATTTGTTGTATAAATAAGTCGTATCAGATAAGTGGTTGTTCGAGGGCCATTTGCGCAACGACGTGGTTCGTCCGAAAAAAAAGGGTGACCTGTATATAAAAAGCGCGGCGCAGTCGTGCGTTTCGTATGAAGCCAAAGCCTTCACGTGTTAACATGGCATTTCGGACCCGTCTAAATGGCTCCGAGGGATTACTATTTTGGACCTGTTACTCTAAATTAAATCATTGACAATTTGACGAATCACTGAAAATTTGATGTATACGCATATATCGGGGTTTGTAGTAAATAGATCATACTGTGATTACTGCACCATTACAAGGGCCTGATAAAGCCAGGCTGAACTCTAATAGTCTCAATTTGTCTGTAAGATGTGTTATGGTGAGCTATCCACAATAGATTATACTGGATGTGTACGGCGATACATTAAATTCATAGGATCGTATCGCTAAATAGATCGTACCGGGATATCTTAGCAGAGTAATGGAGCAGAACCCGAGAGTGCTTTGCTCTCATTCAGGCGCTATATCCTTTGTACTTTCGCTTCCTTCAAATTATGTCGATATACTACGCTTGTTATATACCATACCTTATTTACCCAATGCGTTGGCTAGTATCACTACCCCCATTGGTCATCCAGTCCACAGGGGCTGTTTCCATACACTTTGTTTCTTCCTTCCATTTTGGTTGCTTTTCTTAGCGGCCTTCGTTTACTTTCCATTCTATATTCCCTCAGCCACACTGTTTGACGTTGAACCTGGTTACACTTTTCCTTACACGTATTTCTGGAAAAACATCAGGGATATGATGATGAAGGAGCCTTGAACTAATATACTCCCTGACAGATGTATCTACCATTTGTGATTCTAAGACAGTATTTCAGAGTATGGGTAGATGCAAGAACACCTTCGGCCAACGTGAGACCATACAGAAGCGTTGTGCGGTGAAGACTCATTTTGCAGTACCTGGCGAATGATATAATCTAGAATTATTAGATGAGGGGTGCATATATACTGATTTGCTTATAAAGCAAGATCTTCGTTGTCTTATGCCTTCAGTCACTGTTTGTGAGCTTTTTTAGCGAGATGAATCTTCGATATTCTTACTATTAGAATTACGGTCATTTGCTCCAGGTTTATTTAGTGAGAAATATGGGAATATAGTGTCCGGAGTCCATATTACGCCCTAGTTGAATATTATGTTTTCCGAAAATCAAATATTGTCTTATCAGAGGTGTCCCCTTTTGCTTTGGGGCCACCGAAGTTGTGGCAACCAGGCCAATGCCTATAACTTCATGCGTAACTCGATAGTACGTGCCAAAACTAGTAAACCTCTACAAGCTTATCTTCGATCTAGACATTTAGACTAATGCTTTACTTTAGTGTCACTTTATTCTAAACGTACAATTTCATACCCTCTAATAAGACAAGCCCTTTTGCAACTTCCCGAGCAACTCGTTCTCTCTGCCAATCCAGGTTAACCTTGCCGGGTCGTACACCGCCTGGGTCGACTGTAAACAGAGAGCAACCTGAGTAGGCTTTGCCACGGGGTCCCACTCACGGGAGGCTATCAACGCCCAGAGTGCAGCCTTGCGATCGCGAGTGAGCCCCATAGTTGCATAGTTCCGTTCCGGTAACTTTGCGGAGTTTACAAAGGTGTCCTCTTCCTCTGGTTCATCTGGTTCTACCGATACTAGCACCTTTGCAGCGGTATGCACAGAGATACTGTGGGCGTAGGAGATGCGCTCATGGACCAAACACTGACCGATATGGCCGATGTTCTGGTCGATGAGCTTCGTTAACCACACGTTCGTCAACGACGATACATACCATGGGTTGGTGCCAAGGAGGAGCTCTCCGATCACGACAATAGCACGCGCGTTAAAAGTCCGCAAGTTCGCACGAGAAAGGTATGAATAGCTGAGGTTATCGAGATATGGCGCGACTATCTCCGTGCACACCTTGGTAAGGTTTGTGATGGGGGCAGATGTATCGATGAGCGCGCGTGTGACGGTGCGTGGTGATAAGCTGGTTGGGGGAATGGTGTACGAGGTGCCCATGAGCATAGCGACGATGGCAAACTCCTGCGCAGATGCGGAATACGCCCATGCCTTGCTGGTGAGGAAGTCTTTTTTTAACAACTCGTAGTTCGCATACGCGGTTTTGTAGTCACGCATCATGAACAGCCAGTCCGCAGCCTTTCGGATGATCTGTTCCGGTGCGAGGTGGTGGTAGAAGCCCTCCATCGCATTGTACTCGTGGAGTGCCTGCTGAATGAACAACTTCGGGTTCGGGCCAGAGCCAAACATGCGCTTAGACACGGAGAAGAATTTGCCGGTGATGGACTTCCGCGGTGAAACCACCTGATCATCCCACGAAAGAATACGGCGTTCCATGAAGGGGAGCAACTGGAATTGAAGCATATTGGCAACAAACTCGCGAATGGCCGCGGCGTCGGTGGCATAGATAGTGCTGTTGGCTCTGTGCGACGGCAAATGGATGTCCTGGAGGTCCTCTTCGATAGAGGTCACGGCGTGTCTGACGGTTGTGCGTTCCCCGGTTCCCCTGAGGATAAGCACACTGGAGGCCAAGCCTAACTCCGCTTTAATCGCCTGCTGGAACTGCTTCTCCGATGCACCATCCAGTTCGCTAACAATACACACGTGCAACAAGATGTCCTCAGGGTTAATGTATTTCGGTAATTGGAAGTGCTTGAACGTATGTACAAGCACCGCAAGTTTCTCCATCTGGTCATTGACAGAAACCACAAAGAGTTGTGCCACCGGATGGTTAAAAGTCTCAAACGACACAATTGTGGGCGACGACACAAGCTTCGTGAAGTACTTTAAGTATATGGAGTTACGGATGTCGACAGCACCACCTGCAGCTTTAGGCAGGGAATCATCAAGGAGGATGGGATTATCCTCAGCCTTAATCTCAATATTTGCCTGTTTGATATACTCAGCCATAAGTAACTCCAAGGAGTTTTGTTTGTATAGCTGTGGATACGGTACGTGCTGACGCGTCTGGCCCAACTGGTAGTCGCTGTCAGCGACCTGGACCGAGAGAAGCTCCATGATGGAGCCCAGAAAGCGGACGCTAAATTCAGAAAATGTTTTTGTCACTAACTGCGGCGTTTTTGTCTTGAACAGACCCTCGAGGCCGCACCCGAAGGGCCGAAGCAACTGGAGAAACGAGTCGAAGCCAAGAGTCTCGGCGAGTTCATCTGCAGTGTGGGAAGATATAAGAGACACAAGCGGAGAGTACGCCTGGATGATACTGTTGCGACAGACTAGCGCCGGTGGCCCGTTCAAGTTGGTTTCCGGAAGCATTGTGGGGGTAGAGATAAGAGTTGTAAAGCGCCAAGTCCAAGGTGTCAAATACAGCGGTGCTGGGTGCGTGCAGGATGAGGGAGAAATCGGGAGACTAGTACAACTCTGTAAGGGCTACTGGGGAACACTGAAACAAATGTAACTTGGTAAACCATCTATCCAAATAAGGGGGGAAGATAAAGGTCCGCTAGATAAAAAAAAGAAAAATTCAACAAGCATAAATACCTAGAATTCATTTGGAAAATATTAATACTTGTTCTAGTATTAGGATATACTTTATTAACATGGGAAGCTGCATATCCGTCCCCTTGAAGGTATATTCTTCTTCCGGCCCTTGATCTGACGTGCGGTATAGCATTTTTTTTACGATAGTATCCCGTAAAGACTAGCAAAAGGGGTAAACATATTTCGCAAAGTAGATATCCTTGTTTTCTGTACCCCTTATCTTTACAGGCTTGATAAGATGCGTCAAAATCCAAAGCCCATCATGAAATTACTCCTTGGTTCATGACGTCTAATTATCATAACGGAATTTCAATTCACCAGGATGTACTGTATTAATTATTTCTCCTATGACGTAACTTACATCTATAGAAGATGGTGTGCGCTACCAAAAAAGATATGTTGAATTCGGGCCAAAACGTCGTCCCTCATCATCCTTGTTTCGATAGGGTTTAGATAAGGCAAACCAGCGTCATATTTTTTTAGCCTTCGCATCCAAAATGATTAACAGTCGTCACTAACAGTTTTTTTCCCCTCCCCTTTGACTACCAATTAATTCAATCTCACACATGAAAATTTTGAATTGGACAAAAATATCGACAACGGCAGGACTCGAACCTGCGCGGGCAGAGCCCAAAAGATTTCTAATCTTTCGCCTTAACCGCTCGGCCACGTTGCCGTTATATGTGTTTTTTCAGATATAAGGAACCCATCTCTGAGGTTGTGAATGGTAATATATGTGGCTACCAGGAGCATTTGATAGTGGTGATCAAAGCCGGCTCCCTAGAACGGGCGAGGCAGTCTGAATTGCACACACCTCAGACAAATGGACCCCTGGGTCAAGAAGGCTAATCATCTTCTGGTATACCTCTGACATATAGGGGTTGGATTTCCGGATAACAGGCTTAGAAGATTGCAAGGTTTTCGAACACTAGATTCAATTACCTGGAATATCAGTTTTATTTGCGACATATCATACAAGCGACAATGTTTGACAGATACTAGGTACAGGATCATTCCTTAAAAAGATAGTCATAGAGTTCTATTTTGCCGTGTCATAATATGCTTTAAGTTTTATTAGGGACCTTGATATTAATGGTTTCAAGCACGGATTGGTCTGAACTCTCGCAAAGAGTTTCACTTTTCAGTGGGTATTTACTAAGAACGGAGTACACTAGCAAACCCATCAGTAGAGTTCTTATAGCCCAAAGGGAAACCAACAGTTCCAATAACTTACATATATCTCCAGTAGGACTAAACGGTAACCCCTCAACTATGATGTTTAGCCCCCAGGGCTACACTTAATTCCTGCTCCATTCGATGCTCACAAAATATCCTGCGCGTGCCTCATTGTATGCAGGTTAGAATTTTTTTCATCTAGTCCACTGGTCTGTATTAAAACTGCTTCTTGTTTAAATGGTATCAGCAATACCAAGACTTCTCTTTAACAGTATGGACGGTGTTTTTGCAATTAACAAGCCTACTGGAATTTCCTCTGCACAGTTTGTGGCCAAGATTCAGCATATCTTCACTGCTTCCAAATGCTTCTCTAAGCAAATAGAAGTTGAGCGCCAGAAGCTCCTCCATGAAGGCTGTAGTGCTGGTGCCAAGAAGAAGGCCCGCAATATGAAGGTTAAGATGGGCCATGGTGGTACTTTAGATCCTCTTGCATCCGGTATTTTAATCATTGGTGTGAACAAAGGTACTAAAAAGTTGCAAGACTTCTTGAATGGTTCGGTCAAGACCTATGAAACCGAGGCGTTGTTAGGTGCCAGCACCACCACCGGTGATTGCGAGGGTGAGATTGTCTCTTTCAACGCTACCTCCCATATCACCAAAGAGCAAGTCTTAGCTACCAGAGAGAAGTTTGTCGGTGAGCTCACCCAGACCCCACCTATCTTCTCGGCATTGAAGATGGACGGGAAGCCGTTGTACGAATACGTCCGCGAGGGAAAGCCATTACCAAGACCTATTGCGTCCCGTCAGGTCCAGATATACGACATGCAATTCTTCGAAGACGACATGTTGACCACAGACCACTCCTACGAGTTGTTGAAGGGCACTAACGACCTTGCAGAGAAGATTCGCAACAATCCAACGTTGGAAGATGATAAATTGCATTTCTCTGCAGAATACTTAGCGAAGGCTGCGGCTGAGGGCTTGCCCGTTGAAGCTGAGAAGCAGTTCCCATCGGAAGGCAAAGAAAATGAAGAAGGCTACAAGGCTCCATTGATCCACTTCACTGCCAAAGTAGGCTCCGGTACTTACATTCGTTCCCTCATCTCTGATGTTGGAAAGGCCTTGCAGTCCTCATCCTATATGGTCAAGTTGATTAGAACCGAGCAAGCTGACTGGAAAATGAACCAGAACGTTTTGGAGTTGGAAGATCTTGTCGACAACGATGAGGTCTTCTGGTCTAGGGTCGTGAAGAGAATCCTTGATACGGAAGATGCCTCTACCATTATTCTCAAAGATATTTTTGACCAGGTCCGTGTTGAGGTTGCGGCCCTCCCAGAGAAAGAGGGACCCCTGGAGCTAGCTCCTGTAGTTGAAGCTGCGCCAATTACAGTTACTTCTGGGCAAGGAATCGACAGGCCAATTTTCGAAGAAAAAGCTACTGAAGAGCATGACTCAAAGAGACCAAAGCTTGAATAATCTAAGTACACTTTATAGCGGGGTTAAAATCATGAGCAATTAAATGCTATATTGTTGTTTTTCTATTGACTCCATTATTGATTAGTGTTATAGTTATATATGTACAATATTCTTTAAACTCATACCCACGGTATGAATATCTAAAGTTTATTGGATTCGCCAAATAGTTCAGCTTACGGTGGGAGGACATAATCACTTCATGTTTATTCTATAAAAAATTCAAAGGGCATACCTTGCAAGCTCCCCTGAGGCAAGCAAAAGTTATCCTAAAATCTGTACCATGGAAAATTAAAGCCAGACGGCATCGCCATGGTAGCAAGGTATAAGTATTGGAATACAAGATTTATCAGCTTACAAAATCTTTTGAATGATGCAACGAAACGTATTTTAAGCCCCAAAACAACACATCGTTATTGCGAAATAAAGACAGAAATGAAGCCAAAAAAGTCGAAAAAACGAGTCTGCCTCAATGGCCAGGTTGTGTGACAAAGGGGGGAAAGAACGGTTCAGAATGCCCGGGAGCCATTCGTGTGCCCAAAATACCACTATGGAATGTCTCACCAAACGGAGTGGCATTTAACTGACTACCGATCTGCTGTGGTTCCATAGACGGGGCATAGAACTGTTGCTGGTGGTGGTGATGGCTCTCAAGTGCAGCTTGGTTAGGATTAGAAGTAACAGATGGTGGAGGAGACATGGAGAAGTTTGGTGTATGGGAGGACGCCTTACCGTTTGACTGATAGCCCGCTATGAGTGTTTGATGAACCTTTAAGACAGCCGTGGAAGAGGAATGAGAAAGTGAAGGGGGTGAGGTAGGTAACGTGGGGTCGTTCATAGTCGATTCCTGGTTAGAATAACGATGCATGGAGTTGTGGCCGCTATTCTCCAGGTAGGGGTATTGCCTCATTTGGGTGGCTTGGTGGTCATGTTTGGGGGAAGCGTGGGAATTGCTTCGGCTGTTCTGCTGGCGTTGAGGATTAGGATATGAATAAGAAGCTTGCTGAGTCTGGAAACCAGACTGGCCGGTAGACACTCTCGTTGCGCCATCGAAATCTTGGAGGGGCCGGTTCATCGCATCCAGATGGTCTTCACTGGTTGGTTTCGCCAGGTTCTGTCCAGCAAGTGTCAGAGCCCGGGTATCGAAGCCCGTATGCTGGTTTCCACTTTCTGCCGTAAAAGTTTCTGGGTTATTCGAGGCATTCAAACCAATCAACAGAGGATAGTTGTTGTTCAGGAAAATAGGCTGCCTGAATCCAAGAGCGGACTCAAAATTGCGAATGATAGGCTGCGAGATGGTAATATCACCCCAGTTGGAGTACAAGTGCTGTGGGTCATCAGGGTTACTATCAGGCAACTGGGGTAAGAAGGACCTTTTGTGGACGTGCGAAACTCTCGGGCCGTCGGGGGCCTGGTAACTAGTGTAAGACTGAGTCTCCCAGCCCGGAGGGTGGATCAGCGTTGAAGCCTTGGCCGTTGGGGGGTTATACGCCATGGATGGGTGGGCCAGAATATTCTTAGGTTCCGAACGACTCTTACCTCCAGGTACTTCCCTACGCCCAGAAGTCTCAGATACATTGAGTTTTTTCGCTGCTGGTTCCTCTTCCTCATCCATCCCTTTTCCTCTCATGAGCGCAAACTGCTCCTGTGCAAGCTTCAATTGCTTCAAAGCGTCGTCGGAAAGCGACAAATAGGAACACACATACTTCCCATTTATGGAACGTGAACAGTTGAAGCAAGACGGCAAGTTCTCGTCGCATCTGATCCTTCGCTTCTTACAAGTGGCACACCCCAAATGCGAATTCTTGTGCTTCTTGCGCTTCTTGATGCTAGTGGAGGAGATTTTCGAGGAACCCCGGGGCGCTGTCGCCCGTGCCCAGTGTGCGGCCGGCGCTGGTGACGCGGACGCGGACGCAGACGAAGGGTACGACATTCTTGAAAATTCAGCCAGCGAAGACCTAGATAGATTATCGATAGAGTCACCCTGTTTGACTCTGATATTCCGGGTCTTACGTGAGGGAATCTTGGGAATTTCAGGGTTATGCAACGCCTGCTTGAAGCGGTCCATTCGGGTAATGTGCTTCAAGTTCTTCATGAGAGAGTCTGGTTCCTCATCGGTAAGGAAAGCTGCAGGCTTCAAGCTATCTGCTTGTAAGAGAGGGTTAGATGAACGAGATCTGTCGGGGGGGTGGGGCATAGCGGATAGCACTGGGTGGTTTGTGGTGCCAAACAACCCGGGGTAGCTACGGCCGTGATCCAGGGCTTTCTCTTCTTTAGCAAATCCCGTCTCTAAGGAAGATTGTGGTAACGAAAAGGGCATTATTTGTGAAGAATCAGAATAAGCCATTGTGAGACAGATCGGAGGGCAGAGGCTGTTATTGGTGATTTGATCTGTGGAAACAGGCTTGGCTTGTGGAGGTTGGTCAGTGGCTTAGGGCTACCAAAATACGAGGATTGGTTCAATATAAGTAAGGAAAAAAGATATAATGGTAGTTAAGATATGATGAAGGAAGACACCAATATCTGAAGGGTGTTTTGTTAGACTAGTCCAAGTCAGAAAGGGTGGAAAGACAGGTGCATGCACATCAAATCGTCTATAGTTTTACGAGCTGCTCTACACCTAGGAAACCAATTTAAGATTGGAGCGTCCGCCGGGATGAAGCCCGGGAAAGAAGCAGCGATCGGAAGAAAAAAAGAAACATGACTGGAAAAAGCAATGCAGGTGCATGATAGGGCAATGCTCTCGACGGAAATTCTGTGGGACCTACCGCCTGAAATGATCCAAGCCACATGTTTAGTTGCCAAAGAAACCCTTTATTTTATTTAAATGGAATTTGTGGTTATGAGGAACAACAACATGGATAGGAAGAGAGTGGACGGATCGTTAATTTTGTTTGCGCTTGGTAATAAACCAGCTTGGCAGGATTGTTGTCCCACTGCACCAGCACCAACTCCTACCCAATATATACCGGTATCGATCGATCTTATGATGACGTGTAGTGCTTCTATGCGTAGGTGGCATGACTCGCAATTTGCAACGCATGACAATGTAGCACATGACTCGGACAATGCACTGGTATTTTACGAGCCACGAGGCGCAGAATTTGCGAATTTACGAGGCTATGTTAGACCTGCAAACTAGCTCACGGAAGAATCACGGGGGCACCAAGAATCACATTATTGTAATCACGTGATAGAATCCGTGGTGCTTGTGTCTCGCCTTACTTATTATAAGCACTTCCACTTTGGATAGTATTGGATGTTACACCGGATTTATAGGAGATACAGCACGATACCCTGGTTTAGTCTTACCGGAATACTTCCGCGTACATACCTCCGGCTGCAGGGCCGCTGGACCGAACCATGTTGACTTTCAGTGACATCACCTAGCCTGAGGCGGGAACTGCTTGGAAGCATAAACAGCTGGGATATACCCAAATCTAAGCTTAGGATTCGCATTCGAATGCAATACACAAGGCTGCACATGCCCCAACCCTACTGATGAAGCAGGAGACTCAAGTGCCAAGCCGGAAGATAAACGTGGGTGGGTTCACATATTGTTTGGTGTTTGTATTATTTAATTCTGGTAGTCACTTTGGATCTCCACTAATGCTCTACTTAAGAATATAAGATGTGAATTTGACATTAGTTCAGGAGATGAAGAGGTCGATCTTTTCAGTCTTCGCGCATCTTGATGGCACACGATTGTAACTTGTACATCGTCTACTCTTATTAACCGCCACTAAGTACACTTTGTAAAGGAATTAAAAGGTATGCAGTTCTTAAACGTATCAGCTGCGCCAATATTGTCGGCCAAACAACTTTTCTATACCCCGGAGTCAAAACGCCCAGAACCCCGTATCAAATGGGTCAGCTCCAATGTAGCCTGTCGGCAGCTCATTGCAACATCAACCCGAAAACCTCCGGAACCGGGGTGCACAGCCGCATGGAGAAAAAACGTGTTCTTGGTTCCCTAATGTCCATAATTTCAGAGAGCACACTTTGATTGAGCCAGAAACTAAGGCACATCGGTTGCAAAACTAACATTTCGTCATTTTCATCCACGAGCCTTCTACAATGCTTCCAGGAGATGCCCCATGCAAAAGAATGGCGTGTGGACCTTTCTTCGCATAGAAAGAGCTTAACTTAAAATATTTCCACGAGAAGAAAGACTCTAATTTACTTTGGTATATCGTATAACTATAATAGAATAAAAACTCAGTAGAGTTACACTCCGCGGTGTAGATATTCGTGAGCTGCAAAAAAAAAGCAGTCAGTGGCCGGTAGCGGAACCTCTGACATCAGTACAACCCCTAGCGCCCCGCGGGTATTTAACCTATTATTTCCCAAATAGTATAACGTTTATTATGGTTATATAGAATGTCTGCCATATTTAGAGGTAAAAGCCCGTTAAAATGGTGTGCCAAGCGCCACACAAATAATTTCTGGATACGCATAATGGGCTGATTCGTGCCAACCGTATGATACCACTATGCAGGACTTTCTAGATCTGCCAAGTCTTTCCGGGAAAACATTCCTTTTATACTCTAAAGAGTATATTAGTTTCAAATCGGTATTTTAAATATGTACAATTACAACCCTAAGGAGGAATTACTTATGTATTATTATCGATGTCTTGATATGGGTTTATACAAATAAATACTGAAGACCTTAAAAATTAAATGGCCAGCGGCAGGTTGGTGCAGAGACACCATGCAGAGACTCAAGCAGATCTCACAAAATCATAGTAATTTTCATAATAGAAGAATTGGTTCTAAACCATGAGGGAAAAAGGAGTTATGGTACGTGGAAAATTTTACGATATTTCTTTTTTTTTAGTGACGGAGGTGCTTATATTGTTCAAGGTCATGTCATATTTGGTTATTTGATTGGGCCTTACCTAAAACATGTTGTTAGGTGACCCTATATACCAGGGTAAATATCTGTACTAAGATGGCAGTTCGAGGGTTATAATAGACTAGGGGCTCCACCCATGATTGGTGTTGCGGAAGGGAAAAGCAGGAAAATAAAAAGATTGGTTATTATGAATATTGGTTTCAGGAGGGGAATCAACGCCTATTGTTTGCTTTTTTTTTTCCTGGATCAAAATCTCCCAACACAGGACCAGTTTTCGCCCCTTGGAGCAAAGGGATATCCAGAAAGGTATTCAAATTGCACTTAATTAGCTCAGCACACGCATAGCGCACAACGCATCTGTTGGAGGCGAAAACTAATATTAGTTTGAGATTTCCAGATTCCGACTTGAACTATTCGAAACGGGAAGTAGAATACCTTTATTGGATATGTAGCTCATCTTTCGTGATCAATAAATTCTTGCCTCATCACTGAGGTAGCAATATGTAGCTCTAAGCAGAACTCTGAATATGCACATTTTTCTATGGTCCAGTTCGTTCCAGGAGTCATGACCTTGGAGGGATAGTTTCCTCACTTATCCACCGCCATCTAGGCATTCGTAAATCACAATGGTTATTGCGGCATATCCTCAGCCCTCCACTGAGAACTTGTATATTTCCTTCGGTGCCACCCGTTTATGGCAGTGGTGACAGTAAGTCAATAACTTCAATCGCAGCAAGCGGCGCAAACGTCTCGCTCTTTTTCAGTTTAAGCAAAAATTCTGGAGGCGGCAATTGAGGCTCAATATCCATGGTTCTACCGTAAAAGCGGACCGAAGAGACCGCTGATCCAGTAAGGTCTTCTCGGGAGCCTGTAATGGCCGCGGTCGTGCGGGAGATGGAAGGAACGATACCGCCCAGATAGGGAGCATAGGCAGTTCCTGAAATCGGTGTCGTGACCCTCGAAGAGAGCTTACGCTGCGGTGTGGTAACACCCATCGAGTCCTTCCGCCGGGTTGTGGTGATACCCTCTGAGTTCCGTCTATCAAACCTCTTTGTGGGAACTTCCACTATGGCATCGGGGGTGACAGCTTGCTCCTTGCCTCTTTTTAAAGGGCTAGCTGTGTTTGAAACCTTATGTAGTCGCTTCCCAGGGGAGGTTGAAAGAAGCATCAAGTCGTCAGAGTCGATACCCGCCGGCTTGTATGGGCGGTGAAACCGTTTTGGGGGACTTCCACCCAATAAGGAGAGGTTATCCAGCGATATAGGGGACTTCAACTCGTATGGTGGTATTTTCCTGGCAAGCTGAATCTTCTGTGGAATTGTTTCGCAAAAATCCAAGTTCCAGATGTCGCTTTCTTTGGCCGTCTCCATAGACCGTAAATGACCGTTATCCTCGACAACCTCGCCAGTTATGAGATCGATCAAGTCACCTTGGTCCTCTTCTGGAACTGCCGCGTACTTCGCAAGAATGCTTTCCCATTTACTCTGGAACACCTTGCTTCGGGCTTTGTTCCGTGCGTCAAACTCTTCCTTGGTAATGTTGGGCTCCTCCCATAATGGAGGTTGTGGCTCCCGACCTTGTGGAGTTTTTTTAGGAATCAACAGCATGCAATATTTTTACCAAAAAAAGCTTGTGGCCCTTGGATCCCTTAGGTTGGGGCTCTGAAGCTTTTGTGGCTAGAACCAAGCTGTAAAAAAAAATACTACGCACCGCGGGGAAAAGTTGAGTGCAGGAGAGTATCGCGTGAAGAAAATAAAGCCTGGTCTACTGTCCATAAGGAGACAATAGTGAACGGCATTAAGAATATACGTAACCACTTATTAGAGCTCACGTTAATATTCGTCAATAAGCAATGAAGTGAGACATATTGGTTCGACATAAACCTCTCGTAACTGGCATACATACAAACTATCCCAAAGTGGTGCTTCAGTTTGATGCAGGAATTATTGATGTCCCCTTACAATTTAATAACTAGAGCAAATTAGATAGCTGGTTACCAACTATTCATAAGTCTGTAGTGTGTTTATTTTATTATTATTATTATTTTCCTGGAGTTTTAACCACCGATTCTAGCCATTACCATATATTTGTTTCTCGGGTATCACAAGGTGTGGTCATAATAGTCCTGCATATACCTCCGAGAGACGCGTCGGGACTTGCTTTATTTACAAGAACGCCACACTGCTAACTGGCCGCTATGTCTAACATACCAAAATGTCTGTTGACCAGCCAGGTAGAATCAAGGTATGTAAGACTTTCCGAAGTTATTTTCATGACTAACACCCCAGGCGCTAGATACAAATGTGGTAAACAAAATCGCCGCAGGCGAGATAATCATCGCGCCCGCCAACGCGTTGAAGGAGATCCTAGAAAACTCCATTGACGCCCAATCTACAACCATCGAGGTTTCTGTCAAGGAAGGCGGGTTAAAGCAACTCCAGATTACAGACAATGGCCATGGGATCAACAAAGACGACTTGGCAATTCTCTGCGAGCGTTTCACTACGTCCAAGCTCAGCACGTTCAAGGACCTTAGCACCATCCAGACGTACGGTTTCCGCGGCGAGGCCTTGGCTTCGATTTCGCACATCTCACACCTCTCAGTGGTTACCAAGACGAAAGATTCACCGGTCGCATACAAGTGTGTATACGCCAGTGGGAAGCTCGCGCCCACCAAAAAAGGAGCTAACCCGCAGGCTGTTGCAGGGAAGGATGGTACACAAATCGTGGTAGAAGACCTTTTCTACAACGTTCCGTCCCGTTTGCGGTCCATTCGCTCGCCTTCCGATGAATACTACAAGATCTTGGACGTGGTTCAGAAGTACTCCATCCACTGTCTCCAAGCGGGGTTCATGGTAAAGAAGACGGGCGAATCTAACTACGCGTTGATGATTAGACAGAACTTGTCTTTGAAAGAGCGAATCCGCACGATCTACGGTTCCGGCATTGCCAACGAGCTCCTTGAGTTCAACGAGACGGAGGCGGGTGAACGGTACGGTCTTGTGGCCTTCAGTGTGTGTGCCACGTCGCCAAACTTCTCTAGCAGCAAGAAGACGCCGCCGATCTTCTTTATCAACAACCGCTTGGTGAGCTGCGACCCGCTACGGAAATCCTTGCAGCAGGTATACGCCGCATTTTTGCCTAAAGGGGCCAATCACCCGTTCATCTATCTCAGTTTGTCCATTTCCCCGGAAAACGTGGACGTCAATGTCCATCCGACAAAAAGGGAAGTCCGTTTTTTGCACGAGGACGAAATCATAGAACTCGTGACGGAGCGCGTGCAGGAGGAGTTGATGAAGACGGACAATTCACGTGTTTTCCACACCCAGAGCGTCTTGCCCATGAAGCGAACAGAGCCCGAGATAAGCACACCGGTGAAGAGACTCAGACAAGAGAGCAAACTTGTGCGGATTGATTCCAGCCAGGTCAAGATCAGCACGTTTCTCGCCTCGGGAGTCCACTCAACATCCCTGGAGGGCTCTCAGTTATCACACAACGTTACAGGTGAGACCCAGGACGACTCCCGGTCGTCTAACAGTGTTGAAGGTGAGACCCAGGATGGTTCCCGGCCATCTAACACCATTGCAGATGAAACCCAGGACACTGAAATATTGAACTCCACCGTGATGGATACCACACTTCCGGTGTTGATACGCATTCCGTACACTACCGATTTCAAGCGTCATCGTACCAACATCCGCCTTGCTTCCCTTGCGGTACTCAAATCCGCTGCGGAGGTCACTGCCCATGAACCGTTGACAAAGATGTTGCAGAACTGCCAGTTTATCGGGGTAGTAGACGCCACAAAGCGGCTCTGTGTGTTCCAAGAGGACGTTCGGCTCTTCATGTGTGACTACGGTTCACTCTGCTACCACTTGTTCTATCAAATTGGACTCGCTGAGTTTGGTAACTTTGGGTCTCTCACACTCACGGAGCAGGGAGGTGATATTTTGCCCGAATTAGAACCCTCAGGGGGGGAGACTACTGGTTTGTCTGTACGCCAGTTGCTTGCCCCCGTGACAGAGGGAGACCTAGACAGCCTTATCTCTCAGTTGGTGAACATGAGGGAAATGTTTGAGGAGTACTTCTCTATCAAGATCGAAGAATTCCAAGGAGATGTCCGGTTGGTATCGGTGCCGCTCATGATGCGCCATTACAACCCGTCCGTGTCCAAATTAGGTTTGTTTTTGTTGCGTTTGTGCACCAAAGTCGACTACACCGACGAACAGACATGCTTTGAAGATATCTTGAAGCAGGTTGCATTGTTCTATATTCCACCTGTAGCCCATGCCGGGCTAGATGACGAAGAGCAGGAGGCGTACCAGTTGCAAATGCATTCAATATTGGAAGGTGTGGTGTTTCCAGCGATTAAAAAGGGCTTTCTAGCCCCCGAGTCGATGCTACGCGACGTGGTGGAGATTGCCAATCTACCGGGCTTGTACAAGGTTTTTGAGAGATGCTAAGCTGTGTATATTAGACTAAAAACTGTGTATCGTTAATCCTTTGTTTCTCCCAGCTTAAAAATGTTGTCATTTACTTCGTGGATGGAGATAATACCTTTGGGTGTTGTGACTTCCTATTTCAATGCTGAGGTGGTATTTACTGTCTTGTATAGCCAGAATTTGTTTCCTCCGTATTTGAAAAAAAAAAAAACTGATTGCACGAAGAATTGTCATTATGCCAGCTTCGGATCCAGACTTCGAACTGTGTCCGTTTCGATGCATACACATTAGTTAGACTTCCTGTTTGATGTTTACCATCTGAGACACAAGAGTACATATTTTAGTGAAAGAACAACCCTTATTTGCCTGACTAATATCCACCAACTATTGGAGTATAAAGAATTTAATGGTACTCACAAGTCCCCGTTTCTGTCACGCTTTTATGCGAATTGATTCGATCACGAAGTTATTCAGACCCAAAAGAATGTGCTCATGGCTAACAAAGCGTTCGTTTCTATATTAAACACTGGTATAAACCATTTAGATAAATACCTAAGTATAGCCAACTTTATTCTAATAACCCTTCCGAGCCCCCTCCCCTGAGTGTTTGCGGATGAAAACCCCGCGCCGCATGCATGTGAAGCAGCTTGCAACACGTCTTGATCCAAGCCTACATTGGAGGCGAAGCAGTCGCTACAATCACTCGCAACATACTCTTTACCCATATTACTGTAAACACAAATACCATTCCATTGATAATTGTTCGATATACAGGCAGAGCCCTTCCCAAAAGCCCTACTTACTCTGAACATGGCCTACCCAGCTGGATTGGAGTCCCCGGCCAGACGTTATGAAGATACCAAGGATACCCCCCGCTTTTCGCCATATCCCAACAAAGAAAATCCTGAAGGCACTTCTATATTGCGACTTGACACTGTGAATCCCGATGAGTTTGACTTTTCAGTCCCGTTTACACCGACGTTTGTAATGTCAGCTACTGAGAGTTTTCCTAACTTCCCCTCCCTTCAGGAAACCAGCACCCCTCGAAGCAGAGCCGGGAGCGTCTACCCCGATGCTGAAGATATTCTTATTCCTGACCCGGTAGACTTTTCGCATCTACAAGTGAGTCCCTCTCGGTCGCTCTACTCCGCTTACTCTACCTTGAGTGGTGACGAAGAATTGGCCCAACTTAAGGGGAGCCTCATGAGTGGGGCCAGCTCTCCAGGATTCCTAAACATTCCTTTTGATCTTCTAGAATCAGAGAAAGATGGTGAATGGGAGGCAAAAGAAGACACAGGTCCGTTAGACAGTGCAGAGAGAGATAGTAGATTGTGTGATACATATTACGTCCCTTCCAGAACCCTGGAAACGAAAATCACACGCAATGAGCAAACCTCTTCGTTAAGAAGCCCAGGAAAGGAAACTGTGCCATATAACCGAGACTCCGCTCCTTCGGTAAGTCCAGAAGGAGGGCCCAGGGCGTACAATGATGTATTTCCGTCTGGTGAGGCAAGCAGGCCCTTCGACACTATTCAACCCAGTTTCTCAGACGTGCCAGAAGCATCATCCAGAGACTTGGGAAGCTCGCTCAACTCTCTGCTTCCAGAAGCCCCCTCCGACTCCTCAGTGCGCTCCCATAAATCAAGGAATTCGTGGTTTGCGCCTCGCTCAAGGGATGCAAGCAAAGGAAACCCCGAGAAGGCGTCCGACCTCACGGACAGTATTATGCCACGGCTTCAATCCGAATACTACCGCGAGCTTACTCTCAAATGGGACGACATGACTGAAATTTCCCTCTTCGGGGGATTGCTAGGGGACCTCTTCCATGGCCAACACACACACGATGTTCTCTTCAACTATGTGCTCCACGCGACTCCATGTACCGATTTTCCACAAAGCTATGCCTCTGGTCTTGATATAACTTTATCCAAGGCCCAACTATTTGACATAATTCGCCAGCAGGACTTCCTCGGACGATACAAGAGATTCACTGCCACCATTGCGGAAATGAAGGAGCAGAGCAATGACAGCAGTCTCTTGCGGAAGTCTGATACTGCCAACTTCCATGCCTTGCGGGAAAATGGAGACTTGACGCTTGGAACGCTGACATACAAGTTCCCGCTTGCGTCGGTATTGTACCTCAACTGGTTGCTTCAGTACGGTGAAACAAGCGCACTCAGCGAGAAGTATACACGGTACGAAATCTTGCCAAAGATGTACTTTGTTGCCCGATGCAGCTATATCATTGACTACTTGTTTAATCAAGGATATTTTTCTGAGGCAATGACCACGAAGAACGGACAAGAACACCTCCTCTCAAGGTTTGTCGACAAGGACAACCAGATCGCGCTCGCGTTGGCACTCGCGGCGATTGCAAACTACTACCAGGACCGGCAAGCTTTTAACCACGCTTTACATTACTATGAGTGCGGGGCTAACGTGTGCTGCGATCTCGACTGCTTACGAATGACGATCATGGGCCTCTCCTCCGGCGTCGGCTACGGAAACGTCAAGGACAAAGACAGCAGCGCCAATGTGCTCCACATGGCACGCCGCAAACGGCTCAAGTTCGAGAACAAGCGACGGATCGCGCAGTTGTATCGGTTGATGGAGAAGAAGAGCGGAGTGCAGGAGTTTGGCGGCTCGTGGGTCTGGAAGAAGAAGTATGATTAGGAACCGAACATTGGTTTGGAAATTGAAATTGATGTTATTAATAGTAGATATGGAACATGTAGGAGATTCAAGTAAGTATATGATTGTATATCAGCGTCATATACATATATTGTTGTATATATAAAGCCTTGATAAATATTTACCGGTAAAATTTTAGAATGTATATATCTATCTACTTCATAATAAAGTTTTAAAATACATAAACTTACAAGTAAAGAGGTTTATAAACTATATATCTACTAACAAGTATATACTGTACCAATTCTAAAAGTGTAGTTATAAACACGTTCAGTACTGGGTTTGGCAGAGACCTTGAGTCTCCATCACCACAAAATAATACAAACTACGTGACAATACAACTGCCTTATAGATCGAATCGAAATAAACAATCTTCGAGCCCTTCCTGTCCTTTAAACTTACGAAGCCCTTGTATGCCATTTGGTTCCATAGCCCCGGGGATACATACGGAAAAAGAAATTTTGCACGTGCCCCCACCGGGCGCCGTGAGCTTTAAAGTTGGAAACTGAGATCGTGAAAAACTGTAACTTGATATGACAAGAACCACTTGGTTAACCTCTCCGCTCTCAAACCCTCCCCCACTTTCGTTTATACGGCTGAACACATAGCTCCATACTATGCGAATCTGACGAGCCAGAAAGAACCCACACATTTATCCTAGCATTCATCCTTGCATCTCATGTCCCAGACGTATTCTGGGTCCTCGATACCCGTGGGCTTCCAACATCACGAGAAAAAGCACACCTCACAGACCGCCATACCCACACAGCCCAGTACATCTGGCTTGGATGACGAATCATCGCTTTTGAACTGCGCGCTTGCGGGCGGGTTTGGAGGCGCGATTGCCGACTCGTTGATGCATTCACTCGACACGGTCAAGACACGCCAGCAGGGCGCACCGAGCATGGCCAAGTTCAACACCACCATCGGCGCGTATAGGACAATTCTCCGTGAGGAAGGGTTTGCGCGTGGTTTGTACGGCGGGTACACCGCAGCGTTGGGCGGATCGTTCCCATCAACGGCAATTTTCTTCGTAACGTACGAGTCCACCAAACGTAAAATGATCAATGAGTGGGGTGTCAACGACTCGGTGGCGTACCTCACGGCGGGGTTCCTCGGGGACTTTGCAGCATCTTTCTGGTACGTTCCAAGTGAGGTGCTCAAGACGCGGTTGCAGCTCCAGGGTCGTTACAATAACCCCCACTTTAAGAGCGGGTACAACTATAGGGGCTTGGGTGACGCATTACGCACAATTGTCACCCAGGAAGGGTCCAGTACGCTCTTCTATGGTTACAAACATACTTTAGCACGCGACTTGCCGTTCAGTGCATTGCAGTTTGCGTTCTACGAAAAGTTCCGCCAGTTGGCGTTTGACTTCTCGAAACCGGCTGGCGCGCCGGCAAAGATCCAAGACGCAGAATTGTCGATTGTGCACGAATTGGCCACCGGCGCTGCGGCCGGTGGGCTCGCGGGCATTATCACAACGCCATTGGATGTGATTAAAACGCGCATCCAGACACAGAACCCGAACGCCACTAGCAAAACCGCGACTCCCAAGAGTGCAAAGCCATCGCTCATAACTACAACTAGTGTGACGAAAGGGCTCTTGATGGTGTACCGTGCGGAGGGTGTGCCCGGCCTTTTTGGTGGGGTCGGGCCACGGCTTATCTGGACCTCCATCCAGTCATCTATCATGTTGTTGTTGTACCAGGTGACGTTGCGCAACTTGGACGCGTGTTTCGACGGCGTGCCGAAGTTTGAATAGTATTCACAGTTTGTTGCATTGTATATATCGGACATTGGTTCTAATAAACAGACTGAGAAGAATACGTAGAGGGGATGGAGGGATATTCTATTCTTTCGAGGTTTATAAGAAGCCATGCGGGGGGAGTATAGCGAAAGTTTAGAATTTTTTCAATTGAACCGAGCTAAAAAGAGTGAGAGGCTTGGATATTTGGTCGAATATGCTGAGTGAAGTGTAAACTTCATCATGGCCTTAGAACAAAAGTTTTGTACTAGGATCACTTGTAGGTTGGATATAGTTGAATAATAAATCTTCAAAGAATTCATATTTTAAGTAATGTGGAATTTTAACCTCTGTCTTACTCTAATACATATTTAGCTCTAAATACCAGTATCTTTATGTCGCATGATGCGTCAACACATGCATGATTTTTTTTTAGTCGCGACAATTTATCAGAACGATGAACCCTAGCTCTCACCACCTCGCTGTAGCACACACAACAAATGCTTCGGAGAGTTTTATCAGGCAGAGCGCTGCCTCGACCCGAACATGTGCTTTCTAGAACCCGCAGATACAGAGTCCTCGCGATCGAATCTTCATGTGACGACGCATGCATCGCTCTCTTGCAACGAGACAAGGACGCTACAACCGTCATAACGCACCAGAAATCTACCCTTGACTCCTCTAAAGACGGCGGACTCATTCCTAAGGAGGTTTTTATCCACCACACCGCCAACTTGCCGCCACTTTTGCGCAAGGTGGTGCAGGAGTTTGACCTTCATAACAACCCGCCGGATTTGGTAGTGGCTACGCGCGGACCCGGGATGTCTGGCTCTCTCACCGTGGGGGTCACCTCTGCCAAAGGATTAGCAATAGCCTGGAACAAACCGTTCCTTGGTGTGCACCACATGTTAGGGCATTTACTTGTCCCGAGACTCAACTTTCCGGGGATGAGCCCAGAGGAGATCCCGCAGTTCCCGATGCTCAGTCTTCTTGTAAGCGGCGGTCACACATTTTTGGTTTTGTCGAGGTCCCTTTCGGAGCACCAAATATTATGTGACACGATTGATATTGCCATCGGTGACTCCCTTGATAAGTGCGCGCGGGAGATTGGAATCAGGGGGGTTATGATCGGCAAGGAGATGGATGCATTTGTGAATGAAAGGCCAGAGGACTGGAATCTACACAAACTGAGCTCCGAGTACATCGATATGGAAATGCCGCTTCCACTCAAGAACTTTGCAAAGCGTAAGGACGTTCAGCTGTTTTCGTTTTCCCCGTTTGTGAGCGGCGTGCGCAAGGCGTTGGAGACGAAAGTGTACCGCAAAGACGTATCCAAGGAGGAAAGCATGAAACTCATCGCTAATTTGAGCCCTAGTTTCAGACGGAATATGGCGTATCAGATTCAGGAAGCTCACATTAACCACCTCTGCGATAAACTTGCACTTGTGGTGCGGATGAACCCGGACTTGCTCGTTGGGGTGCAGAACTTTGTGTTGAGTGGCGGGGTAGGAGCCAATTCCCGGTTGAGAGAACGCGTGCAAAAAGTATTTCCGCAGTTTAGGTTTCACTTCCCAAAGCTCGAACTTTGCACTGATAATGCAGTAATGATTGGGTGGTGTGGCATTGAGATCTTTGAAACGTTAAAGGTGGAGAGCAATCTCAATGTGTTGCCTCTTCGAAGATGGCCATTGGTCGACTTGCTTACGGTAGATGGGTGGATGCCAATAAAAAACGAAGCTACCGATGTTTCTCCATAAATATGTATATAAAAAAAATTGGTATTACGATAAAGGTGTAATTTACCTGACCTATAAATCGAGAATTTAAGCAATTATTAAAAGCATAGGAGAGTATGTTTGGCTGAAGGGCCGGCCGCTGCATAGCACAAACCTTCAGGATTAAATTAATTTGATGATATATTGTAACAGAAATGAAAATTACTCACGAAGAAACAATATTATTATACTCCGGCCTTTTATACTGTTTATTACACCTCTATACTGAGGTAGTAGCTCTTCCAATAGATTTCGACGTCGATCCCATGTTACTATGAAACCTCTGACTTACCCACTAGGTTATCAACATCTCTAGAATGCTTTATCATATTGTACTGATTCCAAAAATGTATCTAGATGATAAGCAAAAGAAACATATAATCTTCGAAGTACAATAATTGGCCGTATTTCCTAGTCATGCTTAAGGAGTCAGTGAGATGGCTGTATGATCCATTAAATTTAAACTCCACTCTTGACACACTGTTATTCGGCATCGACCCCAAAATAGATATACTCCTTCTAAGAGTCGAGTAGATATATCACTCGGTTCATAGAGTGATATATTTTTTTTACGAGTGAAGTGCAAAATTTGGTTATAGTTTCCTGGTTATAGCATTCTCACTAATTGCACACTGCAGGTAGATGCTTGACTTCCACACAACGGAGAAAAATTTCAAGAAATTCTTAGGAGCTACGGCTTAAAACTATTTGGATACGATTGTTACACCAGCCAGTATGAATAACTAATTATATAAACGATTATATAAATTCTACGGTCATCGATCCACTGAGCCTATCCCAGAACAATAATTTACAGGCAGTTGGTAGAGATCTACAATTTGTACTGCACGTAGCCTCCCTCGTCCATTTATCGGATACCACAACTCCAACATATTCCAACGTTTTCCACTCAATCACATATCATGACTTCCATTACAGAAATCAAGGACAAACTCTTGCGAATCCACCGATCGGGTAAATATGCCACGTTATCTCCAGCCAACCTCTTACAGACACACACTCAGTTAACCTCCATCTTGACTCTCCACCAGACGCTGTTGAGCGCGGTGGAGCTCTATGACTTGTACGAGTTGCAGTTCTATGTGTCACTCATGATGTCGGAGGACGCGATTGCGTTAAAATATATGAACTTGATCATAGACAGGTTCGGCAACAACAACTCGCAGCGTATCACTATTTTGAAGACCGTGTACTTAAACGCTACGGAAGGTGCCCAGAGCGCATCCTACTACGTTCGTGAGAAGCTCAAGGAAAACCAGGACCAGTTGCGCATAATGCGCACCAATATTGGCTTGTTAAAGCAGCAGAAGGAGCCCACGGAGTACATTGAGGCATTGGTGTCGTTTCTCGACAGACAGCCTCTGGACGCGCAGTGCTGGTACGAATTGAGCGAGCAGTACTGTCAGCTTGGGAACTACGATAAGGCTTTGCACTGTCTCAAGGAGGTTTTGATGTTGCAACCATATGCCTATAACGTTATGTACAAGGTTGGAGAGGTTTCTCTTGCCAGTCTCAAGCAGGCCGCCGCCTCGGCCACCTTCCAGACTCCGAAGACCTTGGACAAGGTTTACGGCGTTGCAAAAGACGGGCGTAGCAACTTCTTGCGATCAATCGAGCTTTGTGACAACTATGCTAAGGCATGGATCGGGTTGTACGTGATGACTCTGGACGGGTACTCGCTTAACGAGAAGTTGTCTTCCCGGGGAAACGTGTTGAAGTCGCACAGGTCGTTGGAAGGAAACATTGAGGCGTATTTGGCAAAGAATGCAGCGTTACACAGTATGGCACAGAAAAAGTTACTTGAGTTGAGCTACGACAAGGATCTTCCGCAGGAGGTCTTGGCCGCCATCGCCGCAGCCCTTAGCTAGCAGCATGCACCACATGCGCAGCATGTGTTTGTGATATAGGATTTGTACCCATATATCGTAGATATTAGAATATGTAAATTATCTCCGTAGATATAC